ATTTATGCACATCATCTTACAAATAAAACGTTCGTAATGGCACAAAAGTAATCTATATGCAGAAAATAATTTGATGTCAGATTCGGCAAAATATTCCGATCCAAAGCTTACTTAAAACATTAACCCATTTGAATTTACAGATGTCATAACTTCACACCACTGACGTCAGAGCATGTAAGAGTCTGTAATTAGTGCAGAGGCTGTTCATACATTTTTAGACGATTTTCATTGTATTTATAGAAATATTTTACCTAAACCTTTTGTGTTTTAAATGTTCTATGTAATAACTGTTATTCTTCACTATCTTTTTACGCCATGATTTCCAAGACAGTGAAACCTTGTGTAGTATCGGAAAGCGGTATTTTACCACATTCCTTTTCAACAGCTTTTCAAACTCCAGTTGAGGCTTATAAATCCTCGTTTGGACAATCCGCTTTTGTAAAGTTGTAGAGACATTAGGTAATTTGGAAGCAGGAAAGATGAAAAAATGAGCAACTGCATTAGCCAGGAATCGAACAGCGGACTTCTGGAATACGCGCCCTGCGCGCATACTACCACATCACAAAGGCATGCCGATAACGTGGGAGAAATACCTTATATACTCCCCCTTTTAATTGGCTACTGGGGTTTTTAGGGGACCCAATCGCCAAATTCTGGGTGAGGAGAATCATCATCCACCACCCTTTTAGTACGGGCGCCATTAATTAAGAATGAAGCGTTCATGGTTCACATCCCGATTCGCCGGTTCGTATCACGTGACCCCAAGTGATCTCATCTCACGTAAACTACGCTACAAAAATCTAATTCTTCCCGTAGTTATCTACATTAATTTAAAGTTAAATCTTAATTTGGAATACAAGTTTAAATGCAAGAGTTATTTCAATTCGTACGATTAGCTTACTCAGAAATTATATAAAACCGCAGTGCTTTACTTCGCGAGTGCATTCTCATTAGAATTGATGAATTGAATCTTTGATTTTGCCTTTTCTATATTTTCGCCATCGGGTGAGCGGTGTTGATGCATCCTAATTGACTTAATCACTGCGAATGACCTTAGAGCAATAAAACTGAACTATCTTGTAAAAATTCTATATAATTGTATGCCAGTATTGAAGGAAACAATCAATCTGATAAGAAATGGCTGCGACTTGTTTTGAAAATCAGACGTAATAGGTTACCAGCGAGGATGTTCCGTCTGGCATCAGTTGTACCATTATTGGCGACTTTATCGCCTGCGCCGGAAAAACGGAAAAGTACCAGATTCTTTTATGGTTTTGATGGTCCTGTGCTGCAATCTAAAAAATGTTTCATAACCTGAAGAAACTGGCATGAGAGTTTGATCTTTGAATATCGGTTTATGCTTTTTATTGTTGCAGCAAAACTTTTTCCAAGCGTCACAGATAGCATCTTTTACTGCGAAGTTAAAATCGATTCATACTTCAAAGCTCAGTTGGAAATTGTGCTGCCTGCTCTATTTGCGGCTTCAGGAAAGAAATTTGAACGCTCCGCTACAGAAATTCTGTAAATTATTTACGAAGGGGCAGCCGTTAAGGAGAACAAAAGTGTCTTTCTCGAATAAAAAAATTCTGTAATGCTTTTCTTTGATGCTTCATGCTTTCTTTGCGTTCAATAAATATAAAGATTATATAAAAATAAATCACATTATGTAAAAGCGTTATTGCCCAGTACCCAAGAAACATATAAAGTATTGAAATGAATAAATTTTGAAAAATAATAGAATAGGAATTTGGAATGCATATTTTTTTTATTGAAAATTTTAAATCCTTGTGCACCACATAGTATTACACAAGGCTTACAGAGGTAAGTAAAAAAAACAAACAAATACAACAACACAACAGAAAATAAAATAAACTTACAAATTCACAGATGATACGTGAGAGATAAATACACAGAAGAAAGATTAAAGCCATTTTATGTTGGACAAATACGTGAAGAGGTGGAGGAAATGTAATATTCAAAGAGTTTTTTAAGCTTAGAAATGAGTTCTTTTTTCGTCCTTCCTTGAAGCTTTGAACAATTAGAAACAACAAATGTTCCACATTTTGCACTCCCCCCCCGAAGCTGCATGGAACACAAGTCTGTACTTATATAATCCCAAATCTCTTCAGATATAAATTGAAATTACCATGTCCCAGTTAGAAATTGAGTAATTTCAAAATTGCAGAAAAAATGGTTTAAATATTTCAGTTCTGTGAGGACTGGAAGGAAAAAAAGTAATTTAGTCAAAGAAGGCAGTAGTAGAATTTCCTGTATAGTTCATTCCACTCGAGTATTGTATCATCCCTACTTTTTTCCTTGTAAAATGACTTGGGAAGTATCATTGGAGTAATTAACTTGAAGATGTTGTAGCTTGTTTTGCCAACCAATCAGCCCTTTTCATTTCCTAGATTGCCAGTGTGGTCACGTACATGAGAAAAGATAACATCAACACCTTTATTATTAAGGAATGCATATAACAGTCATTTTTGACACCAGGTTTCTTTAGAATAATTTTGAATCTGATAAAAAGAGATTATGTTCTCCTTAAGGCATTAATTATCTTTTTATTTACGTCTAGCAAAGTCATATTTCCAATTAATTAAATATCTCATAAATTTCGTCCATTTGTAATTTGTATCCCACAAGTAAAAGTGCTGACATTCTTGTTATCTTAGAAAAAGCTTTTAAATAAGGTTAAACCAATTTTGAGTTAAGTTGTAGTGAATTCTGTATCACGACCAAAACTGGAAAACTGAATAAAATTTCGATTTTGCTCTTAGTAATCGAAATTTAATTGCTTCACTACTGTAACCGTACCAGGTTGCTGTATCTGTATTTAGTTGTGCTTGAGATAATTTTTTTATTTAACCAGCAGTTTTATTTTTATATTTGCTTCGATGTAAAATTTCTTTGATTTAACAGCACATTCTCCAGCGAATTAGCTAATGAAATAGGATGGAATCTAAACAGAAGAAAAACTGACCAAAGTGAACCACAAATTTAGCAAAGCAACAATGTTGTGTATGGCGTAGATTTAGTGAAGAAGTCAATCGATTTCGAGGGTAAGCAGGTCCTTCTTCATCAGGAGCAACGAAATCTGCAATCTTATTTGCTCCCAATAAAGAGTGACCTATACCTGTTTGCCTTGGAAATCGATTGAGTTCATCACTCCTAACACCAGATTGTTGCTTTGCTAATTTTAGGATGGCATATTGTTACTATGCCTCTGGTTTACATGGATTTTAAAGTGAAAATGTTTTTTTCATTTTATATTCTTTACGATACACATTTACTGAAAGCGAATTGATTGCTCATTTTTGATGTAGAAAAAAATTAAATTTCAAAGATTAAAATTTTTTATGAAGAAAAATATGTATAATACAGCTGAAACGTTTCATCGAAATTTTAAATTTATGGCTATAGAATCAATTTGAGAAAGTCCAGACTTTTCATTAATGCAAAACTGAAAGTAGATATCTGAGAAAATTTGCTTCTATGCTCTAATTAAGAACATACAATAGGTGGAATAAAAGTCTCCATATACCGGGTGATCAAAAAGTCAGTATAAATTTGAAAACTTAATAAATCACGGAATAATGTAGATAGAGAGGTAAAAATTGACACACATACTTAGAATGACATGGGGTTTAATTAGAAAAGCAATAATTAGCATAACAAATTAAGACAAAGCAAAGATGATGTTCTTTACAGGAAATGCTCAATATGTTTACCATCATTCCTCAACAATAGCTGTAGTCGAGGAATAATGTTGTGAACAGCATTGTAAATCATGTCCGGAGTTATGGTGAGGCATTGGCGTCGGATGTTGGCTTTCAGCATCCCTAGAGATGTCGGTCGATCACGATACGCTTGCGACTTCAGGTAACCCCAAAGCCAATAATCGCACGGACTGAGGTCTGGAGACCTGGAAGGCCAAGCATGATGAAAGTGGCGGCTGAGCACACGATCATCACCAAACGATCATCACCTTCGCAAGAGATCTTTTACGCGTCTAGCAACATGGGGTGGAGCGCCATCCTCCGTAAAAATCATACGTTCCAGCAAGTGTTTATCAGCCAGGGTGGGGACGATGCGATTCTGTAACATATCCGCGTAATTCTCACCCGTCACGGTAGCAGTTACAAAACCAGAATCACGCATTTCCTCGAAGAAAAAAAGGCCCGATAACAGTACCTTTAAACTTTTTTTTTTTTTTGGTTCTAATAAAACCCCATGTCATTCTAAGTATGTGTGTCAATTTTTACCTCTCTATCTACATTATTCCGTGATTTTATTAAGTTTTCAAATTTATACTGACTTTTTGATCACCCGGTATAATATAGATTTACTCTCATTATGTTGCCTTATTCTATCTCCAATTATAGTGCAGTAATGACCATCCCTTTTGTATTCCATATACCAGAGTCACGTTATGAAAAGCCTCATTGTGTTGGCTGAAGTATACATTGACTGTGACCTGTGAGAGAAAGAATAACAAGCTTGCGTTAAGGAGATAGAAAGAATTACATAAGACAGCTAAAGGTCATCTTGCTACTTAACATCTTCGTCAAGTATTAAACGGGTCGCACATTTTTCCGAAGACTACAGGCTTACAGAACCGAAAAGAACACACTAATCATGAAAATTCACGACTAGTGATAAATTACAAATAACTGCTTATAGGTCTTATATTTCGTGCGCTTTAAAATGCAGTAGAGGTCGACCTTCTATATCAATCGATGACTGAACAATTCGTGAAGAAAACTTTTACAAATACTTTAAAATGCCTGATAAACATATAGTTTTGCTAATCATTTTTCGTTATTGGAAAAGGTAACTACAGTTCACAAGGAAAAGAATTTATAAGGGTTGTGTATAAAATATTATGTTGTCACGCTGAATATGAGTACCTAAAATAGTAGTAAAAATGTTCCATCTCTGATATTGTTGAAACAAATTTATTGAAACTTTCAAGGAAAAGTATTATTTATTTCAGAACACGCCCCCGGAAATGTCTTCCTGCGTTTTTGTCATTGAGCAAGCTCTGTCTGTCAGAGCTTTACAAGAAATGGTCACAGCCATGTCTTCAGAATCTGTAAGTCCTTTATGTAAATTTTCAACACTTTGCTTAGCATTTTATTCATATAATTTGGTAAAACTTTTAATTTCATTTAATTTCTATTTAACCTTTTTTTCACTAAATAATACTCTAATGATACAAACTAGATGGTTATATATATTTGCAAGTCTTTTCCCTATTTTAGTGTATGATAATTGAAATATAATTGGATACGATCTGAATTTCAGTAAAGTTTCCATGATTTCCCTTTACATTATCAGTTACAGTTATTCCGCCCTTTAGTACAGTTCCGCATGCTAAATGATATAAATACGGATTTCTTAGGTTTGTAATGATTCTATTGGAAAAAAAATTAAAAACCTAATAATATTTAACTATGTTGTGCTTCTTTGTTAAATTCTGTATTTATATCTCTCAAGCTGTAAATTGAAATACTGAAATATTCGGTTAACTTTGTAAGGTTCCTCACTTTGGAATTCTAAGTTAATGTTGGAAGTGAAGAACCTAGCAACTGATAAGCGAATAATCGCTAGAGTTCGATGACAGGAAACAACAAGAGAGAAGGGTAAATAACCCTTTATTATTTCTATAAGATTTAACAAAACTCCGCCTGGGAGTGAACAAATAAAGTCCGCACTTTGGACTTGAACTTAAAAGACTAAGAATTAAACTAAAACTAAGATTAACTAAAAGTATAGCCAAAGCTATCAAGGCTCAATGAGAGTTGGCCCCTTAACTTATTTTACTACGAAGCTTAGCAAGGGCCTGAGTACGGCCGAGCGTAAAACAGCTTTGAGAGAGAGAGCGGCCAAAAAGGCAGACGCGCGTACTTCAGAAGCTCTGTTTCTCTCTCTGGCTCAGTAAGTAACTTCGTGGTTTAAATACCGCTCCTTCTCATTAAATATTCAGCAAAATCCAAAACTACGTTCTGGCCGGAAGTAGTAAGTTGAAGTTAAGAATTTGACAGGAAAGGAACTTAAATTTTAAGTGTTAATAAAATTAACATAATCCTTACAACCTAACTAATAATATTGTATGGTTGGTCTCGCATCTGAACAACTGCCGTTATTTCAGTTGTTATTACGTCAAGTGAATGCTGCAATCTTGCAAAAGGTATTAAGTAAGTTTTTGGCTTCCCTGTTCCGGGAACTAAGCCCACTACATGTCTACTCCCCCTTTGGGCACATCGTGGAGGTTCAACCTCCACTATTACCCTCCAGGAGAGCAGCGCACCACCTGGATAAGACACCAGGCAGCACCGGTCGTCTAATGCTCCCTACCAGTCGCTTGGGCGAGCCCGTCGCAGCGAGACATTACCCAGCGACCCCGGGGAAGACCCCTGGGTTACTAGAACCACGCCGCGCTAGGACGTGCCAGACTCCGAGGCCGGCCAATAAGTGACCTTTCCCAGAGCCTTCAGAACCACCAAGTTCATAAATTGTATACCCCCGTGACCGAGACTGCCTAGGTACAGATCCTAGCCAGTAGCTTCGCAGAGTTCTCTACGTCGACCCCCGGGGGGGTTGCAAAAGGTATTAAGCCAGATTCGTTTTCTAACGGCACATAACCTAGTTCTGTTTCTTGAGTGTCTCTGCAAGACATTTATAGTGTACCATAAATACTCAGTACAATTAAATATTATGAGTGGAAGACCATTGGAATATATAAGAGTTTGTAAAAAGTTCCTCGGCATTTCAAATTTGTGCGGGCACAATGGAAAATTGTATTAATCTTCAAGTAAAACCCCATTATCACCAGGACTTTCATAAAGAGGTGCGAAAGTTCCGCCAAAAGTTCTATTAATATTATTCTGCCAATAAAGACTCCATTGTTACTAGTGGTCTTTGCATGATTCAAAGAAATATATTCTGTGCTAATAAAGAAAAACATCTGCTTACACAACATATCTGCTTACTGACAGGCCGAATCCTTTATTTTATGTTTTCTTCTCTATGGAAGAAAACATCCATTAGCTCCAAACAGCTGCAATCATATTCGTCTGACTGATCTACAAGATGCCAAGCCCTTATGTCCAATAATGATAGTGTGTATCCTAGATGAAAGGAGTTAACCAATGGCATGTGCAGTATTTTGATTGATGGCTTGTGTGCTCAACATTAAACTAGGATGTGTTCAATGTGTTCTTCTTTGATGAATTACCATTTTTCTCAAACGAAGATGGTTATGTTCTTGCATCATTTATGAACGGCTACACTCTTTACGCGTTACTGATGTTTGTTCGAAACTGACACATTTCTAATGTACTCTTGATATCGTCTAAGAAAATCATCGAATTTGCACTCTTGGAGATCCCACCTAGCCAATTTTAAATAATCTGTGATCTATCGGCCATGAAAATGAAGATAAACTATGCGCACAATTCATGCCAATCAACTCTCCACTGCGAAAGAGTGTTATAAGTTTTAACTTCTATAGCATGTATATGATTCGGCTGAAAGTATTCGACGCTGAGAGGAGTAATTAGAATCTTAAACAAAGCTATCCCTTATATGTTTAACGCTTTAGTTAATATAACTGGAGAGCGTGATAATCACGCATCTTTTACAGCGAGTTCGGCAGTACTTAAAGTACACTCATGTCCATAAATTAAGGATAATTCGGAGTCACGCGAAAATCGAACTCTAAAATAAATATATCACCTGTAAAATCACTAGACACATCTTGAAGAATCACATGCAAATTTCAGGAAGTAACCAGATGACACCTATGGTACGTCACAATGACGTAACCAGATGATACTGATGGTACGTCACGATCAGTGTAAGAGAGTGATATATAAGCAATACAGGCAAAGAAGTAAAATTGTTCGCAGGCGCTTTATAAGCATTTCAGTACAATAAACGAATAGTTATGACACAAAGGACGCATTTGGATGATTTCTTACGTGGTAGAATTAACAACCGTCTGGAATGTGGGCGTACCCAACTGGAAGTATCAGACGAACTTGGAATTGCCCAGAGTGTCATCTCCAGGCTTTGGCAACGATTCCAAGATGATGGTAATGTGAGTAGACGTTACAGCACAGGTCGCCCCAGAGTTACAACGCCGAATGACGACCGGTATTTGGCAGTTACTGCCAAAAGAAACAGGCGGAGCACAGCTTCAGACCTGTCTCGTCAGCTCTCTTTAGCCACTGGTACGACAATTTCAAGGCAGACCTTGTACAGACGCTTAGGGCAGATTGGTCTATATGCTCGTAGACCTGTCAGATGCGTTCCACTTACTGCAACTCACTGTCGCCTGCGGTTAGCCTGGAGTAGAGAGCATGCACTGTGGACACCGCAACAGTGGGCTTCTGTGATGTTTCCTGACGATTCCAGGTTTAGCTTGCAGTCTGTTTCTCGCCGGACTTTCATATGGAGAGCTTGAGGTACCCGTTACCACCAAGAAAACATCACTGAACGACACCGTTACGGTGGTGCAGGAGTGCTCGTTTGGGGTAGAATTATTCTGCGTTCCAGAACTGACCTGCATGTTCAAATTGGAACCATGACAAGCCAAACCTATCGGGACGTCATTCTGGAACAACATGTACGTTTGTTTCGAAGCGCCATGTGCGCACAATTTGTGTTTATGCATGACAACGCCCGTCCTCACCGTGCAAACATCGTAAGCGAATGCCTTCATTCGGAGGATATCACTCGTATGGACTGGCCAGCATTCTCACCGGACAGGAATCCAGTACATCCCGTGTGGGACATGCTTGGCCGACGAGTTGTAGCCCTTCAACCTCCTCCTACATGTCTACCGGAACTTCGGAGAGCATTGCTTTTTGAGTGGTGTAATTAATATCCCCCAAGATCAGATCGATAATTTGATACTCAGCATGCCTAGGCGTTGTACGAACTGTATTGCATCTGTGTCTGTACTGGGAGACATACAATGTATTAACAATCATACCAACCATGTAATATTGTTTTTTTTGTAAGTAGGTCTTTTTTGTAATTTGCTCCAGGGAGAAAAAATCGCTAATTTTTTTAATAATATCAAACATATAGCATCTGTTTTTGCTCTTTATTTTATGTTTAATAAATAAGCTTTACAAATAAGTCAAATTTGTTTTGCTTCTAACTCTTCCTTTGCCTGATTTTGCATTATCCTTAATTTATGGACATGAGTGTACATTTACTTCGCTTTAATCCTCATTGGGTTTTCTCGAATCATCTAAACATGTCCTGTTGTGAGAAGAATATGGCTTTATTCTCGTAACTAAGGAAAAGACAAATTTAATGTTGCCCAATAAAAAACTTTGATATGCTTAGGGTTTTTCCTAAATTCTTGCTTTAATTTATTCATGTTCTTTTCAGGGCAAAAGTACAACATCTGGTCACCGAACGCTATTATATGGCCATGCAGTATTGCTACGGCATCACAATAGTAACATGGTAAGTTAATACCTGAAGTGTGAAGATTTCGTTTCAAATATTTCGATATTTTATTTTAAAAAGTAAAAGTTATTTTTATAGTTATAACGGGAAAAAGATATTTGTAAAAGCTATCTATATAATTCAACTAATAAAAAGGCAAAGTAACTTCTAAGCTGCTTTCTAATGATAATGTCATGAGTATGTTACAAAACAGTACTCCCATTTAATATTCAAAAGATTTTTTTTTTTTTTTCAGTTTGTTAAGAGAGAATTTAAGTACATATGAAAACTACATACGAAATTAGTCGTCGAGAAATGCATAATAGCAAATATTAGCTGCCTAATGATCGATTAAAAAATATTAAGTATGGAATTTTTGATAGCTAATAATAGCAAACTTTCTGATGAAATTTATCAAAATTTTAAAAATTCCTGAAAATTTTCAAAATTTGCTCAGCATCTCCAAATGTAGTAGATTTTGATATTTTCAATTTCCTATTTACATCCATATATCAGTTAATGTTTTTAACGTAATGTATACTTCTAAAAGAGTAAAAGCACTTGTAAGTTTATGTTTATTGCTTTATTTTCAATATTTTATCGAAAACACTTACTAAAATTTTCTACAAAAGTACAATTTGCATTTGTTTCGAACTTTAATTGATTCAAGGTATAAGGTATTTCTCCCACTTTCCTGGCGTGCCTTCGTGGTGTAGTGGTTCTGCACGCTGGGCCGGTATTCCAGAGGCCCGTGGTTCGATTCCCGGCGAAGGCATGCTAATTTTTCATTTCTCCGGCCTCCAAGAAAAACCTAATGTCTCTACAGTGGCGCCCGAACTAAAAAGGGTGTTCGATGAGGTTTCTTCACACCCAGGGCTTGGCAATTGGGTCCCCTGAAAGCCCCAGTCGTCCTTTAAAAAGGGGCGTATATAAAGTATTTCTCCCACTTTTCTGGTGTGCCTTCGGGTTGCAGTGGTTCTGTGCGCTGGGTCGGTATTCCAGAGGGTCCGTGGGTCGATTCCCGGCGAAGGCGGTTGCTAATTTTTCATTTCTGCGGCCTCCAAGAAAAACCTAATGTCTCTACAAAGGGACTATTCAGTTCATGTACTCAAAACGAAAACTATTAAATTTCTAATAAATTTTTATGATGAAACAAAAATAAAGAAAAAGTAACTATAAGATTTAAATAAAGATTTGAGAAGAAAAGAGGTAAACACTAAAAGCATGCTTTCTCTCAAGACTTTCCACACCTTAAGAATTCATTTTTGTCAATACATTTAGATCAAGAAAATACTCGCACAAATTTCACCTTGCAAAATATTGAGGTCTGTTGAATACTTTCACTTTTCAGTAAATATTTTTATTTTTGTAAGGTGCAAATAACTTTATTACAATTTGCAGAATTTGAATTCCGAATTTTAAAAATTAAGGAAGTTTTGGATTAATCTTTTAATTTCAAACTGTATTTTTATTTGGTGGTGTAAACTCTTATAATGTAGTTTAGATACAGCCAGAATATTGATAATAGATTTTAATACAAGAGGATGTTAAACCGAAAATTCTGATTTCTGAGATATTAAAAGAACGTGAAAGGCCTGAGGAAAATTGGACGAAGAAATAGAAGCAATTCTCTATGAAACTTAATCATCTGAAGAGAATTATTCTGAAAATGAATCATGTAGCACATCTGAAAGCGAATTCACAGATGTCTCATTCATTAATGAATCCGAAAAAAGAAACAAAGCCTCAATCATATAGCACAAGTTTAATAGGAAAAGGCGATACAATTTTGTTTAGTATAAGATGGGGGGGCGAGACAAAAATATAGCTTACAATGGGTGCATTTTGTAATCAGAATATGGTTTAAAAACTAGGTTGCAGTTAATAAAAGCATGTTTCCACAGCACTACTTTGCAATGTTTGGTGTCAGAGTTTTATTCTGATTATATTTCTCTCATTTCACTTTGATAGCTTTAGATTATTCTGAAGACGCTTACAAGTATATTGTAATTGGTGGTGGTGGTGTATTTAATTATGGCAAAGCACACGAGGGCTATCTGCCTAAAGGGGGATGCCTTTTTGGGGGAGGACTTTTCTAAGGGAATTCAAACTGTCGTATAACACATGGGGAAAACCACGAAAAACGACCATGCAGCCAGCCCGTTCGCGGGATTCGAACCTCAGACCGAACTACCAGTGTTCAGCGTCTTTACCGCTCGGCCGCTGGTGGGCGTATATTGTAATTGAAATAAGCTGGTTGGGGTATCTTGTTTAAGAAAACTACAGAAATTATTAAATGTGATTCAATGTTTTAACTTATTTTAATTACTTTCGTTGAATGAGAAGAAATGGATATGCATTTAATATACTTTTTAAATTATTTCCGTTTCAGAAAATATTTTCTTACTTTAACTAGAACATTCTAATATAATAACATAATATGCAATATTTTTTTTATTTTTAGTACTTAGCTTGTCTTTCGACAAGTTCGTCCAATGACAAATTGGCATTCGATGTTGGCTTACAAGAACACAGTCAAGGTACGTACGTATATACTGGACCTTTATTAAAGAACCAAATCCTTGTGATAAATTTATCATAATTATTATTTAACAAAAATTGTGTATTGAAAGTCGTTCTTGGTCTATGAGAATATAAATGACTATAAAAATAGTAAAATCACTATAAGAATAATAAAACCCGTTTCTATAAGTTAAGGAACAAATAAACTCAATATATGTGCAGAATGAAAAATTCTTTAGCTAAGTTAAAATTTTAAGGGGAATTGGAACCCCAAAATTTTTAAAAAATTGTGATTTCGGATTTTTGCATTTTCAAATTCTCTACACTTTTATCTTTCTAAAAATACCATTCTTTAATCTCTATGAAAATTAGAACTGTAAAAAAATTTAGTTTTAATTGACATCTAACTGCTTTGATCATGAGGATTTTTTACATAAATGTACCTTTTCTAATTCCTGCTGACAGGTATCTAAACTTTTATGGCTTATTTATTAGGTTCCGAATATTTACTGAAATGAGCCTTTGTAATAAACTTAGAAAAAAATGTTTTTTAAATTTTTTTGTGTGAGAAAGTAAATTTTTACTATGGCCTAACAAAATACCCTGTAATTTACTCTAAAATTCAAAATGTTCAAAGCTCATTCAGTGTAATCAGATAGGTATACTTTAATTACAGAAAAAATTTCAAGCTTGTATCTACAGCAGATTTTGATGAAAGGTACATCGAAAATGGCCAGTTTAACATTGTCGGTATAGGGGTTTCTGATACCCCTTAAAAAACACTGTGCATCAAACGTTTGCTTCCTATCAAAATCGATATTTGTGAATAAAGTCCAAAAACATTTCGAATTTAAGTAGGCAAATGGTTTCATTAGCAAATGTGGTCATTTCTCAATTTAATGACACGCGTGATTCTCTCAGCATAATGACATGATGATATGCAGCGACGTTTTATTTTGATGATAATGGCTGGTAAGAAAGGAATATGCTATGCAAAACTTTGAAAGTTTCTTCATGGGTGTGAAGTGGAACTGAAGCAGAAATACGCTTTCTTAAAACACTCCATATATGGTGAGTAATGTTAGTTAAGAGTTGGTAAGTTAAGAGACTTTGTTGGATGTCCGCGCGTCTATGATCATCTCTTTTTGAAGATATTCTACCAGCCTAACATTAGGGATAAAAGAACTATTACATTTTAGAAGATATTAAAACGTATGCCACTTGTATAAAAGTCATAACTGAAGCTTATTAGTATAATAAATCATATATCTGCCTGAACTTTGTAAGGTAAAAGAAGATTTTAGGATTCGTTTAAAAAGCACATATGATCGTGACCTTCGGGAATTCTCCAGTTGATCTTGACATGATCCACATAAAGAGATGACTTTTCAGACCCTTACGCTAATAAAATCATTAAGTATCCTTTCTACAATTATTAGAGAGATATTTGGATCTTTTCTCCAGATAACAGTACATATACAATTACTTTGCAAAAGGAATCTAAATTGTGGGCAGTGGTGTGTGCAATGAAAAAAACACAAGATCCTACAGATCATCTAGCATCAGGACAGGACAAGACTATGTGTTAGAAGCACCAACACATCGCCATTGGCAGAACTGGTGTTGCTCCTTCACACTAACAGTCTTGAGATGAACACCTCCACAGGCCTTACGGGCATCGGTGTTAATTGAAACGTTAAATTTAGGGCAAGGAACTTGGGTACGGGAATCAGTTGCTGATGACAATGGATACCATACATACAGTTGTGGTGAATTATAAATATAAATATATGTACACAAATAAACACAAATAAACAAAAAGAAATGAATGGAAAAACATTAAACAGTATTGTCTTGGCTAAGTTATTGTGATATTAATGTGATGTTATTGGGATCATCTAGTATCAATTGGTGGTATTTCTTGCAGATAGTAGAAGCTGATATTAGCCTTCCTTTAATCTCATGAGAGTATCTTAACTGTTTTAATGTACGGCCCTATTCCGTGCAGTTGCTAATCTACATCAGTTGTCCGCTGGGGCTTGTAGACATACAACTTCTTTACTATACCTGCTGATGGAAAATATTTGAAATTAATTTTTTTAAATGGAAATCTGTAAACTACAGAACAACTCTCATTAAACTATCTGACTTACTTTAGCTGGTCTCTCGTCTACTAATAGTTTTTCTCTTGTGATCTTTAATTAAATTATTGTGGTTCCTAGCCCCATAAGGAAATCAAAAAGGTCAAATATATCGTCTCTGCAATTCAGACCTGCGCTAATAAACAACTCAATAAGGCATTTTTATGCTACACGTTATGCGTACTTGGCAACAGTATTTTCTTTTGCTTACAAAACATACAATATATTACTCGGTTATTGCAGTTTTTTTATTTTATTTGTAATGTATGGAGCAGTTTATTATATGCAATTTTAATAGGAAAAGTAGTACAATGAAATCATTGTGTTATCGAAACTTAAAGCATGTATTATTCTGTAAAATCATATTCACTTTTGAGATGTGCTCATAAATGTACTAAAACTGGTATTTTTCTTTCAATGGAACAGGGGAAGCGTGTTGGTGGACAATCCACCCAGCATCGAAGCAAAGGTCTGAAGGCGAGAAAGTTCGAGTCGGTGATGACCTGATCTTAGTGAGCGTCGCAACTGAAAGATATCTGGTAAGATGCTTCGATTTCAAAATGAAAAAATAATTGAAAATTGACAGACAATATAAAATGAGCTGCATGCTCTAATATCATAAAGGATACTAATTCAGAAGTCAAACAAAAAAATCAGCGTTATACCTACTTTCAAGACAGTTTTCAACATATTAACATCAGTTAACAATTTCCCTCAACACCCACAGCCACACTCTTATTTTAGGAGATTATAAAAATTCTGTTGTCATTCCCTTCTTTCCATCAATTAGCTATAAAGTTGCACATATTTTGCAGAAATTTAACTTTCGGGTTGTTTATTCTCCCATCAATAAAATTCCAACTTCTATACTCAAGGACCCCATTCCGGATATGAATTCCTGGGGTATTTATAGGATTCCTTGCCAGTGTGGTTTTCATTGGCCAAACTAAGAGAGCCTTAAAATTTCGCGTCAAAGAACATGAGGCATATGTTAGAAAAAAGGAAACACAGAAGTCTTCTGTTGCTCAACATTGTTGGTCCGAAAATCACACTTTCAATTTTTCTGCTGCCAAAATTATTCAAAAAACATCTTCCATTGGAGAACTGGATTTTCTAGAGGCATTTCACATTCATAAAAATCTTTCTGTTCTAGTTAACGATCCTAATTCCAATCCAAATTTGCCTTCGGCTTTTAGAGAAATTATGTTTTAGTTCTGGTTTCGCCAACAGATGGCGCCACTTGCTTATTCTTGTCCAGGCTTTCTTATCTTATCTAATCATTATTTCCTATCTTGTTCATTTGCGGTTTTGCAGCTGAAGATGATGGTTCGGTAAAACCATCGAAACTAGTCCTGTGAAAATTTTGTAGGTATAACGCTGATTTTTGTTGTTTGACTTCTGAATTAGTATTTATTCGGCGTGTTATTGTGTCTTAATCATAAAGGATGATTGAAATCTATGACAATTTAATGTAATAGTTGCAGAACATTTAATATCAATTGGTATTTCAACATATTCAATCTGACCCCTAAAATAACTGTAGTGTAAACTTATTTTTCAAATTTCGGCAGTGAATTTATGACCAACTATTGAGACCTTTTTATGGTAATTATAATAAATTCCACTAAAGGAAATTTTTTAACTATCTGTTGAGTTGCTTCGACGAAAATCCGCGAATTCTAGATAATTGTAAGGAGTATTTTTAATAATCAATTATTAGCTACTACCAGCAGGAAAACAAGTTGCTATATTTTTAACATTTAGTATCTCTAGAGATATTATGTCTTTAATTGCGTATTTGTAAATATGCATTGCTGAAGTATTTCTGTGACGGAAATTTTTAGGAAGAATATTTTAGAATTCAATAGTTATTAGCTGCTACCAAAAGAAGGACAATTTGCTATATTTCTAATAATAGTATCTCTAGAGATATTACGTCTAATTGCTTATATGTAAATTCGCACTGCTGAAGTATTTCAATGATGGAAAATTGTCAAACTGTTGAAACAAAATGATGCAATATCGTATTCTAGAAGATGTAATTGTTGCATGGCTTTCAATCCAATACGTGGTTTGACATTGCCTTGGAGCATTATGGCACCCACTTGGTTGACCAACCACTATTGGCTGCTAACTGTAAGGTGTTGGATCATTTACGCGTACTTAACACAACACCCATCTGTTAATGCAGCTTGACCCGTGAGAAGAATCTAAAAGATGGCTGACGACAACGAAAGTTCCATTATCTGGTTACCTTCTTTGGGTGCAGAGATGCTTCTGTGTATATTTCTTGGAACATGTTTTACACTGAATTGTTGAACTGAATATATGTGATTAACATACAAAGCTGACTCATAAATGCGAGAATCATAACTCATAAATGCGAGAATCATAAATACGAGAGACGAGAGTTTACTTCAGATCGTTTTGCCTTATTTTGATATGCGAATTCATGTGACTTCCAACTACGAAGCTTTTTTAAATTACTATGTTATTGCTAAATCTAGGAAATAACTAAATGGAGAAAATTCAGACACACGACCTGCTGAACACTATGTTCTTCGATCAGATTCAATTAGTCAGGGCACTTTAACTATGGTTTTTTGTTCAGGAGGATCAACAGGGAAAGTGTTAGTAGCCATTCAGTTCAGTTTGAAGACTCGTATTTATTGACCTATAATTTACGAATAACTCTAAAGGATTCATTTGGTGACAGTTACTCTACCAATATCTGTATTTTTAGACTCAGTAGATTTTTCAAATTTAAACTCTTAATGAATATTAACTTTTAGTAATTTGTTTTCGTTGTTGACTTTGTTCAAGTGGTTTTTTTTTTTTTGTTCAATTACTCTCTCTTTAAAGCAAGCTTTTATTTACTGCATCATACATGTTTGTATATGTCTTGTACCATAAGAAATCTGCATAAATCTTCGATTTTGTATTAATTTTAGCAGGCAAAATCAGTTGCAATATCGACCATTACATTAACAACAACCCAAGGTGCATTTCGTTTAAATATAAACAGTTCGAAGTGCCTAATATTATAATAATTCGGCAACGTAAAATAATTTTAACAGTTTACTTTTAATGTGCCAAGCAGTAAAATAGCTTAAAGCATGCACAATAAAATAATGGTAAAACACGAGACTATTACTTTACGCAGAAGTGCAGAAAATTAGCCATGAAGGATTTATTTCTCACATAAACAGTTACACACTTTCACTATAAAGGCTCTAAAAAACTCCCAAACTGTCTTTTAGTACATCTACAAAGAGAAGTTTCGATGGTGACTGCAAAATTAATTATAAATTCAATTTAAACAAAGTATTTTTACGTAAACAAACGTAAAAGTACTTTGTTTAAATTTCAGTTTAAAAGAATGTAATTATAGTTCGTATGAGATTATTCCTGACTTCGGAACTTCAGACGAAAGTAAGAGAATTCTGTATTCTTTAAAAGATGTAATTACTTCAGTATACGAGTATCATTAATACACTTTTTAAACTGCTAGAAGAAGAAATACTGAAACTTGCCAGACTTTGTTTGGTGTTATAAATTAACAAATGTTATAAAATTGAAGAATTGCTGGTAATTTTTAGCATCATTTATGCAATTCTTCTGTTCTAGAAGAATGAATCAAAAGAATTTAACTATCAGGGAGGCAGATTTATATTTTATTTTGTCCAGAAAATAGAAATAAAACTTGAACTTACATTTTCTTGTCTTTTAAAAAACTTGTTACGATAAAGGTGGGTACAGCTATTATGAAAATTATAATCGTTTGATATGAAATTTAATCTGGATTAAAATCTGGTATTTACTTCAATTTGCAGCACACAGCTCGTGAAGGAGCAGAAACTATTGTAAATGCAAGTTTTCATTTGACGCACTGGTCCGTGGCTCCTTTTGGTACTGGATCGAGTAGAGTGAAATCTGTTGGTAAGTTGAGTGAACTAGAATTTTATGCTTATTTTTCATATTATTTATCTGTTATTGTCTTTAGAAATGCATTTAAATTTTATTAGGAAACTTAAAAAACCTCAATTAACCACGGAAACGGGGAAAACTCTTTAAAAATGCATTAGCGCAAAATTCCGCAGTTTCATAAAATTAAAAATATCTTAATATAATTATTTTCACTTTTCAGTGTTGAATGGCACTATCAGTCGTAGTGCCATTACGACTGATACGACTGTTAGTCGACTATCAGTCGTATCAGTGGATAGTCGTTACGACTGATAGTCGTAGTGCCATCCAACATTTGTCAAACTGGTGTAAAGTTGGGGACAAAATTGGAACTTCAATTCTTACTAAATTAAAACAAATCTCGTCCGCTTGTGATATGCACATTCAATGAATTCCCTCACATGTGGACATTGGGGGAAATGAAGAGGCAGACGTCCTGGCAAAGAAGGGTGCCGAAGAGGCTCTGGCTACTTCCAATTGTCTGACTTACCTTGAGCTGTATTCTGCCAGAAAAAATACTCATAAATTGACTTGGCTTGTCACTCCTACACACTCTTGGTACCGCGTTGAATCCCCTGGTGGATCCCTCGCTATGAACTGTGACAGATACACCCAGACGGCAATCTCCCTCTTTCTTAGTGGCCATTTAAGAAGCCTTGCCTTCCAGGGAGATCAAAAAACACACCCGATTTCTCCGAAATGTAACAATGAGCAGGCTTCTCCAGCACGTATCCTTAGGTGTCTCGGTTTGTCCTATGACGACCTGATTAAGTCTACTATGCTAGTTTATGACTTTTTGAAGGTGAATAAATTCGTAGATCCCGTCTAGCAGAAGCTGGACTCGAGGATTAGTAACAAAAATAACAACATTTTCACTTTTCTTCAATGTCCCAGAAATTCGTAAATTTAAACATCAGTTGAATTTGTACAACATTCACTTGTTTACATGTTAATAGGTTTATGATTTTTTTGTGACGAAACTTTCGGTCCAGTAAATATTGAACATGTTTCATATCATTTTGGAGAAATTGTATATGCAAACTAGTGTTAAGAGTGCAGTGACAATGCATACGTAATTTTAACTTACTTGCATACAAAATCTTACGAGACTTGAGAGGAAAATCAATTAATACGTCAAGTGGAATTCTGTATTTCTTTGATAGCTTCCATGTGATCCTCCTTTCGGCAAGGCCTACCGACTTGAGAGGAAAAGCAAGTAATACATCAAGTGGATTTCTGTATTTCTTTGATAACTTCCATGTGATCCTCCTTTCAGCAAGGCCCACCGACTTGAGAGGAAAAGCAAATAATACATCAAGTGGAATCCTGTATTTCTTTGATAACTTCCATGTGATCCTCCTTTCGGCAAGGCCCACCGACTTGAGAGGAAAAGCAAGTAATACATCAAGTGGAATTCTGTGCTTCTTTGATAACTTCCATGTGATCCTCCTTTCGGCAGGGCCCACCAGCGGCCTAGCGGTAAAATTGTTGAATACTGGTAGTTCCGACCTAAATTCGATTCCAAGGGAACGGGCTGGCTTCATAGGCGTTTTTGTGGTTTTACCAATGTGTAACATGTACACAAGCCAGTTCCTCGTAGAACGTCCTCCCCGAGGACATCTCTTCTCTTAGGCAGATAGCCCTAGTGTGTTTTGCCATAAAAAACCATACTAAACCTGTTGGTCGTGTAATGTTTCATTTAGTTCGGCGGCACCGTAATCACTCAAAACCGATTTTTAAGAAACGTTAAAATTCCTGCTGCATTTTGCAGTACAGTCATATGCAGTAAAACCTGAGTATCTCGACAATTGAATAAATCTTAATCGAGATTCCGCATATAACTCGAAACTCGACTTTTCTTCAAAATATATGTTATAGATACAATAAAAAATACTATAAATAGGGTCTTAGTAAAAAACCTCTAGAAGGTTAAGTTTTAATAGTAGCAGGATGTCAAAATACAGCTGCACATTTTTTACAGAAGCTTTTTGATTGCAGCTTTTTTATACCAGTGCGACTCTTACTATCTGATATTTATTTATTTTGATTTAAAATAACTGGAGCAATTAAATATCATTTATTTTTAGGTTACGTATTTGGAGGAGAAGTGTTACGTTTCTTTCATGGAGGTGATGAATGTTTGACGATACCACCCACGTGGGCAGATGCACCTGGACAAAAGTAAATATTTAAATTATTAGCAATTTTTTATGAATTAGTTCTGTTTCCGCGATTCCTCTTTCCGCGTTTTTCAAAATTCTTCCTGTTCCCGCGAAATCGGAGAGTACAGTACCCATCCCACAGCTCCTCAGGAGATGTCTTGATGAGTCATTAAGAACAGCCGGGCAGTTTCTTTCTGAATAAGTTAGTCTTCGTCAGGACTTGGAAGAGATACTCTATTTATCCCTGGTCTTCGTTAGAGTGAAGATGTGTCTTAGTTTAGGCTCTTCTTGAAATCTTAAGTTTCATTCCATTTATAATTCTGCTACAATATTAGCTGTTAGTTTCACATCTTATATTAATCAATATGAATGTTTTAGACATTATTAGAACTAAAAGGAAGAAAAAATACCTTTAGCTTGTGATGTTGCGTGGCCCCAACTTGCCCGCAACAGTAGTAGTGACTGCTATGAACTGGAAATTACACAAACACTTAAGAAGGTTTACTCCCTTTTTATTCCTTTAGAAGTTACAGATGCGTTCACTTACGCTCACAACTACGCCGACCCGCGGTTAAATAAAATTAAGAAAGTACAACTAAAATAAAATAACAGGATGAATAAATAACAAGTCCCTACCTACGAGGCTCTATAACGTGACTAACTTAACCCGCGTTCTAAGATACGCGGATTTCAGCAAACTTTCTGATAAGAAGGCAAGATTCAACTAACTGCCAAGTAGGATACAGGCCGAAACGCGTTCTTAAATTTCTACCTAGCAACCTTCACTCTCATGATCAAGAAAGCACACCTACAAAGCGTTCGCTTATATTTAACTAAAAATACTTCTGCTAAAATTTGAATATTCTGGCGTTTCTAAAATTACATACTCTGGCATGGCAATTCCAGGGGAAAGTAAAGGCTTGACAGGAAAGATAGCTTAAAATAAATGTTAGTTAAAATAAATATAAACCCTACAAGCTCTTTATAAAGGTCATCAGTATCGAATTCAGAAAAAAAAATAAGGAAAATGTAGTTTATTAGATTTGCATAAATGAAAGAATTAAAAGCTGCAGAAGCGCAATTAAGACGAAAGTCGTCGTCGTTTTAGAACGAATATTTATTCTGAAAGATTTTATATAACTCACCTTTATGCAGAATTTCGGAAGAATATTGTTTTTTACTTTAGGAAATAATCTTTTAGTTCATTGTTAAAATCATCGCAGAGTTTGAACATCTCTCTCTCTCTCCTTTTAAATACAGTGTTATTTTCATTCATGCAAAGATCTGAAGTCGTAAATATTTTTCGATTATTTCTCTTCAAAATTCTTCTTTTTAAATTTAAAAAAAAATTCGCTTTCCTACCTTTCGGGAGAGACCAAGGTCCATTCGGCCTTCTACAATGTAACCTAACCCCTTTGGGATGGGGGGTAATGAAGATTGATGACTTCGCAGAAACAGGAATCGCGGAAAAAGGAAGACACCATTTTTTATCACAGGTTTGCGTTTAAGTTATTAAAACAGCTTTTATAGTATGTAAATATTGTATTTTGGATTTTATACAATGCTGATTAAAGTATAAACTTACAAAACAACATGTTCTATGCAGTTCATAGCCCTTGAGAATTCTCGAAAATTATACCGCTTCCTGCTCTAGAAAAAATGGTTTTTACATTTATAAGTGTTTATATGCATAAATATGTTCAATTTTGTTACTTGACTGTGATATTTTATTATTCGAAATCCATTTTACTGTTATAATTAATTGAATTACATAGGCTTTGGTGCTAAGGTTTGTGTGTTGTTTATGAACACAGTTTCTTTTAAGCATCCTGTCGAAAATCACTTTAGGCTAGAAAGAGCTTTAAAGCTCTGTGGTTACAGTGTTTAGATAGATTCTATCGTGGAAATGCTCCGTAATGTATTTTCATAATGGAATTTGCTATGTAGCATTTCGCATCATCTTCGCATATCTATTCTTCTGCTCTGAGATATGAATGCCAGAGTATATCTTGTTGTTTCTCAGAGCCCATGGTAGTTTCAGTGAGGAAAAGCTGATATCTTGTTGCCCTTTTTGGTATACAAATACATGAGCATAATGAAACAATATAGGAAACGGAGAAATACTGCTGATAATATATGTTGCAAATTATATAACTTTAACCCTTTCCGGCACGCTACCTTTTAAAATTGGAGTTTTTGATTAAAAAAAAAAAAAAAGGTAGGCAGTCTAATTAGGCCTAGAGGAGTACACAAGTAAAATTTTGTGAAGATAGTACTTATCGTTTTAATTCTGTGGGTGTGCCCGAAGAGGGCACACTGATTGAATAGAGCTTCGAAAAGGGTGCTGAAAGGAGCATTGTTGTCAATGAACTGACCGATGAGATGCGGAGATACAAAAGAATAAAGACTCTCAGTTGTCCTAGATTATCGGTGAGCCCGGTCTGGGCACACCTAGGGTTCGCCGTTTGATTTTAGGCAAGATTTCAAGGTAAACATTTAAAACTAATATAGAATAAAGAGATTAGCATATAGCCAAAAACTAACATAGAAATTTATTTTCAAACAATTTCTTTTATACCCTAAACAAGTTTGGAAGATTTCTTTGAAAAATGAGAGTCTTAAAAACTAAACATGGTTAAAATATATGGACTGGTTTGTGTTGAGCTGCCACCTGCTATAAATGAAGAAGGTTCAGAGTAAACTATAGTAACTTATAAATCTTTTTTCATTCAATTTTTCTGTTTGTACAGAAGGAAATTTTTAGGTGTGTCCAGAGCGGACACACTGTGCCGCAGAGGGTTAAAGCTGTGTTGCATATTTAATTTGAACATTTTTGATATGTTCCATCTACTCTTTTGAACGCATTTATATATTTAAAGTTTTCAAGCAATAATTTTAGTTCAAAGTAAAGAGTTTATTATTTTTTTTTGGCATTCACTTAGACTTTAAACATTCACAGTAGACAGTTTGGTGTATAAAATTAATAAAATCTTTTTGATCTACTAAATAATTTTATATTTCAGCATCGTAGTTTACGAAGGTGGAGCTGTGCTTAATCAGGCTAGATCCTTATGGAGATTAGAACTAATAAGAACAAAGTAAGTAGTATTTTATATTACTGGCATTTAACTCAAGAAGAGCTAACTAACTAAAGAAGGTTTATTTACCATTTATCTATTATACACCTGCAGGTTTTACTTATCTGTTAAGTTTTTATTCAATAGTCAAATAAATTAAACCGACTGACTTTCATTCAGCTACAGAAGCATATTAATGGACGAGTAGCTTAGATAGAGAAACACTGGTAACTTTGTTCAGTGATTTTTGATTATGAAGTTCTCCTCGAAAGCAACAATTTTCATTAACAGATATCACAGAATAAATTAGATCATGTTTTTGAATTTTCCCTGATCCACAAATTTTCGTATGAATTTTTAAAAATGGTGTCACTAAATTAAGTTTATGTATTCTTATTTGTTGCAAATAATTTTTTTTTAATTTAACGCTGGCACACTATCTGTAGAACTCTTTTAAAAATGCATATGATGTAGTATGAAAAAAGCAGATTTGATTCAAAATTCATTAAGTCGTCAGCTCATTTAGGTGCAAATTACATATGATTTCGAAATGGGGTTTTGGGTCAGTATAAACGGCGAACCTATTTTTCAAATTGTTGCCACCAAATATTATCGCTCTGCATTATTTTTAAAGAAATTAAATAATAAAGAATCTGTATGTTTGAATATGTGTTCCTTGCATTGTAAAAAAATGATAGTACTTAGAGCAGTCAAATTTTGAATAACGTATTCCTCCATCCGAATATGTGAACTTGGAAGCCAGAAGTTTGAATTTCGAATTTGTTTTATTATTTATTTCATGTTTTATAAAACTTTAAATGCGTTGGAAATGCGAAGGAAATGAATGTTTGATCAACGATGTGCAGTGGCAACAGTATACGGAATAAAACATATTTATCTCCAGCGCGAAAGACTGTCTATCGGGAATTGTAAAGATGTGCTGCTTTGAAATATTGAGTATAACAGCAGACCGGTAGACAGCGAGCTCAACAAGACCGTAAAATGCTTTAAAAAATATTTTTTCTTGACCGCTAAAATCTGAAACCTTTCAAAATTTTTTTATCTAATATCTAGCATTTAGTGTGTTCTTCTTATGATTGAATCAAAACTTTTAAAATCGTCTAGTAAACTTATGTTCTGATTCATGTAGGTGGGCTGGAGGTTTCATTAACTGGGGATACCCTCTTCGTGTCCGGCATATCACAACAGGTAGATACCTAGCTTATAATGAGAACAGAGAAGTGTATCTCGTCAACAAAGACCAAGCTTCTGTTGCTGCAACAGCCTTTGGATTACGGCAAACTAAAGTAAGTATGATAGTCTCTAACAAAAATATTATTCTCTAATAAAAGTATGATAGTCGAGCCGAGGCGCAGTGATCGATAGTTTGGACAAAATAACACTTTGTAATACGTATATTCTTTCTGAAACACTGTAGAAACGTAGAAACGTTCACCGTGTTTCAAAAAGAAACGTGTGGATCGTGTGGAAACTTCCACATGGAACCCTTAGGATTCCGCGTTTGAAATTCGATTTTAGTTGGTTGTGACATGTCAAATCTATTAGACCTCGAGATCTTTCTACGAGCGATCCTGGAAGCCCGGGAAGTCCACACGGAACCCTTAGGTTTCCACACTTTATGGAATCCACACTTTATGGAATCCTAAGGGTTCCGTGTGGACTTCCCGGGCTTCCAGGATCGCTCGTAGAAAGATCTCGAGGTCTAATAAATTTTACATATCACAACCAGCTATAATCGAATTTCAAACGCACAGGCCGCAGAATTTTGGCTGCATTGACAAGAATTCAAATCTTGTCTGAGAAAGCACAGTGAAATCGTTGCCTCTCTCAATTACATTGGCACGAGATTCTCAACCCATATACTATAAGGTACCGAAACAAAGTATGCCGTAGAGCCAGAATTTGCCTGTACTAATCGCTGAAAACCAAAACAAGTGGAATCAGTGAAACTTGAAACAAGTTAAATGCAAAAACGTGCAGCTGCAATGTATTGTCTAGCGTTTATATGCTATTTTATAGTCTTTAAGTTAGGCCTACTCTTAGACTATAGACTACAGTGCACTCTGGTTTGTAAAATTAAATTGGAATTCCCTTTTAGGAGGAATTATAAAAATTTCTAGCAATGGATAATGAATGATTGGTTATGCATTTGAATTGAATTGAATGTAAATATCAAATTGCAAGAATTGAGTTTATTGTGCGAGCGTTTTCTTGCTGCTCTCACCATTAATGTAAAATCTTTTGAAAAGATTTGGAATGTTGAACTTTGGAAGAATTTTTATACATGATTGTTTTGAGAATAATACGTGTGCTGTTGGCAGGTGAAAATAAATTTTGATATTATGGCAAATTCCATAGATTAAAAGCAGTTTCTTTGCAGAGATATCACGCATTTGTTTGGATATGTCGTTGCTCAACGTTCTTTTACTCTTTTGTCCTCCTTTTCCGTTCCGTAACGTTTATTCCTAAACATCATTTTCTCGTACGATGTAGAATAGAACGAAGGGGCTCTCCATAGAAATTATATCTAAAAAGAGCTCTGAGAGTCAAAAAGGTTAAACAGTGGCAGTCAAACACAGAAGTTCCCATGGAATGGCAATATTTTCAATATTTAAATTTTTGAACCTTTCTTTAATAATTCATTAAAATATTTGAATCTTTCACCATTAGTTGTTTTCATTACTGCGGATGCATTTTTTATACTGAAAATGCTTGCTTATAACAATGACGAGGTTAGCTGTTAATGCCTGACTTAATTGTTTTTGTTTTCTGCTAGGATGACAAGAAAATAGTTCTAGATGAGAAAGAAGAGGAAGTACTTGGCTCTCCTCTGATAAAATATGGTGATACTACAGTCTTTCTCCAACATCAAGAAACTGGTCTTTGGCTGTCTTACAGGGTGCGTACTTGAGTGTACAAGTATTTATTATTATTCGAAATTTTTCTCTTCTAAGGCATATTGTCTACTTGCTTGTTTAGAAATTGAAAAAAAAATACAATAATGTCATTTTTTTAAGTATACTAGTGACACTAAATTTGAAATAAAAATTTAATGTATCTCATTTTAACTTATATTTTATGTTTTTTCATACTAGACTTACGAAACGAAGAAAAGAGGTGTTGGCAAAGTTGAAGAAAAACAAGTAAGTACTTTCTTATTTTAAAATAACAAGATTTATATTTCTTATAGTTTTGCAATTTCAATGAAATGAGAATCTTTAAAACCAGAATCAAAAACACATCAAGTTAGCAACGCCTATCTTTAAATACAGAATTACATGTTTGATTACAAGAAAGTAAGTTTTATTTCGAACAATGTAATGAAAAATAAATGAAGTACAGAAATGTTTTTTTACATACCTATACTATTTTGTATTGAAATTATTGAGATAGTTTGCTGAATATAGCTACATAATATATAGCTACATACTATACATAGCTACTGAAATTTATAATGTGATATTATTAAAGCTGTTATTGTGTTATATTAGCATGAATTTATGGATTTATTTTTAACAAATGTGTGGATTTAGTTATAATATTTGTAAGGTCTTTGCATTTCCTTTTCTACTATCAGCAACTCTTCCCAAAGCTTTGAGTTATAACTTGCTGGCTGACGAAAACCAAAATCCTTTAAAAATTGCATAAATATTTACATAACTTTGTTCTAATGGTCCTAGTGAACTGAGGTTTCATTCTAAATAGGTGATACTACAATCTCTGGCATTTCTGCGTCAGTTGTAATATCTAGCATCCAAACATGATTTATAAATTTCTACTATTTCAGATTTATAATTTACTATCGTTCTTGATTTTTGTTTCTCCAGAGTATAGCATTTTAGCAGCCTTTATATACAAAATTACAATAAATTATGAATATATAAAAAAGGTATAATATCCATCAATTTCTCTAATTTGTTGTTAGATTGTATATGTTGGGAAAAGCTAATTCGTTTTTCTATGGTATATGTGCAGGCTAGTTAGATTACTCAGTTACACCTTTGAACCTAAACTCTAAATCGTTTTTAAATCAGGAGGTACTGTGTATTACATTGAAAGTGGCTTCACCTAAATTTTTGAAAACTGTACGTTTATTACAATTTATAGAATACCTTTTTAGTAAGATGTATTATAAGTTTTCTAGTAAATACAAACTAAAGATTAAGAAATTAATTGATTTTTATTTCAGGCTATCATGTCTGAAGAAGGTAAGATGGACGACGGTCTGGAATTCAGTCGCTCTCAAGAAGAGGAATCGCGCACTGCTCGTGTTATCAGAAAATGCAGTTTTCTTTTCAACAAATTCATCGTGTAAGTTAATTTGCGGGTATTGCTTGTTTATTTAGCTTGTAAGGATTATGTTAATTTTATTAACAGTTAAAGTTTAAGTTCCTTTCCTGTCAAATTCTTAACTTCAACTAACTACTTCCTGCTAGAACGTAGTTTTAGAATCACTCTGATATATATGAGGAGAGCGGATTTATCCGCGAAGTTCTTTGGTTTAGGGAGAGAGAACAGAGTTCTGATTACGCGCGTCTGTCTTTGCCCACACTTCTCTCTCAAAGCTTATTACTCGGCCGCACTCAGGCCCTTGATAAGCTTCGTATCAAATAGATTAAGGGGCCAAATACATAATCCTGATAGCTTCGGGTATATTTCTTAATCTTAGTTTAGTTTAATTCTTAGTCTCTTAGTTCAAGCCAGTGTCGGCTTGATTGTACACACCAAGACGGAGTTTTGGTAAATCTTGTTTGAATAATAAAGGTTTAGTTACCCTTCCATCTTGTTGATTCTTGTCACACGAACTTAAGCGATTCGCTAACTAGTTGTTAAGATTCGTTACTTTCTACAGTAACTGAGAATTACAAGAAGTGAAAAATCTTACGTTTTGGTTCCCCAGGTGAGGACTTGACCTTTTAAAGCTGTAGTAACGATGGTCACATTTTGCAGCTGATTCACAGGATATAGTTGAAATATAGGTCCAGTTGCTCCAACAACGTCAAAAACTGAGCCCTTGCCGTCAAATGTTGCTGCTGGTTTCATAGATGCCCGCAACGTTTCCACGAGATATCCAAACCCTTTTACTGGATTCGTGGATGTCTGAGGGACCTGAAAGGTCGGAGGGGTCAACGTCCTGGATTCTAACGACATGGCCCGTTATAAATTTTTCGGGCGCCAAATGTAAGATTTTCTTTTATTGTAATTCTCAGTTACAGTAGAAAGTGACGAACTTAAGAACTAGTTAGCGAATAATCGCTTAAGTGTTTATGACAAGAAACAACAAGATACAAGGGTAACAAGCCCTTTATTATTCAAATAAAATTTAACAAAACTCCGCCTTGGAGTGTACAATAAATGCCGGCACTGAGACTAAGAATTAAACTAAAACTAATAGTAACTAAAGATATAATAGCCGAAGCTGTCAAGCTTCTAATGCAGTTGGCCCCTTAGACACCAGATGACTGCGGAGCTTATCAAGGGCCTGAGTACGGCCGAGAGTAATAACAGCTTTGAGAGGGAGAGTGGCCAAAAGGCAGACGCGCGAAATCAGAAATTCTGATTCTCTCTCACAAGACCAAAGATTCGCGGTTAAATACCGTCTTCCTCATTAAGTATTCATAGTGATTCTAAAACTACGTTCTGTCCGGAAGTAGTAAGTTGAAGTTAAGAATTTGACAGGAAAGGAACTTTAACTTAAAATGTAACTGTTAATAAAATTAACATAATCCTTACAAGCTTTAAATTACATATTTTAAAATTTTTTTCTCGTATGATTCTAAAAAAACATAAATTATTTTAGAGGGCTAGATTCTCTACAAAGAGAGCAAAACGAGGCTTTCAAATTTACAGCTGCCGATCTGGAAGAAGTGATTCATTGTCTCGAAGATTTGATTGCATATTTTGCACAGCCTGAAGAAGATATTGGTAAGATAATATATTACAGCTGTTATTATATGATGTATGTTTGGCACTGTAATTAGAATGCAAAACATTTAACCTGAATCACCAAAAATTGCCATTTATAAAAACATAATAATTTCACTGTTTATTGAGTTTAAAATACGTATTGCAAATGCAAGTTGCTTGAAAGATGTTCCAGGTAAAAAAAAAATATGGGACTGGCGAACTTTAAGGAAACATACCTTTAACAACGTGAATAGTTTTCCAATAGTTGAAGTATTTTCTTTTTATTTACAGGAGTATTCTGTAATTTTGAAACCTATTATGTAATAAAATATTGGCTTCATTAAATATTGAAGAGAATTAATTATTTATCTTTGCAAATTTCGAAGCAGTTTGTTGAAGATGGTAATTTGAAATCTTTGTGTTTCAGAGCACGAAGAGAAGCAGAACAAGCTTAAAGCCTTGAGAAATCGTCAGGATCTTTTCCAAGAAGAGGGTATTCTGAATCTCATTCTAGATACAATTGACAAAATAAATATGATTTCCAGCTCAGGGTATTTAATTGCTTTTACTGGAGAAGAAGCAGCTCAACTATGGGATGCTATTTCTGGCTATCTTTACCAACTGTTAGGTAAGAAAATGTTTTATAACATTCCTCTCCAAAACAATGATGAATGCTATTAAACGACGGAAATCTGCAAGTCTCTGATAAGGATATATTGAAAATACTGGCCTAATATACTTTAAGTGCTTTGAAAATTCAGCTTTACTTAAATTTTTATAGTGCACGCAAATTTGGATTAGGTAAAAGATTTATAATGCATGGGATTATGATAACAAAGATAAAAAAACACAGCAAAGGATTATATACTCATTTGCATTTCACTAAGAGTTTCTATTATATTGTTACGAAATGTACAGGCTCGGTAAGATGGCTTCCCAGCAAAGCAGTTTTAGGGTTGCCATAAAATGGCAAAGTAGGGCAGGGTTGCCACATTTGGCGAGAAATCGCCCATTTGGAGACAAAATTGGCGATATACCATGGACGGTTGGAGAACCTTCTAGAACGAATTCTTACCGGTTTAGCCCAGAATGTTCTCGAACACAAGCCGAAAGCTATATGAACCCTGCTGGTCCGCAGTCAGTTAGTGTGCTTCATCGAGAAGGCGAGTGTGTATGCGCCTCGCCTGGCGAGCTGATAGTCAGTATCGAGTGTGCGTCTCTCATAGAGTGAGTGTGTCTCGTCTAGCGAGTCACTCCCTGCGGAGGCGATCGCGTTGACAGCCGGCCAGCGAGTGCCGAGTGGGTCGTCGAGTGCACCGAAAGAGTCTCTTGTATCGCGGTTAGTGCATCGTCGAGAGAGCGTGTTGAGCTCCGGAAACGACTGAACCGAGAGTCAGGAGCTGTGCTCTGCGTGTCGTCGAGTACTTCACGAGTTGTAGCGTGGAGAGTCTCGAGAGTACGTGGAGTTCCAAGAACGATTAAGCAGATTCGGGTGCTTTGCTGGAAGCTGTCTCCACCGTGATAGCCTGATAACCTGTGTCGCTGATCGTGTAAGCGTGTTTATAGTAGATCTTCGACGACTGTAAAACGTGTTTTGGAGCTGTCCTGACAATACTGGCAAATAAAGTGTGTTTAGAGACTTCATAAATGTCGTCGTTATTCACTCCAAATCCATACAAACCCCGTACGAACGTGAAGGAAGAAAATAACGCAACAACTGGGGTCAGAAGAATTAGAGAAAAACGCAACAATATCATTAAAACACCTGTATTCTATTTTCATGGAGAAAAAACATAATTAATACAAAAGTAATCGTCATTGACCTAGAAGCTTACATAGATGCATGAATCTAAACGTAAATATTCTTAAGGAAAACATAAATCAAATTCGAATATAAAAGCCAAATGACAGCATAAATATAATGCCTTAAAATATCTGTTCATTTATAGTATACATGAATCGTCACTTTATGCATGTCACATACAGTGGATGGACAAAAATATGGAAACACCTTGTGAAATGCATGTTTGAAAAGAAAGATTGATTTTAATGAAATACGTAGGTGGCGCTGGCGTTTTTGACTACTGACGCCACCAATACAACTTCGTAAATGTGCTAAACAGTTCAGTTGTTGTCGGAGTACTGTTATGTGAGGTTGTCATTGCATTATGTCAGAGTTAACAGACTTCGAACGTGGGCAAATTGTTGGAGCACGTATGGTAGGTGCTTCCGTAAGCAAGGTATGAAAAGCGGAAAAACATCATCTGCTAAATCACAGCGAGGACGAAAGTGTGTCCTGAGTGATCGTGACAGACGATCATTAAGGGCAATTGTGACGAAAAATAAGAAGACCACAGCTGCAAAAGTTACTGCTGAAATGACTGTTGTGTTACCGAACCCTGTGAGTACCAAAACAATTAGAAGGGAGCTTCATAAACAGGGAATTGCTGGCCGTGCTGCAATTGAGGAGCCACTCATCAGTGATGCTAATGCCCGCAAGAGGAAAAGGTGGTGTTTAAGTCATAAAGCCTGGACTATAGAGCAGTGGAAGCGAGTAATATGGTCTGACGAGTCTTCTTTCACATTGTTTCCCACTTCTGGCCGAGTTTACGTCTGGAGAACGCCATCTCAAGCCTACAATACAGACTGCTTGTTGCCAAGAGTGAAACATGGCGGGGGTTCTGTTATGGTTTGGGCAGCCATATCGTGGTTCTCTGCTAGCCCCATGATAACTGTGTCAGGGCACATGACTGCCAAGACTTATGTGAAACATTTTGGCCGATCAAGTTCATCCCATGGTACACAACTTTGTTCCCCGATGGTGATGGTGTCTTTCAAGACGACAAAGCCCCTGATCACACAGCTCACATTGTCCAGGACTGGTTTTCTGAGCACGAGGTTGAGTTGTCCCATCTTCCCTGGCCACCACAGTCCCCAGACCTCAATATTATCCAACCTTTGTGGTCTACATTGGAACGGAAAGCGCGTTCTCGTTATCCACCGCCAACATCGTTATCTGAACTTGCCACCGTTTTGCAGGAAGAATGGTATAATATTCTATTGGCAAACGTACAGGAACTGTATTTATCCATTCCGAGAAGACTGCAAGCTGTTTTGGATACCAACGGGTTTCCTACACCATATTAAGCAAAGAAACATGTTTTTTTAAAGATGTTTCCATATTTTTGTCCAACCCCTGTAATTTTAAACGAGCTTAACTATTTAATTTTTTTAACAGCTGCTGTTATCAAAGGAAATCACACCAACTGTGCTCAATTTGCTCAATCAAATAGGCTTGACTGGCTCTTTAGCAGGTTAGGAAGTCAGCAAGCTGCAGAAGGAACTGGTAAGTATAAATAAAATGAGTTTTATCAATCACCATTTGGTGTCAGAGTTCAAAGTTCTTAACAACTACTGGTACAGTATTCTATCGATTAGGAGTCCTAGTATTAGGATCTTATCGATTAGAAGTCCTAGTATTTACTTTGAGATAAAGAATATAATAAAAATTTTATATTTCCAATAGTTATGAATTTGTCTGTAGAGAATCTATACTTATATCTGCATAAGTATATATTATTTTAATGCTTTACAAATTACAATAATTTTAATCTAAAGATTTACTTAATGTTGCAATAAAACATATACCTTTGGTTCTTTATTGTTAACTACAAACAAGCAGTGTTAAAAAGATCAATAATTTTAACTTCATACATCATAAAATATATTGAAATGTTAAATTAATAGGCTTGTGGAGACATTAGGTATATATATATATATATTTGGAAGGAGGCAAGAAGAAAACAACGCCTTCTCCGGGAATCGAACTACGGACCTCTCAATTACGCGCTGAGCGTGCAGACCACCATACCACGAAGGACTGCCAAGGAGGCAGGAGAAATACCGATAAAAGTTTACAATCGGGTGCCCCTTGTTTTTTGGCGATTCTTTTTTGACGCCAAGATCGGCGCCAGAAAAGCACAATTTCAAGATAGCCGCTACACAAAACCAAATTAAGAAGTCAAAGGATTTCACAAACTCAGTGTCCATGCATACATCGATCTGTTTTCGCTTAAAAAAACATCCTAGAGTTGCACAAACTAGGCATTGCTCACTGCCTTAAATTTGTCCATGATATACCAAAGTTATAATATGTTCATGATATACCAAAGGGTTATAGGAAATACCAAAGTTTATAATACTTATAAGGCTCTCTTTGCTCTATTTTCATTTCATCTATCTATTTTCATTTAAATAACATCAGGAAGCTAAAAAAAAGTTAAAACTATCATGGTAACCAGAAGTGATGTTTCATCGCCAAAATTTAAAAAAAAAATTGTTGCTAATCGAAGGGGCACCCAATTCTACACTAGAGCCGAAATACTTTATAGGCTAATAAATTTACACATGTATCTGGATTTTAGATCAACTAAAGAAATTTAAATATTTCATCTGGTGAAGTCCCCAGAAATATGTGCTACTTTGTATATTATTGTATTACGGAGAATTGAATTAAATTTAAACGTAATTTTAATGAATTTAGGTTTTATTTAATTATAAATAAATTAAATTTGTCTACTGTTTATTTAAATATTCCCGTTTATATTAATAATATTTCTTATTTTCTGTGAACTTCTTAAAAACTAAGTTTTATGAAGGTAAATAATTTAGCCTTTGGTATGTATTGTTGCATCACATTACTCTCTCATATCGGTCACATTCACCACAAACATTCATTTCAACAGAATACCTATAGCAGTCTGTGTCGATAAAAGCCAGCCTTAACCCATTTTTCTTAGGAATGTCTAGGGAAAATACATTTGTCATCTTATTTTTTTTTTAATAACGAATTAACGAGATACGCTTTTCTGATTTTTGTTTTAAGTAAAATACTTTTTATAACATTGGTTTGCCTTTCCTATGGGCAGTAATCCCATAAAACAAAATAAATATTAAGCATTCATCTGAATTATTCTTGAAATATATAAAGCTATGTAAGGCCATTAAGATAATTAGTAACTTCTGTGAGTAGCCAGTCAAGCTAAAAATTCCAAAGATTTTAATTTTTATAATACCATGATGTTCCACTTAATGATGTTTCCGTATTTAAATTTTACTCTGAATTTTTGTGGGTTATAGGAAATACCAAAGTTTATAATACTTATCAGGCTCTCTTTCCTCTCCTGTCTAAAACGTGTTGTTCTGGTCTTTGGTGAGAGTTAATATATTATACGTTCCTCTTTGTTTCCACTCAGAGTGATAAGAAATTGTTTCGCTTAACATGAAAACTTATTTATTAATATAAGAAATTTTTATTGCTGTCAGCTGTTAAAGTATTTTAAATGGATTACATACCGCGGAGCATGAATATCACATACGTATTTCTTCATTAGTGGTAAAACTTCTCAACTAATGGTTACATAGATTGAAAAATTGCTTTTCTAATTACGTCTTCGAAACTTCTGTCACGATATTGGTGACTTTTTATATGAACGTTCAAACGTTATTATAATTTAATGAGAACTAGAGTTCCTAGAGCAATGGTCTCATAGTGAAATGGTCTCAAACTGAAATTGCATGTGAGCCAAATGCAAGGTCTAAAAGTAGCTGACGGGCTGCAAATTAAAAAAAAGAAAGAAAAAGGATTTTTTTCTGTTAACAAGATAAAATTTGTTAACTAAATTTTAAAACAAATTACTATATATTTATCAAAACATATGTACAGAAATAACGCAAAGAAAAATTTCAAATTTATGCTTACTTTTTGCCTGAAATCTAAAAGCTGGTATCTGCAAGAAATTTCTGTTGGTCACAGTTTTTAATTCAAAGGTATTGACAGCTAAATATTAAGAGTTTCAGATTGAAATTTATTCAAATAACTAGCATACTGAATTAACTACTAAGTAACTCACTTTTAAGTAACTTAACATAAATATACGAAAACTTCCCAATGGGGAAAAAGGGTGAGAATAAATGACGAAAGCTATTAGATTTTTCTATGACGCATACAAAAAATAATAATATTTTTACGTAACTAACAATAAACATTTTTTATTAATACGCTTTTCAGTTAGGACATCTTATAATGCTTCAATTTCATAAAGTTTGTAATCTTGCAGAAAAAATACTAGAATGTATCTTCATGACAAATTGTGAATACTGGCCCTTATTAATTAATTTTCATTTCCCAAAAAGAAAAAAGCCGTTTTACATGTAAATGTACCACCAAAGAAAACGATTATTCTTATTGCGAAAACTCGTGACTGAGAATATTTATCCTCTGACTACTAATAAAGTATAATAATCAAATTTGTATCTTCAAATATTTGAATAAAATTCACATCATAGTGCAAATTAAGTAGATCAATTTCTAGCATTTCCGAAGTAAGAATTACTTTTTTTCGGTTTTGGTAATGAAAATAATGTAAAATTGGGATCCATTCAGACCTTAAAAACCTTCCTTCAGACTCTTGGCATAGTAATGCCAGTTAATTTTAATTAATTTATGGGAATATATTCGCGTCTCACATATACTTGCTTTCGGGGCCGTCCGTTTGAGACTTCTGCTCTAGAGTCCTATCTATTTTTGTATAAATTCTTTGATGCAGTAGATATAAGAGCTACAAATGCCTTCTTTGTTTTATGTCTTAAAACTTTTAAGAGATTTGCTATTAACTTTAATTAAAGCTTTCACTAATATTACGATTTACATATCTCCATTTATTTACAATTAAGTATAGTTATTATTAAAGGCTTCGTATTTCGAAACACAGCACCGCTTTCATTTTTAATGCTAGTGATAAACGGACTAAGTTCTAAAATTAATATTTTCAAAATAAACTGTTGCTTATAATTCGAAGGTTGTCCTAATTAAAATTTACATTACAGGTATGTTAGATGTACTTCACTGCGTTCTTATTGACAGTCCCGAAGCTTTAAACATGATGAAAGAAGATCACATCAAAGTCATCATATCTCTTCTAGAGAAGCATGGCAGGGATCCTAAGGTATGGCTTCATTTATATCGTATCCCAAATATCGAAAGTGTGTGCTCCAGCTAGCGAACAAATGACTTAGCTTGTTAGGAAAAAAAACTTGTAATACTGACAGATAGTTTGAGAAATTGGCTGCAAGCATGAAAGATAAAACATTCAGAGTTTCAAAAATGTTAAAAATTGAATTCAGAAAGCTGTTACTTTTACCTAAATAGCTTCAAGCGTTTACAATACTAAAAAAGATCTGATATTTTTCTCTTACCTCAATAAATTTATATATCTGATTGATTTTACCACCGGAGGTCTCTAAATTGTTTCCGATTTTATTCCAAGTTGTTTAATTATCAATTTTATTACAATTATGGAATTATGCTTGCGATAGTTTCATCAGTTTTTTACTTTAAACGCTGAAGACCACGAGCTTTTCGTTACGCATAGTATTCTTGGCATATTCCTACAAAATGTTAAATCCGATGGCTTTAAACATTTTGGAGATTTTCTGAGATTGAAGGGTGAAGCTTTCTAACAAGTAGAACTTGCTTGGTCCAGCCTTTTGGATCTTATACATCTTAGAGTTCGAAAAGACTGGTGTAAGCAAGAAAATATTTTATGCCCTCGTTTACTTTGCAGTCAGTAAAACGTATAAAAATTCTTCACATTTTAACTTTGTATAATGTCTTGTCTGCAGGATGATCATTGTGCAATATTCTTTCGATGATCCTGTGCTTTAACCCTTTCACTGAAGGGTTTACTGATTTAACTTTAATGCATAGATTATATTAATTTTTTGGTTAAAAGTCAGTTATATTTGGTCTAAAAGAAGCGTTTCGATGTTAACAATTAATTACTTCTTATGTGAAATAATATTATACATATGTTCTATTGCATTTAATTGTAGCTCCTCAAACTCGGTAGTTTTGTTTTTAAGGTTGATTTAAAAGTATTTCGTAACTTAATGATTTAAATTAATTTGAAATGAGGAATAAATTATATTGCTATCTAATTGTAAATTTATAATGACTAATAAAAATGTTTTCTAAATTAGCGTTAAGTGTACGTTTATATGCAATATTAATTTTGATTGAGTTTCGTGTTAAATAATTTTTACGGGTGATACCCTCTGATTGAAGGCATCGCTTACGATGTTTGCACGGTGAGGATGGGCGTTGTCATCCATAAACACAAAATTGTGCGCACATGGCGTCCCGAAACAACCGTACATGTTGTTCCAGAATGACGTCCCGATAGATTTGGCTTGTCATGGTTCCAATTTGAACATGGAGGTCAGTTCTGGAACCCAGAATAATTCCACCCCAAACGAGCACTCCTGAACCACCGTAACGGTGTCGTTGAATGATGTTTTCTTGGTGGTAAGGGGTACCTGGAGCTCTCCATTTGAAAGTCCGGCGAGAATCAGACTGCAAGCTAAACCTGGACTCGTCGGAAAACATCACACAAGCCCACTGTTGCGGTGTCCACAATGCATGCTCTCTACTCCAGGCTAACCGCAGGCGACAGTGAGTTGCAGTAAGTGGAACGCATCTGACAGGTCTACGAGCATATAGACCAATCTGCCCTAAGCGTCTGTACACGGTCTGCCTTGAAATTGTCGTACCAGTGGATGAAGAGAGCTGACGAGACAGGTCTGAGGCTGTGCTCCGCCTGTTTCTTTTGGCAGTAACTGCCAAATACCCGTCCACATTCGGCGTTGTAACTCTGGGCGACCTGTGCTGTAACGTCTACTCACATTACCATCTTCTTGGAATCGTTGCCAAAGCCTGGAGATGACACTCTGGGCAATTCCAAGTTCGTCTGATACTTCCAGTTGGGTACGCCCACATTCCAGACGGCCGATAATTCTACCACGTAAAAAATCATCCAAATGCGTCCTTTGTGTCATAACTATTCGGTTATAGCACTGAAATGCTTATAAAGCGCCTGCGAACAATTTTACTTCTTTGCCTGTATTCCTTACATATCACTCTCTTACACTCTCGTCATCGTGACGCACCATCGGTCTCATCTTGTTACTTCTTGAAGTTTGCATATGATTCTTGAAGATGTGTGTAGTGATTTTACAGGTGATATATTTATTTTAGAGTTCGATTTCCGCATGATTCCGAATTATCCTTAATTTATGGACACGAGTGTAGTTCATTGTCCAAACATTTACATATTCAAGATATGATTGAATAAAATAACTTTTTTGTAGGTGTTAGATGTTCTTTGTTCCCTGTGCGTCGGTAACGGTGTCGCTGTAAGAAGCAGTCAGAACAATATCTGTGATAACTTACTTCCATCAAGAAGTTTGCTGCTGCAAACACGTCTCATTGACCATGTGGCAAGGTAATATTTATTTTGATATTTAGATACTATGGTTTGTTATCTGATGATCTCTATTCATTGTTTTTATATATTTCATCAAATTAATATTACTGTGATTGATGTCGCATTTTCTATTTGTTTAAGCAAAAATTAAATATCGTTTTTATGTTCTTTATTTTGTGCGCTTCAGAGAGGAGATTCTGCTATGATTTCTTATGATTCCTATTTCATTATGGTTCTATCGACCGAATGTTTAAGTTTTAGGAACTAATATTCAGCTAATTGATTGGTTCCTCTCTAGCGATTAAATTAGTAATCACGTATTCTTTAAAGTCTTTGTTTTTTAATAGATTAAAACAAATTTAGAAGAAAACGAGAAATTTATAGGTATAGATTAAAATAAAACTATAGGCATGGAGTTTGCAGTAAGTGTTAAAATAACTAACTTTAAATACCCTTTCTTAGCCTAGCAAACGTTTGATATTAATGAGAAACAGATTGATTATTCAAAATTAGGAGACAGTAGCTTTTGTCAACATTTTGCATGGAAAAAAGTCTTTGTTTATGAAACAGAGTGCTTGAAGTAAGTGGTTCTTAAGGTTATCAAATTTAACAGCACGTAACTAATATTAGAATATTTTTTGTTGGATAACATCTGAATATAAAACAGTTGATAGCTTTTAAGCATTTGTTATATTTATATGAAATACTGTTATTAATATAAGATTTATAAACCAGGATTTTGAATTTTAAGTGTCTGGCCAGAAATTCCCTTTACACCTGAACTAAATGCGTGTAATAGTGTAAAAAAATAGAAAGTTATTTAAGATTTGAATCTCCCATCCTGACCATTGATATGGCAGCAGTGCTCCAGACGTGAATTTCAACAGTACCGCTTCACTGCCCCGTGACTGGCCGGGGAGAAGTATGAAGTCTGTGCGTTGGCCAATTCATCGTCTCTGAACTTACTGAAGAATAATGAGAAATACTGTGACTTCCCTTTGGAAAAGCGCTTAATGACAAGTGTGCGAGTCATTGAACGGAAGCACAGCAACGAAAATATGATGCAGATGATGGATAGGTTCCATGAACTGATCGATAAGGAACTATCAGGTCATCAGACTTTGATTACGTGGGAGAAAAAAGCTTTGGGCAGGGATGACTGAAAACCACATCTTTGGTCTGTACTTATCTGAGGGTTCCGTGAACCAGATTACTTATCTGGACTTGTTGAATAACTGATTTCTTCCACAGCTGCAGAATGTAGGCATCGACAACATGGCTGTTTGCCAATACGATGGACCTTTCGCTCACTTCGCATTTCCTGTTCGTGAATGCTTGGGTGTAATGTTCCCTGGCTGGTGGATAGGATGAGGTTCCCCAAATTCACCAACCCCTTATCAACCAAGTCTGGACCTTACGACACCCAGACAATGTCCTGTGGGTGATCATCTGATCATGTATCAAGAAGAAGCAGTACGTGGACAATGATGCTGTACGAACAAGTGTGCTTGAAGATTTCCAGCATGTGAGACCGCAGCTGTTAAAGCTGTAGAAGAACATTCAGACGTATCAAGCTGTGTAGGGATAATGGTGGTGCACATGCTTTGAACAAATAACTGCAAGAGTTATTAAAGTTACAATGAAATAATTGCACGTATAAAGGGACTTTCTGACCACCCTGTAGAATTCTATGACAACGAAAACGCGATTACAAGTGTCACTGAAGACAAGTTTATAAATTCATAGTGACATTTTCATCCCAGTTGTAAAACATGATTTAGAGGCTGAAAAGGTACTTTCACTTCTAATATCAAATCAACTATTTTTTTTTAATTTCTTCTTTTTGTCAACATAATCATGCCTCTCCTCCCTAGATGTAAGTAATTTATGCTAAGCGGATATAAGGGTACTCTAAATTCCCAGTGATCAGTCATTTGTAATATTTCAAAATCATTCATTGATTGTTTGATTAATTACTAGTTGTTGTCGTCAAAGAAGTGTTAATTAAAGTCAAAAACGAAGCTTATCTTTTTCTGGGTTTGAATAACTTACGTTTTTATTGAAATTGTCACATTTAAGCAAATCTGTAATTTTTCGCAAAAACCTTTGTATGAAATTTGGTAGACCAGATCTCGGAACTACATTTGAATCAGTTGATTTTAAAACTTAAATTTTTATAGATTTTAGTTTCAATCAGTAGTTTGTGATATAAATTAATTAAGGATTAAAAGTACATGAAAGTAGAAGTTGCTATTTTCTATATACAAATAGAATATTTTAAAAATTTCGGAATGCTTTAATATTCATTGGCTATTCTAAACGGCGTAGAAGCAATAATATTTAGAAAAATATTTCAGAAATTAACGTTATTAAGAAACCGCTTAATTAAGAAGAAGCATCTTTTACATTACTCAGAAACCATTTAATTAAGAAGAAGCACCTTATACTTTCTCAAATTTTAAACTGAAAAATTAACCACTGACAAAGGATTTCCTATGTAAAAATAATAAGGTATTTCTCCAGCCTTCTAGCGTGCCTTCGTGGTGTAGTTGTCTGCACGCTGGGTATGTATTCTCCAGAGGTCCGTGGTTCGATTCCCGGCGAAGGCGTTGCTCATTTTTCACATCTTCTGCTTCCATACTAACCTAATGTCTCTACAAAGTAATGGCTGTTGTTGGTTCTCAGTAATTATGGTTTAGAAACTTCAGTAATTATCTGCTTGATAAATTGTTAGGTTGTATTTGGTGAAAGCACACATATTTGGTTCTTTAGAAAGAACTGAATTCTAGATTATTATATTGAATTGTTATTTAGAAATATGAAAGTATCTGAAGTGGAAAAAATTAGAAAAGAGAATTTTTATGACATAAACGAGACGAAATTTTTAAAAATAAATCTGAAGTTAAATTTTAATTAACGAATTTAGTAAATATTACAATATTCCCCTAAGACAGGACAATAATTTCTCCCATATTAAACGCTGCGTTCTTAAAATATGAGACTTATTAACCTGATATTTGAGGAGTAATATGAGAGGAGCGTAGAGAAATAATAAATTTTGCATTAATAATAACTGAAAGGCCTTTCATTATGCTCCTAATTTTCTTAGTTAAAAACTGGTTCTTTCTTCAATTAAATTAGATTTTAATGAAATCTTTACCTTCCATCTAAACCTATCAACTTTATATAAAGACCTGAATTCTAACATGTTTTCTAAAAGCGTCGAAATTCTTTAGCACCTGATTTTCCTTTTTCCTTTTTTGCCCCTCTAAGTTTGCTTATTTAGATCGCCCAATAACGTCTCATTGCTTTTACATAAAAGGCCATATAATTAATAGAATGACTACAGATCATTTTCCTTCCTAAAAGAAGATATAAATCGTATGACAGAAGTTTCGGTTTCCTTCGCTGTCAACAAAGAAATTCGTTGTTTGCATTATGTATTAAAGCTTAGTGTGTTATTTGACTGTAGTACAACGCGTAGGGTCTTTCTAATATAAAGATTAAATTTAGCACAAATTCAAAACTGCATATTTAGTAAACGAACGAGTGCACTTACAGAGTATAATTTTTCCACAGTATGCATCCGAATATTTTTGTGGGAAAAGTGGACGGCTCTGCTATGTTCAGGAAATGGTATTTTGAAGCTATGGTGGACCACTGTGAGACAGTATCCCATTTGGAACCTCACTTCCGTGTTGGCTGGGCCAATACAAAAGGATACGTTCCTTACCCTGGAGGAGGCTTAAAATGGGGTGGCAATGGAGTAGGCGACGATATATACTCATATGGCTTTGATGGAGCTTTCATGTGGGCTGGTAAGTATAATACATATTCTTTCCTTCATTTAGTGTGTTTCTTGTGTGTCATTTTTCAGTATGTACTTAACTATATCGGATAAAATGCAGCTTTCCTAACACCATATGTAAAATTTCATGACCTAGGAATGACTGTGCGCAGAAACCTAACTTTTCTACAATAACAGTTTGGAAAATAGACTGAAAACTATAAAAGCGAACAGAAAGGAGTCGCTTTTTCACAATGCAATAGATCATAATAGACCGATCTGTGACCATAGAATCATCTTTATTGACAGAACGTACACTCTTACCCTGATAATAATATTTACATATACCCGATCTCATCCAATCAAGACATTTATTCTTGTGCATTCACTAAAGCTTAGCATCTTAAAAGTTCTACAGAGGACATACGCCCCACTGTCAGGTATGTCCGAGGCAAGCAATTGCTCATTGTAAAAATTAGCCAAGTCTTGAAGCAATTGATCTATAACTAGTCTTGTACGAAGATCCAAATAGCGCCATCCATTTTGAAATACCTTAAAGCTTCGTTCAGACGGGGGCGTAAAGGGCATAAGTGGTTAAAGCCGAGCTCCGTTGCCAAGGCAACTAGTCTGTGCAACGTCACAAAATCTGGGTTAGGGCTCGTGACATAGGGTTCAAAGTTTTCAAATTTACGCCGAGTTTCGGATAAGCGTCGACCAATCGGAGCGAAGCTAAAACGGAGCGGCGTTCTACAGAAGATTTCGCTGTCACAAAACAAGCAGAGCGAACTCGGGAAATCAATTCGAGCAGGAGAACAGCGCGGGAAAGTTGTAGACACATCCCCGCATGCAAAAATTTAGCTTCTCTCATTGGCAACGGCTTACACACCGTTCTCGCAAGTGTGAACGGAATTCTCGTATTTTATGCCCTTATGACTACGCCTCTATGCCCTTTACGCCGCCGTCTGAATACAGCCTAAAGTGCAAAGTCACCTTTCTGGACCATGATTCGAGTACGTTCTCGTGGTTAATATCACTATTAGAAGCTCCCATTTTGTATACATAATTCTATGTATATGATTGCATCTACCTGTGCATTACTGCTCAAATGTTCACTGGCTGGACGTCATTTTAGCTTTAATGATTTGAGTACCAGCATTAACGTTTGCGTCATATGCACGGTTCTTTCTAGCTATTTGTTTCTGTTTATATTGTTAATTATGAACACATTCGGTTTTTAAAATAATCTATAAATAATCTAGCTTGAAACATCCTAAAAAGAATTGAAGAGGCATCTGAAGGGCGTGCGGGTTTCTATTGACAATTGCAAGTGCTGCATAATACCCGTTCAAGAGCTAATGTATTTTATGTGCCCTTATTTGCTTCACCTTCCACACGAGAATGTCTTCCTGCGCTAGGAAAACGAAACGCAGCAAAAATTCGTAATTAGTGATCTCAATCATATGGAAGCCATTTCTTACGACAAGACTAGTTAGTTAGGCTTTGTGAATGTCATCCGATGGCTATGATATACTATTACTGTTCTTTATGTGTCCTGGAGAGAAAACAGTCATCGTGTAACTGAAAGGTAACTTAATGTGACCTCATAGAAATTACTGGTGCAATAATACGCATTTTGGTAACCAAAGTTCGAAAGTGGCCTGTATACAACGCGACGAATACGTATGTCCTTGGCTTACTGTGCAAATAAGCTTTTATATCTATATTGCCAACGGAGTTCTAATAATTAGATACATCATTCATCTTCAAACAATTCATAATTAGGTGGCTTGAGTTCTATTCAGTGAAATGTAAATACTCTGCAACATTTATCACAGGTTTTCAAGAGGTTTTTATCTGACGAGAGACCGGACCATACAACATTTCCATGAAAGGCCTGTTTTCCAAAAGAGTAGTATTTTACTAGTTAAAGAATACAGGAAAGGAGCTTTTTACATAATTTTGTTTACAGATTTAAGGGGACTCATACACCTTAAAACCCATAATATCTTTGAATATGTGACTGTTGCAAGAATTGGAATAACTTATTTATTTTAAAAGCAATTACTTCCAACTTTTTACAGCTGACTACATAATATAGCTGCGTTCTGAAATAGTAATCAGAAAGTTTGTGTTGCCACAAATATTTTTATAATTTAATCCGCTTTATGACCAAATTTTTCGTCATGTTTCTGCCTTGCGCGCACAGTTTACAACATTCTGTTGCGTAATTTAATTCCATACTTAATATGTAGCTTTTATACCATTGGAAACTACTGTGAACCAAAAATTCTAAGAATTTCATGTTACATTTTTATTTTATTTGGAGTTGAGTTTATAAAATGTGTTTTATTAAAAAAATCTGTAATGTTTTCGTACATAAAATTTTTTAATATTAAAATAGCCATCAGATTTTTGGTTCAGTTAGAAGATAGTGCCCGTATAAAGAATTCCATCAAATTTCAAATATGTACCATTAGCCATTTTTAAAATATCATGCGCGCATGGTTGAAACATGACGAAAAATTTTGTCACAAAGCGGATTCAATTACAAAAATATTTGTGGCAACACAAACTTTCTGGTTATTGGTTCACAAAGCAGCTATATTATGTAGTCAGCTGTAAAAAGTTGGAAGTAATTGCTTTTAAAATAAATAAAATATCCCAATTCTTGCAACAGTCACATATTCGAAGATCATGAAGGATTTAAGGTGTATGAGCCCCCTTATTTAAAGCCAAACAATTAACTTACCCGGCTGTTAGATTTTAATAGTCACTTTCAAGCCATTTTGTAGCATATCACATAATATATTTTGAATATAAAACTTTGATTTTTTTATTTATTTTGACAATGCACAGACCACAAAAGTTATTTTTAAACTATTAAAAGAAATAAGGGAGATAATGACTGTTTAAAAACAGCAATGATTCTGATAAGGTTAATTTTGCTGTCTAATGAAATATACCGAATTAGGAACTGAGATAATGTCCAACTGCTTTACCTCTCTGGACAATACAAAGCAAGTAACATTAAACTACTAAATGCAATCGTTTTTCTTCATTTCATAAGTACTGCTTAATTTTAAGAAATGTATTTCAAAAAATAATCTTCAAACACAGTATATTTCTTTACCCATATTTTTCCCCATGCAAAAAAGAATAAATTCAGAACTACTGAAGAACTATATATTGCAATTCTTTAACTTATCAAGGATGTGGTCTAGCGTTTAGCTCTGAAACCTCGAAGTTCACGAAAAGTACTTTCTAGATTTTAACATGTTTCTTTTTTGCCCCAGTTGTTTGAATGTGTTTTAAGATCCCTACATATTTACTTAATTAAAATTACTGTAAACGTATACATACGGCTTCGTCGGTTGGGAAGTTGTAACAGACTTTCACTTACTTATTCCTTGCAGGTGGAAGATGCAATAAAGTTCGTCAGATAGATGCTCCATTTATTCAAAAAGGGGATGTGATTGGCTGTATTTTAGATCTAAATGTTCCTCTCATGTCATTTACAGTCAATGGTATAAAAGTTAAAGGTTGCTTCAAAAACTTCAACACCGATGGGATGTTTTATCCAGTCATAAGCTTTTCAGCAAAACTCAGGTTTGTTTTCCTTTTAGTGCTTACTTTATTCTGAAAGAATTTAGTTCAGTTACCTAAGCGATATATGTCTTATCCTACTTGTCTTAATCATAGTTTTAGATGTATTACACAAAGCATCTTAATTTTTGCATGTTATCATATTCATAAAAATAAGTTTCGTAATTGAAAGCACCGGCATATAGAAGAGTTTGGGCGAGATATGAAATAAGAAAATATATAATTTGCAAAAAATAAGCATTGTTTTATTTCTTATTTTATTCATTTTTTTATACTGTTGTTGTTATTATTTTCCAGTTGTCGTTTCATACTCGGAGGCGACCAAGGCAGACTTCGCTACGGACCACCAGATGGCCATTCGCCACTTGTAGAATCTCTCCAGCCAAAGCAAATCCTAACAGTGGAACCATGCTTTGAGTTTGGAGAACTTAGTAAAGGCGTAATTAATGGTCCCATGCTTGAACTGGATGATACAGCTTTCGTTCCTGCGCCAGTTGAAACCACTGGAGTAAGTTTGCAATCTGTGTGCTTTCTCTTCGAAATCAATTAGAATATGCAAAGATGTTCTAGAAGAATGGGAGATGTATATGTGTGCTTTATTTCATGATCATGTGCAATAAATGATTATGTATTTTTTGTCATAACCAAGGTAGACGACGACTGTAGGTATGCATCGAAGTAGAATTTTTGATTAAAAGGGTAAGCACTAAGATGATTGAAAGCGTTGGAATTACTTTAAATAGGGGTATAATATATACATGTAATGAAACTGTGGTTTGAAGGTGGCAGAGTGACGCAATTTAGCACAACATATCTTGAAAAATCACAATCTTTATTTTTTTCCATGCATATCAAATCATCCTTTTTCAGACAAGATGTTTCCTAATTATATTTGAATACAGTAAGTTGCATTTTGATGTCATCTTAAGTAAGTAAGCGGCAGCAGCATGCATGAAAAGCGTCTTACCAGCAAGAGAGCTAACGCGAAAAAAAGGGAAAGGTTATAGTACTTTCATAGCAAGAAGGCTGAAGTTTCAGTTCACAGTTTTGGTTTAGAATTAATTTGATTGGACGAGAGGCATCTGCATTAAAACGTTACATAACATAGAAAAGTCTGGAACCTGTGAGAAGAGATGAATTTAGGGGCAGATTACCAAATTTAGAATGTTAATTTTGAGGTCGTCAATTATTTTTTTTGAAACAGCTATCATATTTTGTTATATCTTACATACATATATATGTAACCCCTTATATATAAATTGTAAAATATTTCGTAGTGAGGACCTTTTGGACTTAAAAATTGAAAGGCCTTCAGACAATTTATAATTGGGTGGCTTGAGATCTAGTCTTAATTTGAAGCAAGCCATTTACTTAGACAGATAACAAAGAATAAGGTAAATAAAATATGAATTGGTATGAATACTATCTTGTGTGCATATAGGACTCCAAGGACAATACTTCTGTTGAAAGTCTTGAGTGAGGCAACTGTCTGTTTAACATTTACTACCCCTTCTCCTTCTGTTACTACAGAAACTAAAAATGATAATAATGTGTATGCTTATGTGCACGGATTAAATGTCATTTCCAAATGAACATCAGTTAATTCTTGTAAATGAATTATCATGAGAAAGGATTAGCAATTATATTTCCAGCAATAAAATTCCTCTTTTTATTTCCAGTAAAATATACGAGAGCCATTTCTTATTTATACCCCGGCCAGTTTAAGCATAACGAGTAAAGGAGCTTCTTCGCCAATTGCTTAGCTAATTATTCACAGCCTTTCTCATGCATTTTTCTTGAAGATTCTGGTAATAGTATTTAAGCCAAGCACTACAACGCGAACAGATTGTTTTAATACACACTGTACAATACGGAATGATTTTCAGCTATATTTTGTCCTTCAATTTGATTAAACACAACAAAGCGAAAGGTGAGACTTCCCAGAACTTGGATACAGTTAGAAGTTTCGCACGGGCGCTACGTGAGCAGAATGCGTGGAGTGGAGGAAATGCTAGAATAACTGGCGTAATACATTATGTGTCTATACTTTTTGGATATTAAATCCTTTTTTTTTTCATTCCCAATTTAATTCTCGAATTCACTGGAACTTACTCAACCCTGTGACTGGCACGGGATTTCACTAAGGAAGCCCATGTTTCCGAAAACTGCCATGAGAAAGAAGTATTTTCTTAATTTTAATGCCAAAATAGTCCTGGTACTTTAAACCCTGCATTTATATACTTTTATGTGTTGCTCTAGTTTCTTGGACATATTTCAACATGCACGTATATATGTAGAATCGGTATTTACTGTCTAGGAATATGATGTTTGTAAACTTACTTCTTAGGTGGCTGTCTAGGGGCTAATAAACTAGTCCGATTTATGTAAAACTTGAATATTTAATGAAACATGAATAGTTGCTACAAACTACTACAAAGTAATTACATACGTAGAAGGAAATAGATGAATTTATATAGATGATATATACAGATGAAGAGAATCGACTGTCTTTTTCATGTAAACATCTTTCAGTCGCGTCATCGTCTTAATGGCAGAATCGTCTGCCTTCCATCATCGGAAAAGTAAAAGATTTATTTTCACAGCTTGTCGCGTCATCTGATTATAATGAACGATGCCATCCCACATATATACATTTTTATAGACATCACAAAAGGTATTCTAGGCCGTATCTATACGGCCTCGCCGGTTAGAGGTTTTTAAAGGATGGGGCTTTATTACTAAAAACAATTGTCAAAATGTGCAATCAAGAATGTTGTCTCTCCATATCGGGCGCATATATACATTTATAAATGCTTGGAATTTTACCTTCGCGCACGCAATTAGGAAAGCACAGCCAAAAACCTATAGTTTTGTTAAATAACCAAATTAAAAAATTAGCCTCATTATTGTTGTGTTACTGCACCATTAATGTGGTGTTGCTGGCGTGACCGCCTAAAAGTAACGATAGTAAGAGTATCAAATACAAATTAATTCCGCGTAAATAGTAGTTAAACTAAAATTTAGTGGTTAGTTCATTGCATGATCTTTACTAAATAGAATAAAATGACTTACCCAATAATGCATGCATGAGCCGAATACTCTCTTTTTCCAATCTCACATTTATTTTATCAAACACATTTTCTGGATTAAATAAGGCATATTTATCACACACATATAAAATCTTAAAATATCATAACTTAGATACACACAATGCGATAACTAGAAATGGAATGTCCGTGGAGTGCCGAAGCGTAACTATTCGTGCAATCCTGTCTCATCGAATAATTTTGCGGTCGAAAATTTGTCATATTCATTTTCGTATTATCGCGCGGTCTTGTTTCCACGTGCAAGCTCTTCTTTTTTCACACTCACATTTTTTTAACACACTTATCATCACGTGGTGACCGTGTCGCTGGTCAAGCACATCTTGAAGTCGAACAAAGTCGAACACCTATTGATATTCTGCTCGAGCGTTTATTTTATGTTGTTCACGGCAGCAGGACTTATTGAGTCTCAAACCAAGCATTTTACTTTAGATATTACATCTCTTGATTTTGCTTCTTTCTATGCATAATACGACGACATTCCACTTGCAAAAATATGAACAGGAACGATGGCGACTGCTGAATGTGTGTGGCCCGAAGGCCCACACACTCGATAAAACGACGCCAGGCAGCAAGAAGGGAAAGACAGACAATTCTCATGGAGACAGGATAACAGATGCAGGGGGTGTGACCAATGTCACGTGATGAGCGATAAGACATCTGGTTGGCGATGAGGTATCCGGGCATCGTAGCGCTGTAAATCTGAAGTTTTACAATAGTTATACAAGACAGACAAACCAGTCCTTCCAGTTTTTATACACCTCGACGCACGTTCTAGCGCGTGATAACGATACAAGAATCGATGACGGCACTGTGAGAATTCTGTGTTCTCACAATTATATAATTATGCTTTTTTATAAAGCAGAATATTTTCACTCTTTGATTTCACTTATGACAAACTAAATTGAACCCATAAATGGAATATATAAATTTTAAAACATTTCTGCGTACCTTACATGCCTCAAGTGTTAAATCCCTTCAAATATGCCTTACATGAAAGAATTTTAAATCTATTCTCAATAAATTTAAAATCTGAAAATTGATTTAAACATTATATATATATATATATATATGTATCCATGTCATAAAAATGCATTTTATGTTTCAGATTACTCTTCCAGGATACGTCGAAAATGTGAGAGATAAACTGGCTGAGAATATCCATGAAGTATGGGCTATGAATAAAATCGGTGCCGGCTGGTCATACGGGGAGGTAAGGAAAATGCTCTTTTGATGAATGTTTCTTAAGTTTGTTTTAAAATGAATGCATGTCTTCAGTAATATGAAGTGAAATAAATCTTTAATTATATGTTGTTCCATCAGATAAGGGATGACGTCCGCAAGAAGCATCCATGTCTTACATCATTTGACAGGCTACCAATGGCGGAAAAAAGATACGACACGACGCTTGCTCTACAGACGCTAAAGTATGCTATTAATCAATTATTCTTTTACACAAAAATAATGAACTGTTTGGTTAGTGCACGACTTATTAACAAAGGCGTCATTCTGTAGTAAGTTCATTGCATATTAAGACACAATAACACGCCGAATAAATACTAATTCAGAAGTCACACAACAAAAATTAGCGTTATATTTACCAAATTTTCACAGGACTAGTTTCGATGGTTTTACCGAACCACCATCTTCAGCTGCAAAACCGCAAATGAACCAGATAGGAAATAATGATTAGATAAGATAAGAAAGCCTGGACAATTAGCTATAAATCAATTAGCTATAAAGTTGCACATATTTTGCAGAAATTTAACTTTCGGGTTGTTTATTCTCCCATCAATAAAATTCCGAGTTCCATACTCAAGGACCCCATTCCGGATATGAATTCCTGGGGTATTTATAGGATTCCTTGCCAGTGTGGTTTAATTTACATTGGCCAAACTAAGAGAGCCTTAAAATTTCGCGTCAAGGAACATGAGGCATATGTTAGAAAAAAGGAAACACAGAAGTCTTCTGTTGCTCAACATTGTTGGTCCGAAACCACACTTTCAGTTTTTCTGCTGCCCAAAATTATTGAAAAAAAACATCTTCCATTGGAGAAACTGGATTTTCTAGAGGCATTTCACATTCATAAAAATCTTTCTGTTCTAGTTAACGATCCTAATTCCAATCCAAATTTGCCTTCGGCTTTTAAAGAAATTATGTTTTAGTTCTGGTTTTACAACAGATGGCGCCACTTGCTTTATTCTTGTCCAGGCTTTCTTATCTTATCTAATCATTATTTCCTATCTGGTTCATTTGCGGTTTTGCAGCTGAAGATGGTGGTTCGGTAAAACCATCGAAACTAGTTCTGTGAAAATTTGGTAAATATAACGCTGATTTTTGTTGTGTGACTTCTGAATTCATTGCATATGTTTTAGGACAATCATGTCTTTGGGGTACCATATCACTGTTGACAAGCCGCCGGCAAGAATTAGGAGCATCAAACTTCCAAATGAGTAAGAAGAAATTTTCTGTCATATCTTGGTTTTTGCTATTTTTCTATATAATATTTGAACTGAATTATATTTACCTGTAGAATGTATTCCAAATTGTACATATCCATTATCAACATAAAAGTAGTGTTCCGTTTAATCAGCTACTAAGATTATATCCAGAGTTAGATAATGTTCACTATTTTTTTTAACAGGATACGAAATTCAACATACTGTATTTACGTATGCATAGGCCATATCTGTATAGGCTGCACCCGCTTCCGAAATCATACATTTGGAAAAAAAGAAAAATCTTAGAATTCCTCCAAAGAATAAGAGCGGAGACATCGATATTCTGAAATATGGCAACATCGGAAATTATTAGCAAAAGAATGAAATGATATTTAATGCTTATTGTTACTGCTCAATGCATGTCAAACATGAGTCGACTTAAAGTGAGTTACATAACGAAATTTGTGAAGTTAGTGCTTTTTGCTCAAAAAAATTCGAGCAATAGAAAGTAAGTTTGATGTAGACGAAGAAAACATGCAGCGAAAGCAAATGTCATGTAAAGACAGTAACATATCCTGACCTGCAAATAAATTTATTAAAATATACCTGTGAAATTCGGGCACATGGAATTTGTGTATCAGTTGACATGATTTAATACAAAGCCCGTTTTCATACAAAATATGAAAACCTCCAAAAGCGAATTTAAGGGGAATTATGGATGGAAAAATGTTTTTTTGGCACTGCATGAATTTGGAATTCGCTATCGAACCTCAACTGCACAAGGACGTCCTGACGTCTCCTAAGAGAAATGCTGATAATTGCTGATATTTCTTAAATATATCACAAGTTTTATTCATGTCTTTGGGGTCTCTTCGCAATGGACCCAAAGACGCAATTACGATTTTTCATTAAAGTAACAATCTATCAGGCAAGTGAATAAAACAGCTCTGGTGTGAAAAGCCGATAGCAGTAAACGGGTTGTATCCTAATGCTGCGCGTAATAGTTGACGAAAAGATGCTCATCTTGCTCAGTGTTTTAAGCTTAAAATTCTGCCAGAAGAAAAGAAGCTAAGCGCTTTCGTTTGCATTGAAGATCAAGACTGAATGACAAATAAACTACACATGGATTAGCGGAACACAATCTGTTCTTGGAGTCCAGGTTGCTCTGTTACAGCGGTAATCCATGTAAGTTGCTAATGGTTTCCGAGTTCTTCTGAACAAAAGCGGGGAAAAGAATGTGAAGAAGTACAAAAGTGACGTAAATGAAGGGATGTCTGCAATACTATAGTCATTCAACTTATTAATCAGCCGCTCTTTTAAGATTTATCTTAGACGATTCTACTTCAGTTGAAAATGCAATGTTATGAAAACGATACCGGTCCGTTACGTGGACTACCCCAGTCTTAGACGTACAAGTGGCTTCATGGAAGCTAATACCAGAAGAAATTTTATAAATAAATACTGCAGTGTTACGACCGACTTCTCAGAGTATACTAGAATATTGCATTTCACATCATTCAAGTGACGCTTGTTGTTACAGTGAACTTCAAATGAAGAAAAAAATAATGCCTGTTAGTTGCAAATGAAGATTTTAATTACAGTTTTTGTAATGAAGATTTTAATTACAGATTTTGTAATCCTAAGGTATTCAAAGACAATTAATGATAATAAATTGCTTTAAATTTATTATAAGTAGATGCCCCCTCAAAAATGATTTTTTTTCAACTGTAAAAAAACAAGCTATCCATGCATGCATTAATACGGTATTTACTAATCAATGTAACCACATAATCAATATTTTATAATGACATGTTAACTTAACTTAATTCTTTGAAAGCAACTGAAATGCCAAAACTATATGGAATGTTACATTTTAACTTAATGTTTTGAATAGGAATAGTATTTAAACGTACTAAGATCTCAGAAAAGAAATTGAAATTTTGTTTAATTTTCATATTGGATCAAATCTATATTTCCATTGAAAGTTCATTAAATACGTTTTACTTTTTGGCATAAGAAATTTATGATCATAATTTTCATTCTTAAGTGATTATTTTTTTCATTTATTTATGCTTCTTCTTGTTCTGTAAATATAGTTTTGAAATCAAATTCGATAATAATACATGTATGTCTCTTTCAAAGTCCATTCTTGCAGCCAAACGGTTACAAACCTGCACCTTTAGATCTGCATGCTATCACACTGAATCAGAAAATGGAAGAACTCGTAGAGTTATTAGCTGAAAACACCCATAACGTGTGGGCGAAAGAGCGGATACAGCAAGGCTGGACTTACGGTTTAAGCGAAGTAAGTGCGTCTTATTTATCAAAATAAAGTTCTAAAAAGAAAGTATAACTTCAGTTTAGATTGTGCATCAATGTAAAACTGCTTTGTCGATATTAATAAAAAAAAAAAACTTCAATTTTAAATTAGTGTTGATTTCAACTGCAAAGGCATTCGAGATCCAGACAGCTGCGCTCATCATGTAATCATCATTAGCAAGCATTCCGGTAAGAACCAAAAGATTGATTCGCAAGAAAGATAACTGGTTTGTAGTAATGAACGTAATGGAAAAGCCTCAGAATAATTGCCAGTGGGGCTAGGATGTTATCAGTCAATGTTTTCAGATACAAAAATACATTTCTTTTCTTCTCTTTTCTTTTAAGTTTGACTTTGTAGAACTTCAGTAGATGTCAGCATTGGGAAAAATATTTTACACTCTTTTTTCAGAGGAAAATATTTAGCATTTCAATCAACAGTTTAATTTTTCTTCAAAAAGAATGATAGATTTAAAAATGAAAGAATAAGCACATTTAATAGCAGCTTGAATTGACTATCAGCTTGCCCATTCGGTTGCTTAAGTTCCCGGTAAATGTGCGCTGTGTGCTTAGAAGTCCTTTCACATGCTTCATTTATCAACTGTTTTTTGTATACATATATTTCAAATCAGAAAAGTGTTTAAAATGATGCAACTGTTTATGTTTTGACATTTTTAAATTAAAAATCAATATTATGAAAACTTTGAAATATAACTTTTTATACCGTCCCGTATTTTCAATAGTTATGGTTAGTAAAACTTAATGCTCAATCTAAAAAAATTCAGAAGCAAAATGTCTACCAAGAGTACCATAAAAATTGACTGAAAAATTTTAATTTTAGATTTGGGGTTGCGTCAGAAAATTGAATCCTTGTGAGGTCAGTTTAAAATAAATTAGGATAATTAGATGTTGACATTTTTCCCATTTAATATGGTTCAGTAATAGTTCTTTGTGATTTACTTCTATGTAAACCTCCTTAGCTTGTTATCTTCTTACAACATTTAGTCTGCCGACAGCATTTTCACACAAGTAATGTATAAGTTTTAAAAATACTAAAACTTCATCAATTATATACACATGCAATTAAATTTTGCTTTAAGATCGCAGTATAATTATGAATTAGCAGTGTGATAATATTACCAATTAGCTATATGCGAATATCTGAAGACTGTCACTATTTTCTAGATGGTAATTTCTTAAGAATTTATAGGTAAGATTTCCTTCTTGAGGTAAAAAAATTGTATTGATGAAAACGTTTCACGATAATTTACTATCTTTGCTCATCACTTAATCTATTAATATCAGAAATTTTTACCTAAACTGGTATTTTAGTTTTGGTTTCACACAAATTTATATCGCTCACTGTTCAGTGTATACACGACTTCTGAATTTTCAGAAAGCATGATTTGAAATTTTAAAACTAAATACATATCTCAATCAGTTCTTTTTGTAGGCAATTCAAATTCTTGTATTTATTTTTTAAGAGAATTTAAGCTTTTAACTCTATGGAGATGTGGTCATATAAAACATTAGGTTTCGTTAAGTTCGATAATTCTTTTTTAATAAAAAGCTTCCAAATCATAAATATTAGCTTAATTTTTAAACATTTTTGTAACAGGCAGTATATTTACTTGACTGATGATTACGAAAATAAAGGAGAACTGTTATGGACACAGTACACAAAGTGGCCCATCAAAGGTCGTCCAAACTCTGCACAGACAGATTCTTCGCGTGGAATGCAAAAAAATAAATAAATAAATAAATAAATAAAAATAAATAAATAAATAAAATCACCATAGAAATTGTACCTGTACGACTCATAATTTCCGAGATAAATGCGAAAGAAAAGTATGGCGTCATATCCAGTGGGGGAGAAAAAAAAAACTTTTATTGGACACGTGAACATTGGTTTATATATATATATTTACATAGGTTTGAATTATTTTATTACGCAAAGCATATGTGGGTTATCTGCTTAAGGGAAGGGATGCCTTCGTGGAGGACTTTTTAAGGTAAATGAACTCATACACGTTACACATAGGGAAAAACCACGAAAACGTCCATGCAGCCAAGCCTTTCGACGGGATTCAAACCAATGGCCGAACTACCAGTGTTCAGCGACTTTATGTTTACATACGAAGATTATCAAAATGTCCACCGCAAATATCGAGGCATGCCTGCGCACGCCTGGAATGGCTGACTACCAAGTTGCAGCTTACATCGAATATGACGTTATTCTTGTATACTTATACTTCTTTCGCATTTATCTCTAAAACTATGGGTCGTACAGGTATAGTTATCAGGGTATATTTTAAGTATTCCAAGAAAGGGATCTGGCTGTGCAGAGTTAGGAAGGTCTTTATGGGTCACCCTGCATATTTACCGGATGCGAATCCTACCCTGTGAAAATGTGTTACTTTAGTCACATACAATAAAGTTAGTTTATCATATTGAATACCTGATATGAGGAAAATCTAATTCGTATTAAAAGTAATTATTAATATTATACTGATATTAATGTTATACTCTATGTTTTATTACTGTCCGTATTACCAGGTTACCTAATATTATAGTCCTACCATGTTACTCAACCATGACCTCTCATCATATACGGAAGTTCATTCTAATAACCCACGTGAAGTTATAAAACACAGGAACTACTGTAGGTAAACCACGTATACCAGTTTCTGAAGTTATTTTGACATCTTGTTCATAGTTACTATAACGTATTACTCCCACTTCCCTAGCGTGCCTTCGTGGTGTAACGGTACCACGTTGGGCCGGTATTCCAGAGGTCCGTGGGTCGATTCCCGGTGAAGGCGGTTGCTAATTTTTCATCTTGCCTTCTTTAAAAAAAATACCTAATGTCTCTACAGTGGCACCCGAACTAAAAGGGTTGTGGATGATGATTCTCCGCACCCAGGATTTGGCGATTAGGTTCCCTAAAACCCTAGTCGCCCTTTAAAGAGGGGAGTATATAAAAGGTATTTCTCCCACTTCCCTAGCGTGCCTTCGTGGTGTAACGGTAGCACGCTGGGCCGGTATACCAGAGGTCCGTGGTTCAGTGCCCGGCGAAGGCGGTTGCATATTTTTCATCTTTTCTGCTTGCAGTTAACCTAATGACTTTACCTTACTTCGTGTTAACTTTCCTGTCCGGACTTTAGGTGAGGTAGTTTTCAGTATCATATTACAAGTATTAAATAAAAACTTGATGAAAGCTGTTTTTACAGCTGAGTTGAAAAACTTAAAAGCTTGCTGTAGGCTAAGTAAGAACAAATTTATGCAGAAAATGAGCTCTGATTTAGGTCTGGAGGAATAACGCTGCTGGAGACTGAAAATAAACATGCCTATATTTTCAATGAAGTTCGTAGTAGAGCTTTCATTAAGTTTGGGTGAAATAATTTTAGCATCATGTATGCATAAAAGGATAAAATTACCGTGCTGATTTTAGTGTAGAGTAGCTATTTTGGTCTTTTTATAGGATTTTTTTGTTGTTCACCAACCGTGTTTTAAATAAATGATCCATGAATAGTTCTAGAGGCAGCCCGACCAACATTCAGTCTCATTTACATGAGACAGTCAGGGCTCATTTAACTACGTTCAGAAGATTATCCTGACTACTAAATGTGTAAATACTTAAGCTTATTGTATGTGATTATTTATGGTTTTGTATTTTATTTTTTAGGACAGCGTTTTGAAGCGAAGTCCGCATTTGGTCCCCTATAAGAATGTAGATGATGCTATAAAGAAAGCTAACAGGTAATACATTCAAGACACTTTTGTGAAAAAATAACGAAGAATGTGCAGTTATTTAAGTTTAATTGAATGTTTATGCATTCTATGAAATCCATGTTGCACTTTGATAAATTTCCTTTAAATATTGCATGTTATTTATGGATATATTTAAACTCTGAGATTTGTGAATTTGATTTTACTGTAATAAAAACGTAAAATCTTGAAGAAGTGAAGGAGCAATAGACCAGTGAAGTTTCAAAAAACAACGAAGATAAATTTGATATTTAACAAACATAACTTAAAACTTGGATTAATTTCTATCCCAGTCTGCCGTCCCTGACTTCTAAATTCAGCAGTAAATAAGAATCTGATTGAAAGGTTGCTAGAATTGTGCAACATCGGAAGTACCTAAAAGATATTTATATTCATATATGGCCTTTCTTTGTTATTTCGGTGGTTTTAAACCAATACTTTAAGTTTTCCTATTCTGGAATTACATTTAGTATGTCCTTCCACGAGATATTTTCCGATATTTTATTATATATAAGTTAAAAAATATAAAATCATTTCGAAATCCTTATGTTTTCCGTTCTTTCAACAATGCATATAAAAAATGGGAGTTTGTTCTAACAAACTAACGAGTAATTATGTGAACATTTTTAATGCAATTTTTTTTTTAAATTTTACAGAGATACTGCTAGCGAAACAGTTCGAACATTGCTTACGTATGGCTACATTTTGGATCCACCATCCACAGAAGCTCTAGAAGGTAATCATTAAACTATATAGCTTTTGCATTCTTTACCGTGAAATGCACTAAGAGGAAATTTCTGTTGTATCACTTCTTCCATGCTCATCTAAAGTTTCTTTTCTAGGAGCTGTTGGAAAGAAAGATTTCATAAAATATGATCAAAGGACTTACAGAGCAGAATCTACATATGCTGTTACATCTGGTAAATGGTACGTTATTAGTACTTTTCTCAAACAGGTGTACTTTACAGTAAGACATGACTTCTAGTCTAATTATTGGAAAAACAAAATTTATACATTTCTTGTCAGTGTACTTTCGCCAACATTACTTTTCATTGAAGATATAATTTTATAACCTTAGTTGTCTAAGTTGATGATATTTATTTAAAGTGCATAATAAATTAATATTAACTCTTTACTACTTTCTTTGGTTGTACTATTTATCTAATAATTACGATTAAGATACAGTAAATAATGATTTTAATTAAGCATTGGCAATTAAATAATTAAACCTAACAATTAGCTTTTGAACTATCATAAATTGAGTAAATCATAAAAAGAGTAAGGTGAGTAAATCTTTTAGATGGTTTCTTGCTGAAAATTGTTTTAAAAATAAATTGACAGAGTCAGTGTAAATCCTTTTTTTCATGACCTCAACCATCAAACGAAAACTTTAATATATTTTCGGAATCACGCATTTTAAATTTATGCGTTGTAATATTAACGAATAAAGAAGGAAATTATATTAATCTTGAAGACACATTTCTCATTATTAGCTACGTTCGCCTTCAAGAAAGCTAACGATACCACTATGAGAAATGCATCTCACTTTCTTACTGAATGTTCTTACTTAATCTTGTCATATTATCAAAGGTTCCTGTATAGAAAAGTCCTCAGACATATAGGTACATGTTCAAAAATTTCAGAAATTTACATTAATCGATCACAGATGCTTGAATCTTGTAAATATCTTTGGATACTTGAATCCTTGGAACACATATATGACCATTTCACTCAGCCCCGTTTACATCTTGCTATTTTCATATAATATTGTTCTACAAAATTAGGTGCGGGTTTTATGTGTACTTAAGAATGCATTTTCTTTATTTGGCAAGCTAAGCAAATGCTGCAAATAAAAAATATTGGAAATATTTAGCTGCTTATATCATAGTATTGTCTTCAAAGTTTTGTTATGATGTCCTCATTATGGAATTTCGCAAATTAGTGCTTCAAGTCGAAGTCTTTGCAACACGCTAAATCAATTTAATGCAGGCTATCAATGCGTTAAATTTATTTCCACGGACAAACTCTTAAGATAGCTGAAGTCGTTTAATGATATTTACTGAGAAAATAAGAACCTTGAAAATAATTTTACACAATTTGTAAAGAATTATAACGTCTTTCTCTTGTATGCCCTCATTGTAAAGTAGTTAGTATGCCCATTTAGCAAGTGTAAGATTAGTAGTTAGATTCTCGGCGAGGACATAATTTTTTTACGTTTCTATTTTGCAAAACCTTAATTGTCTATACTGTCGCTAATTGTAATGGACGATAAACTCGTCATAACCTTCATTTGGTCCACTGGGTCTTTTCGTCTCTCCTGAGTAGTCTTAATTTGTCTCGTGTTTTAATACTTTTGTGTTTTAGTGGTTAGCACACCCAGCTGGAAACTAGATGATCCGTCTCCGATTCCAGCTAACATTACTGCCCACTTTTCACGTTTCTCGCTGCAAAAATCCTATTTATCTTTTTAAAGTTATTATAAACATTTACCTTCGAGGCATATATCATAACTGAGAAAAATGGCTGACAGAGTGCAAAGCAAATTTGAGATACATTCCTTTAGGATTAGCAATGAAGTGCCATATGCTAATGCCTTTCAAAAATTATATCAGTTCGAATCTGCTGTGTTTAAGAGTAGAACTTAGCGTATTAAATGAAGGTGAGACTTATATCTCCAGGCTGATGTTTTCGAACGTTTTTCAGTACTGACCTCATTATCCAGCTTATGATCTCCATCACATGTATCAGACCCACAACGTGACAGAAGGTATATTTCGCCTTTGAGTAAATTCAATGCTATGATCAACTCAACATGACAATGATTCACATATTCTTATATCACGTTACACTGCTCAGCCTGGTATTTATCGTTACACTATTCCGCCTGGTAGTTTTATATATTATTAGGATCCGAGATTGAATCTTTGAGAAAGCACAGCTTTTTTTCAATTGTCTAGCCTTCCCCTTGCAAATGCAATATTAGTCGCAGCGTTTTGCATATCCTGTGCAGAGCTTTCAGTAAATGGAAGACCAGTGGGTTTGGATATTCCCATTCAGCAAGTGTTAGTCCATTTGGATTGGGGGTATTGTGTTTGTTTTAATAGCTCATTTAAAAAATATGGAATGCTGTCAGTTCCAACTCCGAAACAAACGCATTACTCTAACATAATGTTTTACTGTGCACGAGTTTTGCCACTTACCTGGTTTGCGTTGGATTGAGTGATGGCAATTTGTGTTTCATGTAGTGCTTTCAGAAATCCGGATGGCTATGTTTTAAATATGAACTTACTCACTAGGCTGATATGAAAATCAGGCTACAATAACTAGAGAGCTTTACGCAGTCAATACGTACGAAAATGCGCAATCTCGAAGAAAAAGCGTAGACTTTGTACACATTACTGACTTCCTTTACTGAGTCGCAGACTTGACACAATCTGAATCTCTATCTTTATACACCTATTATGATGTTAAATATCATACATCAATATCTAATTCTACAAAGACTGTTTATGGACATTATGCTGTCATATAGGCTGCCGTGAAAGTCCGAAGAGTTGGCAGAAATTTTCTGCAGCGTAACAGCCTAGGGCCAGAAGCTTTTTCATAGGCGAGAGAAAGCAAGAAAAAAAAATCCTGTAAAAATGTATTATTATTGTTATGAGATCTGAAAGTAAAAACCGTTAAATTGGTGCATTAAACCATGCCAAAAATATTGAACTTATTACGGTCGTGTTACAGATTAACTTGATGAGTATATCATTCTGCTCTTAAGTAATGAGCTATTTAAAAAAATATGTACTTTTATCTTCCAGGTACTTTGAGTTTGAAGTAATGACTCCGGGTTCCATGAAAGTAGGATGGGCAACCCTTTCTTTTATTCCATCTGTGGAACTTGGAGGAGATGAGCATTCTTGGGCTTATGATGGACATCTGGTAAGCCCTTATCACTTAAATATTTTTTACACAGGCTCGTTTTTTTTTTCAACCGTATCACTATAAACGATTATATCACCAATGATTAAATTTAATGTTTTTTATCAAAATTTCTTAAGAATAGGAAATGACATTAATTACGATTTTATTTTAAGAAATATTTAGTTTGTGAGCAAGTATATTGTTACTTTGTTTAAGTATATTGTATATTGTTACTTAGTGTTTGTGAACTAGTATCAGCAAGTATTTCCTATCTTGTAAATGCTGCTGGTCTGAAGATAAATTGCTTTGAATAAAAAGCGATCAATTATTACTTTGAATAAAAGTGATCAATTATTACATTGAATAAAATGTGATCAATTATTACTTTGAATAAAAGTGATCAATTATTGCATTGAATAAAAGGTGATAAATTCTTACAATCCATCAATTTTTCTGAAGAATGTCTATACGCAGTCTAATAAACATCAAGAAAGCTAACCTGTCAATTGTATAGACATGTCTTGAAAATAATTAAAAATTTGTTTAAGCACATTTGCATAAAAAAGATAATAATCGATTGAATTCCTGAAACAGATAAATAAGGCGAAACAAGAAGCATGCAGAGAAAGTATTATCTCTGATAAACGTAAAATGAAGGGTATAATGAAATTTTCCAAATCGTGCGAGAAAATTTAGGGTGATTTCCCTTTGTCGTTCATGGAACAGGAATTTTATGAGCTATTTTAAATCACTTTGAGTGCAACAGGATTGTAAATAATCGAGTTTTCTCTTTCTTATCATAGAAATATTCCACTGAAATCAATCTACTAATTATGATTACCTAATTAATTTAGAAGCTTGAATGATACACTAATCTCTTTATTGCTCACCGTTACATTGAAATATTGCTATCCATGTCTTTATTTTCAAAGCAATTTAATTAGCACAGGAATCGGACGACTTCCTGATTCCTTAATGGTCATCCATTGCCCTGAATAATTACAATTGTACTTATATTCACAGGGATGCAAGAAACATGGCGGTGGTACTGAAGGTTACGGGAAGCAATGGCAAGTTGGGGATGTCGTAGGCTGTTTGCTGGATATACATGACAAAACTATCAGTAAGTAAATAAAGAGCTTTATGTGTTCATTAAGGAATTGCTTTGTATACTAAATGAAAAATTACAGAAATTTAGAAAACTGAAAATTGTTAGCGTAAGTATGTAGCAGAGGTCCTGTCATGTGGTAAGATATCCCTTATGATTATAAGCAAGATATTTTAAATAATAAATGAGATATCAGACCTTTTTCGTGCATCTCATAATAAAAGTCAAAGAAATATTTACTCTACATAATTTAGAGTTCAGTATGTAGAGACTGGCTTCAAAATAATATCTGAGGGATATTTTTTTGAAGCCAGAGAGATGAAAAATGAGCAAACGCCTTCGTCGGGAATCGAACCGTGGACTTCTGGAATACCGGCCCATTGTGCAGAGCCACTACACCACGAAGGCACGCTAGGAAAGCGGAGAAAATAAGTGTCACTGCCAAATTAAAAACTGAAGATATCTTTTGAGGCAAAGTAATTTTCGGTGAATAAAAGAGTTTTCGGTTTAAAGAGTAGATTATAATATATTTTGCATAATTCTTCCATCGTCGGAGTAACTCTTTTCATAAAATTCGCTTCCTTTAGTTGAGAAAATTTTTAATCCGAAGTGCATTCCATGGACAATATTTAAGGTAATAATGTTCTGTGCCGCCTTTTCGAGTAATGTGTACATAATGCACAAGCAAAAAATGCATTTATGAATTAACGTAAGTGCTTTCATTTTCTTGTATTTACACTTTTTACTTTTCTGAAATGATTATGTAAAAATTGGCTACATATTAAAATTAATAACAGTTATTTATAAAGCTTTTAACTCATTGCTGCTATTATATGCAAATAATATTGTTTCCTTAGTTATCTGAGGGATTTTTTGCGAACTCATTGTTTTACTAATCCTTAGTTAAAATTATATCGCATCCTTTGCATATTAAAAATGCTGTAATAAATTTTACCACTTTACGGCTCACGTGATTTAATTCTCAATAAAGTTTATATTTATTTTATTAATATTTTTTATTTAATAATTAGCTTACTTTTAAAATTAATATTTAAAAAAAAAGATAATCTGAAAGCTATCAGATTTTATATTACGCCCGAAAGGGTTTTTTTTTAACGTTTCGTGTGTTACCTTTATTAACTATCATGTTTTTCGCACTTAAACCACACATAATTCACTTCAATAGCAATTTCACAAGATATTTAAAAACGGCAAAATAGCATATGTTTAGAATTTCCGATACACAGTCTCTCGCGCTGGAAATAAAAATGTTTTTTTTTCCGTACAGTGTTGCCGTTGCTCGCTTTGAAATCCTTAAGTTTGTTAATCAGAAATTCGTTAAAGTTTTACAAAATGTTAAATAGATAATAAAGCAAATTCGTAATCCAAAATTCGGGCTTCCGAGTGCCTATGTTCAGTTGGAAGACTACGTTATTCAAAATTTGATGGTTCTGGGTACCGTTGTTTTTTCACAGTGCGAGAAACATTCATTCAGATTCTTTATTATTTAGTTTCTTTAAATATAAAACATTGCGATAATGTTTGGTGGCAACAGCTGGAAAAGTGAACTAACGCAGAAAATGAAACGACGCGAAAGGCGGTTTTGAGACTAATAGCTCTTTGGGTCTATCGCCCCTTTGGGCTAAAAATATTTTTTAAAAAATAAATAAAAATAAAATAAATAAATAATAATAAAATAAAAAAAAACATGTGCTTCCTAACTGGTTTACGAATAGCAGCTTATATTTAAAAAAATTAATTTTTAGTTTAATTGTGTATAAAGCATTAACATTTTGTTCCATTTCTTGCACTTAATTAGCTTCATTATATTGGTCGGAATAACATTTTCATCGCAATTGTGTAACAAAAAAAAATATTTAGTCTAAGCATCAAATGTATAAGAAATTTAAAAAAAAAAAAAAAAAAGAAAGAAAAGAAACAAAACTGTTAATTTGCGTTGTGATTGCGACAGGAAAATCTGGTAAATAATCTGTCGGAACATTTCTTAATTCTAGTGTTAGTTTGAATATACTTTTATGGAAATTGAATAAATAGGTAGATACATATTAAATGCATTAGACTTAATTCATCGTAATCGCAATTCATCGAGTTCATTGTCTCGATCGTAAAAATTATAAAAATTCGATAAATAGTATTTTACAATACAAAAAGTAAAACATCGTATATATCCAAAAATGAATAACTTAGTGAATATGTAAACATATTAAAATGTACCAATAGTTGTGTACTATTTCTGTAATCATTACAATCCCTTTTAATTACAAATCCATTGTCTTACTTTCACATAAATAATAATTATTTAAAATTACTGCAGAAAAATGTATATTAAAATCTTACAAGAATTTATGGAAAAAAGCTTCCAGAAGCCGGAAACCAAGAATATGGAACAACTTTCTGAGGCTGTAGAAATAATTTTAACCGCAAAAATATGTATATTTGTGAAGTACCAGTTACTGACACGGCTTCAGATAACACAAAACCTGTGATTCATATTCGATATATATGCAACCGAAAAGTAAGGCCGTTGTGAATCATCGGTGCTGCAAATATCAATAAATGTGTTAAAGTTACTGAGAAGGAATTTGTTTATATTATTATCGTATGAAAAGTTTTCTAAACATCTCAAGAAAATGCAAATGATTCGTGTACTATTTAGAATTGTTTACTCATATTTGCATAGAAATGACCTAATCAAAATTCTTGTTTTTCTCTCGCTTTATAGGTTACACATTAAATGGTGAGCTTCTACTGGATGCCATGGGAGGTGAAACTGCATTTAGCGATATTCCAACTGAAGAAGGTACAGAAACTAATTAAGGAACATATTTTGATTTATAACAATTTTGATCTCCTTCATAAAATGAAATTAAAATTTATAAAGCGTTCGTTATTGAAATATATTTATCAAATATCACCTCTAAAAGCATTCAGTGAAATAATTTTTAAAATGCTTGTATATCATATAAAAATTCTTTTTGCTTTGCTTAGTTATTTTTCAAAGATTTATATTACAGTTAATTTAAATATTTATTTATATTACAGTTAATTCGAAATATTTATATATATTTTTGGGAGAAATATTAGGTTGTCTGAAAAGTAATGACGCATTTTTTTATGTTCTTCAAATTTTCAAAGGATATTTATTTATATAAAGAACAATGATCAGTGAGTATTATACACCCCATTTTGTTCAATAAATTTTTGCTTTCTTTTAATGAGCTTCGTAGTTCCCCATTCCCAACAGAACCTAGCTTTATCTGAGAAAAGCTGAAGAAGGTGCTGATTTACGATTTCACCTGAATTAAAAGTTATACCACGAAAGAAATTTTGAAGAGAGCAAAACAAATGAGAGTTTGAGTATCAGCTTATATGATACGATTGGCAACACTTTTCGTCCAAACTCCAATAATTTTTCTCAGGTGATTGTATGTGTGGTCTTTCGCTATCGGAATACAATACAGTTTATATACGACTAATGAGCTCTGGAAGATTTTGAAAGATAAATTCGTTGAAATAACTCTCCTGTTGGCATTCGAACTGATTTTTGGCTCGTTGGTAGGAGATTGGAAACATGACCACACACAAGTTTGCTCCCTGTGAAAAATTATCGCAGTTTGGATGAAAAGCGTTACCACGCGTATTATAGTAACCTGATCCTGTATCCTCAAGCTATCATTTGTTTCGTTCTCTTCAAAATTTCTTTCGCTATAAAACATTCAATTCAGATGAGGCCGAAAATTAGTACCTTGTCTAACTTTCCGCTGACAACGCAAGGTAAAGCATTAAAGCTATGTAAAGAATTAAAAAGCTAGGTAAAGCATTAAAGCTAAGTAGAGAACTAAAAAAGCTATGTAAAGCATTAAAGGTAAGTAAAAGAATTAAAAAGCTAGGTAAAGCATTAAAGTAAAGTAAAAAATTAAAAAGCTAGGTAAAGCATTAAAGCTAAGTAAAGAATTCAAAAGCTAGGTAAAGCATTAAAGCTAAGTAAACAATTATAAAGCTAGGTAAAGCATTAAAGCTAAGTAAAAAATTAAAAAACTACGTAAAGCATTAAAGCTAAATGAAAAATTAAAAAGTTAGGTAAAGCATTAAAGATAAGCAAAGAATTAAAAAAGCTAGGTAAAGCATTAAAGCTAAATAAAATTTATAAATCTAGGCAAAGCATTAAAGCTAAGTAAAAAATTTAAAAGCTAGGTAAAGCATTAAGCTAAGTAAAGAATTAAAAAGCTAGGTAAAGCATTAAAGCTAAGTAAAAAATTAGAAAGCTAGGTGAAGCATTAAGACTAAGTAAAGAATTAAAAAGCTTGGTAAAGCAATAAAGCTAAGTAAAGAATTAATTAATTATTAAGAATTAAAAAGCTAGGTAAAGCATTAAAGTAAAGTAAAAAATTAAAAAGCTAGGTAAAGTATTAAAGCTAAGTAAAGAATTATAAAGCTAGGTAAAGCATTAAAGTTAAATAAAAAATTATAAAGCTAGGCAAAGCATAAAAGCTAAGTAAAAAATTATAAAGCTAGGTAAAGCATTAAAGCTAAGTAAAGAATTAAAAAGCTGGGTAAAGCATTAAAGCTAAGTAAAGAAGAAGAAAGCTAGGTAAAGCATTAAAGCTAAGTAGAGAACTAAAAAAGCTATGTAAAGCATTAAAGGTAAGTAAAGAATTAAAAAGCTAGGTAAAGCATTAAAGTAAAGTAAAAAATTAAAAAACTACGTAAAGCATTAAAGCTAAATAAAAAATTAAAAAGCTAGGTAAAGCATTAAAGATAAGTAAAGAATTAAAAAGCTAGGTAAAGCATTAAAGTTAAATAAAAAATTATAAAGCTAGGCAAAGCATTAAAGCTAAGTAAAAAATTATAAAGCTAGTAAAGCATTAAGCTAAGTAAAGAAAAAAGCTAGTAAAGCATTAAAGCTAATAAAAGATAAAAGAGTACAAAATCAAAGCTAGTAAAGAAAAGAAAGAAAGCTAGGTAAAGCTTAAGGCTAAGTAAAGAATCAGAAAGCTAGGTAAAGCATTAAAGCTAAGTAAAGAATTAAAAAGCTAGGTAAAGCATTAAATCTAAGTAAAAAATTAAAAAGCTAGGTAAAGCATTAAAGCTAAGCAAAGAATTAAAAAGCTAGGTAAAGCATTAAAGCTAAGTAAAGAATTAAAAATCTAGGTAAAGCATTAAAGAAAGCACACAATGTTATCACACAAAACGGGGTATATACTATTGACTCGTAATTTTGTGTGTTGTTGTTTTGCTTATGCTCACTTGTCTGACGTAGTCAGATCAAGCCAACGAAATTCCTCGTGGCAAGAAGCGCTAGATTACGCCTGTCGTTGGCAACAGCCTTGAGCACCTAACAGGTGACAGTGCGATCTAGCTCAGTTCCCACCCCCCTCAGTTTTGATGGAGAACGTGTCCCTTCCGGGGGGCAGCGTGTCCGAGGGTTTCCCACCCCTCCCTCCTTCACCAAAGCACACGAGAGGACTTTCGACTCGCGGCATGTTTGGAGTGCCGCACCTACACTATATATTTACAAACATCCAAGCCTTCTCCGGAATTCGAATCCGGGCACTTCGGCACGGCAGTCAATGTCGCTAACCACTATACCAGTTGGGCGGCACTCATAACTGTTCTTTATATAAATAAAGGACATTAGAGGAACATAGAAAAAATGCATCGTGACTTTTCAGACAACCCATTGCTTCCTATCTTTTAATGTATACGTTCCACAAACAATACAAGAGGGTTTAAAAAAAAAAAAAAAAAAAAAAAAAAAAAAAAAAAAAAAAACAGAATGTAACCTGACTAATTAAACTAAATCTCTAACTATGATTTTAAAACGACTGAGTGTTTTCAGCAATCTACATGATTTAAATTTTCTTGTAATTATTCATAGCATAGTTACATGAATTTATTTTCAGAAAATTAAATCACTGCACTTAATTCCAGCATTCTTTTGACAACTATTATTTTGTATAAAAATAACTCTTGTTTGAAAATATGATTTTTGCAGGTTTTGTACCTGCTTTCACATTTGGAATCGGCCAGAGAGCTAAACTGGTTTTCGGACAAGACGTAAACCATTTGAAATATTTCACAGTATGTGGTCTACAAGAGGGATTTGAGCCTTTCTGTGTAAACATGAATCGCAATATGACTTTTTGGTATAATAAAGATGAAGCAATCTTCATAAATGTAGATGACATGACTGAATCACCAATTGATGTAACAAGAATACCACCTGGTACTGATACTCCTCCAGCCCTCAAAATTTCTCACAGAATTTATGAAACTGTCGACAAAGTAAATTATGAATTTCTAAGACTTAGTCTTCCAGTAACCTGCAACGATGAATTCATCGAGTAAGCTATTGCGTTATTTTAAGTAATATTTTTCTTCGTTGTTAGAATGTTTTTTCTCAAAATCTTTTACCATAAATATGAATTATCTTTATATTTAAAGTGAATTAGGTAAAACTCAGAACTGGGAAGAAATAAGAAGGCGACAAAGAGGACAACTAGCTGAAAGAGCAGCACTTCGCCATCCAGGTTTGAAAATTTTTATTTTATCTCATTTATTCTGTAGGATTCCTCACTGTGTACTTCTAAGTTACAGATGAATGTGAAGAATCTTAAGAACTAGTAAGCGAATTATCGCTTGAGTTCGTGAGGTAGAAAACAACAAGTCAGAAGGGTGAAATAACCCTTTATTATTCCAACTAAAGTTTAAACAAAAACTCCGTCTTGGAGTTGTACAATAAAGCCGACACCCGGGCTTCAACTTAGGAAACTAAGAATTAAACGTAGCTAATCTTAACTAAAGAGATATAGCCGAAGCCATCAAGATTCTAACGGAGTTGGCACTTTAACGCTAATTGACTGCGAAGCCATCAAGGGCCTAAAGTATGGCCGAGTGTAATAACAGCTTACGAGAGAGTAATCTAAAAATGCGGGCGCGTGCCAGAATATTTGGTATCTCTCTGACTAAAACAGTAGAACTTCGCGGTTGAATACCACTTTTCCTCATTAGCATTCGGACGTGATTTTAAAACTACGTCTAGTCGGAAGTGTATAGTTATGAGCAAGTTGAAATTAAGAAGCGCTGGGAAAGGAAGTTTAACTCCAAATTTAACTGTTAATAAAATTAACATAATCCTTACAATTCTATGAATTTTCTTTATACGAGGGCATTTCGAAAAGTAAAGATACACCGTACGCCAGAGGAAAAGAAAAGTTTTGGTGAGCAAGCTGGCAACACAGGTGTTAACCATGAACAGTTAGCTTTCTCCTCGCGGTAGTTCGGCATATAAACGTTGATTCTGGTTGGAGTAGGTCGTGTTTAAAATGGCTGCGCCGGTTCAGAATCCCGCCAAATGCAAAAGGTCAGCGACCAGCGGATATTCACAAAGAAATTGTTTCTGTTTATGCGAACATTATGAATCGATAAAATGTAACGAAATGGTGTCGTCATTTCTCTGAAGGTAGGACCGATGTTCATGACGAACAAAGAACAGGTCGGCCATCTTGTGATCTCTGATGACCTTCTTCAGAGAACAGAGGAAGCAATTCGTGCGAATAGACGTATCAAATTGAAAGAATTTCATCAGATCATACCGAAAGTGTCAATGACAACTCTTTATGAAGTTGTGACTGTCAAGTTAGGGTACAGGAAATTGTGTGCGCGCTGGGTTCCAACAGGCGGCAACCTTCTATGACTTGTGGGATACAAAAGCTTGTGCACCGACTTAACAAATGTTTGGATAACGGGGGTGATAATGTCGAAAAATAATAAATAATACAGTTAATAAGATGTAACTGACGTTTTCTAAATAAATGTTTTTTTTTTTTTTTTTTTTTTTTTTTTTTTTTTTTTTTTTTTTTAAGGAATGCGAGCCATTCTATCTTTACTTTTCGAAATGCTCTCGTATTTGAAAGTAGTAAAATTAAAGATATTCAAAGACGCGATTTCTTCTAATTTAGAATTTTAGTAGGGATGCAGAGCAATTTGTTTATTATTTCGCTTTTGCATTTACTTAAAAATAGGCTATCGATTTATACTTCTTAGAAATAACTAAGCACTGGCGATTGTTTCCAAATTCTTCTGAATATAATGGAATTTATTATGGAGATAATTATAATCGTTTTGCAACTACTTTGGTAATTAGTAGGACAGAGAAAGTTAAATGAGGGAAATGTTCTGGACATCTTGTTGAAATTCATTGTATCTCTTTATAAAACAGTCAATTTTTTTCAAATTTTATATTTTTCAAAAATACCTGAATGTTTTTCTGGAACTGGACGTACTGTTCGCGACAAAATTTTGTTATGAAAATGCAGATTAATATTATATTAAATATAAACAATTAATATTGATTAAAAGAATGTTTTCATTTGTTTCTTAATGCTTACTTTAATGAATCATGTACTTTTTTATCTCTAGATTTAATTCCAGAAATAATAAAGTAGTTCGAAGGGGACTCATACACCTTAAAACCCATAAGATCTTCGAATAGGTGACTGTTGCATAAAATTGGGATAACTTATTTATTTTAAAAGCAATTACTTCCAACTTTTTGCAGCTGCCTACATAATATAGCTGCTTTCTGAACTAGTCATCAGAAAGTTTGTGTTGCCACAAATATTTTTATAATTTAATCCGCTTTGTGACAACATTTTTCGTCATGTTTCCACTTGCGCACACAGTTTAAAACATTCTGTCGCATAATTTAATTTCATATTTAATATATAGCTTTTATAACATTTGAAAACTACTGTGAACCTAAAATTCTAAAAATTTCATGTTAAATTTTTATTTTATTTTGAGTTGAGTTTATAAAATATATCTTATTAAAAACATTGTAATGTTTTCGTCCATAAAGTTTTTCAATATTAAAATATTCGTCAGATTTTTGGTTCAGTTAGAAAATAGTGCCCATATAAAGAATTCCATCAAATTTCAAGAATGTACCATTAGCGATTTTTAAAATATCGTGCGCGCAAGGTGGAAACACGGCGAAATATTTTGTCACAAAACGGATTAAATTATAAAAAGATTTGTGGCAACTTTCTGATGACTATTTCAAAAAGCAGCTATATTATGTAGTCAGCTGTAAGAGTTTGGAAGTAATTGATTTTAAAATAAATAAAATATCCCAATTCTTGCAACAGTCACATATTCGAAGATCATGAGGGGTTTAAGGTGTATAAGCCCCCTTAGTAATATAGCTTTCTTTTCTAAAAGCAATCCATTGTCACTTCTTTAGAGAAATGAAAGAGATTAATTATTATAATGCATATCAGCAACTGGGCAAATTTTAATGTCTTCACTCTAACTTTTTTAATATTTAGTTTCGTTAATTGTTTAGTTTTCTTTACTCTGATTATTTCATTTTAACATGTGTTCTTGATGTTTATTAAAAAGTGTTCTACACTAAGAAAGTACATCGTGAGTGAGTGATTACATCGTTGCATAATATTAAGTTCATTGCAGTACATTGTTGTATTATGTTAAGTTCATTGTAGACAATATAATGTATTTATAATAGCTGAATTTTCAGTTTATAAAAAATTATGATATAGTAGAATGTTTAATAAATTATAATTTTCCATTTATTTAAACTAGAAATCAAAACAAATCAAAACTTACTCCTATTAATTTTTTTCATCAATTTGATTTGATCCTATTAGATTGAATTTTTTTGGACTGACATATGAGTAGTGATTTTAAATATTTAAATAGATTATATGAAACTGTTATTTATGTGATAACTGCAGTAAAAGGATAGAAAATCACTGCAGTGAAATTTTGTATGTCATTAAAAATTCTATCTCATGGTTTATTTAAAAAAATTGCATAATTGATCTCTTTGTTTTCTCATCAAGCAGCCAATTTAGAACAACACATGTTAAAAAGTGGCTTCAGTCTTTCTGATGTTAAAGGTAAGTGCATTTCCATCCTAAGCATATAGTAATGTTATGAGAATCATGTGGTTTTATGAATAGAACGTCTAGAATTTTACGCATTATTTCATGCAAAATATAACATTCATGTACTCCTGGGCTGAATATATGATACCTGATATACAATTTATAACAAAAAATCAGATGTGTACACCGCATGACTTCCTTGCATTTCATTTAAAATTATTGGATTGAATTAATTCTACTTCGTCGATAGCGCTTAAACCCCAATAGAATAAGTACACTCTTTAAAATTCACTATATTTGTTTCTCATAGCGAAAGTTTGGCGCTAGTTTCACTTAATAGCGTTTCATTTCGTACATATTAACTCAGAATGCATATAAATTTTTATCATTTGAAGAACTATCTAATCGTTGCCACATGTTCTATTTAAATACTATAATAAAATCTAAAACGATGTTTAAAAGAAATTAAACAAACAAAACAAAAAAGAAACAGTTTTTCACAGACGATTCAATATTTCTCATTCAATTAATTCAGTTCTCACTCAAGGCAAAAATACATAAAAACTCAAAATATCTATATTAAAAATTACAAAGTAAATCTTAAACACTTATTTCCTCGAATAAATTCCAGAATGGATTAAGCAAGATTTAATTCGCAATAATAAAAGAAGGCGTTATCTTTGTTGTTGCGAAGCTTAGTTTCTCTAGATTGGCAACCCATCCGCTATTTTGCCGAGTTTGAATTGTAAACAAACATGTTCGCCATCGCAAAATTCATTAGGCTTAGCTGCACTTAAACAACTTTTAAATTGTTGATAACTCCACAAATATTGCATGTAGATTTACTAAAGGCATAAAAACCTTAACTGGAAGATAAGAAAAATATAATTAAATCATTTTTAAAGCAAAAAATGCACAACTTACAAACATATAAGAATAAAGAAACTGAGCTCACTGAGCCGAGTAACAGAGTGGATATATTTATATACTTTTGTTGTGTCCGATTGCAAATAAAATACGAGGCGCACATCTACATGTTATAGCAGTCCTACATATAAAAGTTCACCTTTCTGAGGCTACTCGTTTTTGAGTTATGCGACATATGTACGCACAGACGCCACGAAAAATTCTCTTCAGAATTCATTTTAAATCAGTTTTTTAATTTTTTGTGGTGAAAAGAGTCCTTTATTCTGTCCTTACTTGCGGATATCACGCAAAAATTATAATTAAATTGCATTGGATAGCGGTCAAAATCGGTATTTTCGTTGAAATATGATACCCGAAATTTTTCGCAAATACAATACTTCCTTTTTACTTCGTTCAAGGAAGTAAAAAACGATGCACCAAGAAGGTACTATCCTAATGAGACGAAAATCGGTAGATGTGATTTACATGTACTGAAAACAAAACTGCAACAGTCGCATAAGGAATGAGTATTTTATTCAGGATATACAGCGACAAGAGAAAAAATTCACAAATGTGTCAGCCAATCTCTGGCTCTTTTATTTTCCATACATGTTGTTATTGGCGAGTAAAATCACCGCGATTCAGGAGCGGTTGGAACACCAAGATCCTATCTTAAACAATGCATTTTGAACATCTCTGTGCAACAATGGCAAACATAATGGGACAATAGCAACAGAGTGATGTAAGCACGAGTTTCTCCCCAAAGTCTGCATACAGATATGTCAGCCAATCTCTGGCCCTTTTGTTTTCCATACATGTTATTATTGGAGAGTAAAATCACCGCGATTCAGGAGCCGTTGGAACACATCTTAAACACTGCATTTTGAACATCTCTGTGCAACAATGGCAAATAGAATGGGACAATAGCAACAGAGTGATGTATGCACGATTTTCTCCTCAAAGTCTGCATACATAGACTCTACTTTGTCTTTGTTAGATTTCGCACTTCTTACAAAACTGATTTCTTTAAATTTAAAAATGCCTAAACATGAATATTTGCTTCATATAAGACACTTTTGTAACTGAAAATATTTGTCTAATACCAGTGGTTGCGAAACTAAAGGCCAGTTAGACTTATGGACACTACATTACTCATACACAAAATATGGTTGTCAGAAAATATGCTCTTGAATTACAGGACTGGCCACCTGATAAGAATCTCGTACGGAACATGTGAACACTCTTGGAAGAAATTTTAAGCGAGATTATTTAAATTAATAGGTGATGAAATTCTCCTAGAGATTTGAGTGATTTCAATACTAGTTTGGAGAAGTAAAACTTACAACTCCAAACTCTACTTAGTCATGAAATTCCATTCTGATATGTACGTATACGCGATAGTGAAAATTGAAAATTATGATGATTAATATCAATTCTATGGAACTGATGTCATGATTTCCCCTGAAAATTCATTGCCACGTAGTGTTTCAATTTTATTTGTTTCATTATATAATTTTGCGTTGTTTTTACACGTTTCTTTTATGTGTTATAATACCGTATGGAACTTAAAAGAAATTTAATTTTAGACGAACGTTTTTAGAGTGGTTTTTTTGTTTGTTTGTTATTGTTGTTTGTATGTGATTATGCAAAGGAAGATGATTTTGAACACCAGAGTGGATTAAAACTATGAACAGCATTATGTTAAGCTCATTGTGGATAAGTTAATACATTTATATTCATAGAAAAATAAGTGTATAAATAGGTAGCAATAAGTTTATAAAATGGTGCAGTATAATATTTAATAAATTATAATTTTCTATTTATTCAAACTAGAAATTAGAGATGTTCTCTTCACGCGCTTAAATAATTTGTTTTTCTGATTAAGTAAATTTATATCTGCCTGGCAGTTTAATTAGTAGTTTGAAACAGTTAAAAAGGACAATTAAAAATATATTTCTAACAATATATAGACAGATAGATAGGTAGGGTGTTTAATGGCACGAAAAAATAGGCCTAGAATCATCTGTGTCTTGTTGGCCTTGCTGTTAAACTAGCAATAATTAAGGCTTAAGTTTTAGAGCTCTTTTTTTTATCTCTGTTTATTTTTATATAGTAATTCTAAGTAATTGAATTTAAAATTCTAAACTAATTGCGATTTCCATTCAGATTTGCAAAGAGGATATTCTGAAGACGCTGCTGAAGACCATCGAGGGCCACTTCCTAAACGCCATTCTATGGATATGGCCATGAACTTGGCAGTTCCTGATCTGGCATCTGATCCTTCGAGGCTTCACGCATCTACTGAAGATATTCATAAGAAAGGCGTTGAAAGTGGGGCAGAGAGCGACGTGGCAGGAATGGAGCCAGATAGGCCCAAAAGAAGAGGAAGATCACCATTTCGTTTCTTTAAAAAGAAAGATGAAAAGCCAAGTCCACAAGAAACTTTTGCTGACAGTCAGTTGCGAGCTAAAGGAATGGATGGTCCTGTTGGAACAAGTTTGGCGGTCAGAGATCCTTCCCTCCGGGCATCTGCAACTCAGCTAGTACCTCCGGCAGTGCCTGATCGACCATCTGCGCTGAGTCCATCTGCAGCTGAAAGAGCCGGATCTCCTCGGCGACTCTCTCGTGTTCCAACAGAAATTTCTCCACCAGAAGATGGAAGCGATTACATAGACTCTTCTTCCTTGGACCTGGTCGATGAATATTATTATGGGATTCGTATTTTTCCTGGACAAGAGCCAAACCATGTATACTGCGGTTGGGTCACCACTACTTACAAGCAGTTTGCCACAACGTTTGACACAAATCGTATTCGAAAAGTTATGTTCCAAGGCTACGATGAAAATTCAATTCAAGATGTGTAGGTTGATAAGATTTTACTAATATCTATTTGTGTGTGCATATTGATACGTAACAGAATTGGAAAGGAAAATTGCCATCACTTTACATGAAAAGTAAATAACAAAGCAATAAAAGCCGAAAAGAATAAAAGTACCGGTACTAATTCTTGCTATTAAATGACTCAAGAGAAACCTTTCTGAAGTAGAATATTTATTGTCTTCACTTTGTGTCCTAGCAAAACAGAAATTGTTGTCACATTTGGCAATATTCTTAGGTAGTCTTGCGCACTAGCAGTCTGGTGGAAAAAAATATACAACAATGTTTTGAATTATAAAAATATTTTCTTTGTTAACTAAAGGCGTAACTGTCCACTTGGCGCTATTTTAGGATAAAATATAGCATGGCAATTATTTTCGTACCATTTGGCTTAACACTTTTAAACAGCTCTTTTTTAACCTAAACGTTTTCCGAAATAATTCTTAATACACAAGCCTATCACAACTGCCTAGCTCCTACTAATAACTATACAAGCTTATCACAACTGCCTAACATAAAACTTTTGTTTTTCCACATGTGTAACGTGGTTACGAGCCAGTTTTACTTAGAAAGTCCTCCATCATCCTTTCTCTTAGGAAGATAGCCCTTGAGGCTTTGATATAATTAAATAAACCAAACCTAAATAAAACATTTCAGGTATTAAACTGAAATCTGCATGCGAAAATAAGATTGCAGTGTCTTTTTAATCATCTGTTTTCTATAGTTTATAAATTTTTGAAGTGCTATACTACAATATGAAATTAAAAATTTTTTGAATAACATTAAACCGACGATGTGGCATATCAAAAAAGACAGCTGAACACTCGTAGTTCGCCCAGAGTTTGATTTCGGGGAAAACGCTCATACTGTATTATTATTTTCAAGGTTTTACCTGGGTGTAACGTGAATACGAGCCAGTTTTCCTTAGAAAATTCTCCACATAGACAACCCTTACCTTAGGTATAATCTAAGAAATCCGATCCATTGCGCAATGTCTGATTCTACAACATTTATTGTTATGAAAACAATATGCATTCCACATAACCTAATTGCAGTGTTCATTGCTTTCTTATTTACTTGTTATATTATGTAAAGTGATACCATTTTTCTTTTTTCATTTGCTGTCCATGCGGAATAGATATTTATTTAGGGTCTACGGTTTTACCTATTGTATATTGGTATTTGCAGTAGCTTCAATATGCTGTTAATAAGCTTCTTGCTTTCCTTTTCTCTCTGTAAATGTTTATTTTATATTTTTTCTCTCTCTCTTTATATATATATATATACAGGTAATCTTTATATGTATACACTGTGAACATGCATATGTAAATACATATTTAAATAAAATACACATATAAAATTTACATATATATATTGTGTAAGAAAGAATCATCTGCCTCAGAGCAAGCATAGAACTGAAAGGGAAATAGCCTTATAGCTTATTAGCAGAGGGGGGGAATTAAGCAAAAATTGCAAAATGCAACTCTTTGATAATAACCAAATAGCACATTATTATAATTAAGAAAATCTAGCATGCAATTAAAATAGCAGTCGCCTAAAATATGCAATTGTATGAAACCAAAATCTAAATGAAAATTAAAACTGAAAAAGATTTCTAAGCTAAAATAAGTTAAAGAGGTATAAAATCCCATTAAATGGCATCTTCATTTCCTTTGCAAAATGCCGCAAAAAGTGTTTTCTAAAAGCTTAAAAATATACATTTTACGTTCTCACCTGAAATATTCGAAAAGCACATAAATATGTAACAGGCTCAGTTTAATTTAAAAACAAAATGTAAATTAGTACAAAACAGCAACGAAATATATTAGAAGGTAAAGTTATGAACGCAACGTTAAATTCAAAGCATATAAATGTAAAGCTGCCCATCACGGACGTTTTAGAAGTATAAGGGGGGGACTAACGTTTGCATTTCTGGAGTTTAAATGAAATGGAAATATACGCTATAAAGGCGCCATCTGATATTGAAAATGCAAGAAAGGACTAAGATATGCCCAAATGTTTAAAATCATCTTGTGAAGAATGTTGTTTATTAGTTTTTCGAACGCTAAAGTATTTTTAACTACATCCTCTTTGCCTTTTTTTGTTCTTGTAAGATAAAACATCTCTGAATAATCATAAAATTATAAAGCAGCCATTTTTGTGAAAAATACACGTATTTGTTTTCTTTTCGAAGAAATTCGGAAGGAAAACCTACATTCTTTTGTAACTGATCGCTACTGTTCATAATTGCGAATACAATAGAATGAGGAACGAAACTGAAAATATTTTCTATAACTAATTATACTTTTCTAGATAACTATAGAATTTTAGATTTCTGAGCCTTCAGAGGAAAAGTTAGAAAAACTATCTGAAAATACTTTGAATAAGTAAACTTCTATGCACTTAAAAATCATTGCATTTTGATGTATTGTAAGGATCTTAAGTTTTACTAACGTTTATTTTATTTTAAAACTGCACTGTCACTTCTTATTTTCTACTTCCGTCCAGAATTAAACGCTTATTTATGAAAATTGTCTTGCTAACGCCAAGTACTTAAGTTGCGGCTTTTTGCCAAGCAAGGGAAGGAAGGAGTTATTGAAAGCAAGCCGCTTGTCACTGTAGTTTTACGAGTTTTCACTCTGTTGCTGGTTGCCTTCAAGGCCAGATATTTAGCCCTCTTGATAATTGCAGACGTATCGTAGTTTTAGCAGCTCGGCGTACTACATACGTACCTTTCTTTAAATAAAGGCCAATCTTAGTGCTAGGCACTTGTATACTAATCCAAAGTTAGTTTTAGTTAGAGTTTTAGTTAGTAGTTTTTATATTCTTACGTTCAGACCACAAGTGGTTGGTTTCTGTGTTCCGAAGTTTCGGAAATTCCTGTAAAGTATAGAAAATAAAGGGTTTCGTATACCCTTCCTGCTTGTATTTTCTACTTCACACATTCTTGAACATAGCTTAGTAAGCTCCCTGTTCATATTCAGGACCATTCATGTTTACAAAGCAAGTCAAAAGAAACACTAGTCCTGATAGTATATCTATTTTCTTAGGATGGATCGTCAAGACTGCTACATGGTTTGTGCAGGACAGCTTCATTCAGATGTAAGCCAAGGCGATGCAAGTTCACGTAGTTCGAATCAAGGCATGGTTGTAGGATGCCACGTTGACACTGCTATGGGAATTCTTACTTTCACAGCTGAAGGGCAGCCCACAAGATACAGCTTTAAGGTATAATTTTTTGTTTCCTTAGTATTTCGTTAATGAAACTGCTCTTTTTTCCAATCCACTCATCACAGATGCTTAGCATTTCAGTGTAACTACTAATTCTCAAACCACAATGTTCACCTGCTAATTTATCATTGACTAAGTAGTTATAATGACTGAATATTGATGCTAGTCCTAAACTCTATAAAGGCAATTTATTTAGAACCCCACTGTAAATTGTCACGTGAGCCTAAAGGCATAATTATAAATGAACGAACAAGGAATTCGCATTTTGGTTTTACAGAATTCTCTAACATCCAGATAGAGTAACATCCAGATTAACTGTTTACAGCAAACAAACAGGTTGGTTGCACAGAATAGTATTTCAACGTAACTACTGATTCCCAAACTACAATGTTTACTTGTTTAAGTTAATTTATCAGTGACTGAGTACATATAATCACTGAATATTGATGTTAGTCCTGAACTTTGTTTACAGCAATCAAACAGGCTGATAATTTTCCTATGTGACAGGTGAGTAAGAGCTAGGTTTCTTCCAAGAACTCCTCCATGAAGGTATTTCTTCGAAATCAGATAATCTCAGGGTCTCTTCCTTAAAACGAAACTTAAACCAGTAGTAATTTTCAACGTAACTACTCATTTCCAAACTACAATGTTTACTTATTAATTTATCATTGACTGAGTAGATATAGTCACTGAAGATTGATATTAGTCCTGAACTCTATTTATAGCAACCAGACAGGCTGTTTGCACAGAGGTTCGTGATTTTCCCATGTGTGTAAGAGCCTGTGAGTAAGCCACGTGAGTAAAAGCTAGTTCTCTTCTAAGAAATCCTCCAGGAAGGTATTTCTTCGAAATCGAATAAACTTTGGGTATTCTTCCTAAAAAAGAAACTTAAACTAACGTAATTACTGAATTATGATACAAGGAGTAAATCTGAAGGTTACTGTTCAATTTGAGAAGCGTATAAAGGACTAAAAATGGATCAGTTCAGCAGGCATTTATGAAACTGAGTCTGGTATCACACATCCATTTAGTTCAGACGTACGATTGCTTTTCTTTCTTTCGCAAAAAATTGTAAGTTGTTCGTTTTCAACAACCAATCAGTCGTCAGCATCGAATACCCCGTTTTCAACCACAATTTGTATTGGTGTATTGGTGTATTAAGAATACGGCAAAGCACACTAGGGCTATCTGCCTAAGGAAGGGGAGGGATGCCTTCGTGGAGGGCTTTCTAAGTTAATTTGTATTGGAGAACTAGTTTCACTTTTACATGATACCCCCAAAACGATGCGCAGTGACAGACTGTTTCATATCGTGTGACAAAGCAGAAAAATTGTTCTAAAGCTTTGTTCTTCCGAAATGTTTTGAATATATGATACGACTTTAAGAGAAACCTATAAATATAAAGAACTGGAATATGAGAATAAATGGAATACAGAGAAACATCGAGCTGATTATAACATGAGTTAAATGTAACTTTTACATGCACAAATAATATAAAACGTATAGACGATGCAAAAGTACTGTGTGAAACAAAGTTTGCAAACAACTGAAACTATAACCGGCTTTTTAGCAAATTGCAGGTTACTCTTACATTCTATTGTATTGCATTTAAGGCTTTTATTGATTCAGGTTTACTTCGAGGGCATCCAGATTCTACTCTGTAGGTTCTATATTCCGACAGTTTTGTGGGTTCACAATGCCTGTTAAAACTTTCATACCTATACATGATGTAACTCTTAAAAGGACAGAAATGTTTTCTCTGTTTTAGTATGCAATTTATTTTATTGAACAATTCGTATACAAGCTATTGTATTTTTCATATATGATGCTTCTTTGAAATATGTTGATAAAAGTAGATATAAATTTATGCTTATGATTGTTAGAAAATATGATAATGTATTCTACTTTCTTCTTAACTGTAGTGATTTTGATTATTATATTCAGGTCGAGCCTGGAACAAAATTGTTTCCGGCTGTGTTTTTCGAGGCTACGAGCAAAGAAGTTCTGCAGTTTGAACTTGGAAGAACTTTAACTACTCTTCCTTTATCTGCTGCTGTTCTTCGTAGTACAGAGAGACATCTCACTCCACAATGTCCTCCAAGACTGAAGGTTGGCATTTAATGTTTTTTTATAGAACTCTGTTCAATCATTTACTAACAGCAGAAATTTGAAGTAAATTGTATCATTATCTATGTAGCCAAAGATGAAACTATCAGAACTTTCTTGAAACATATGTCTCAGAGTCTCAAAAGTATGCCTTCTGGGAAGTTCCAGAACATCGCCAAATTGGTCTAAAATCTCCAAATATCACTAACTACCTCTTAATCGTCGACAAAAATTTATTACCAAGGCCCGACCGATGTTGACAACGTACACGTATTGTTTTCTTTAAGCTATTTTAATAATTCTTACCTCTGTTTACTCAGAATTATAAATATTTCAAAATTTTTAAAAATTTTGGAACTAAATAACGGTAGATGGTGACAACCTTGTCTCCATTTCTTCTTAAGCTATTTTCGCCACTCAAACATCTGTTTATTCAGAATTACGATTAGTACAAAACAAATAAAGCAGTAAATTATGATAAATTAAATGTTATTTGAAGTATACAATAAACATAACATTAATATTCAAATATATTAAATAAATAAATGGACAAAATAGTATGAAATAGGAAAATACCACTGTATGACAAAATAAAAATATTTACGTAACAAATGTACTACAATAATACATATAATTTTTCAGGTTCAATGCTTACAGCCATATCAATGGGCACGTGCTCCAAACATAAATCTGAAACCTCATGCATTGAAACTATCTGATATTCGAGGGTGGAGCATGCTGTGTGAAGACCCAGTTTCAATGCTTGCTGTTCACATTCCAGAAGAAGATAGATGCATTGATGTTTTGGAGCTAATTGAACGAGAGAAGCTTCTCAGGTAAGAGAAGCAGTCTTATAAATTACAAAATATAAGCAGCGGAATAGGTCAAGTGGAAGAGCATAAACCTTTGATTTGTGTATATAAAATTAATGTGGGAATAATTACAGATATATATAACGACAGGTTCTATCTTTGTAGTTACATCTCGTTCAGCAGACGTTAATTAAATGGGAGGCATAAACATAATAAATAATAAAACTTAATGAAATTGTGATTTAATAGGAGACATTACAATATGCCTCCTATTAATTTATATTACAAATTTAAAACTATTATAAGAAGTTAATTTATTTAAAACTTGCATATGGCAGTGCAATATATTAACTCCAAAGGATTCCATATAATTTTCACTGAGAAATGTTCATTGTTAATAATGAAATAGAAAACTTTAAAAATCCCTTGAATAAATCATGTATGAAGAAAATTTTAAACACAATTAAGTTTGTTCATCAGGAAAGAATAATAAAATGTCAAATTTTCATTTTAGCTGACTATTCTGCGTAGTATTCTTCCATGTTAGCAATAAATTATAATTCCGAAAATTAGACAAAAATGGCTTAAGTCAATTGTAGGGTAATTTTCTGAAGGTAATTGGAATAATTTCCGTCTGATAACGTATGAAGGAAGATTAATGAGTAAACATTTCCTGTGAAAACAGAATATAGAATTTATCATATAAGTTTAGAATATCTAAATGTGTTTTGCGTGAGACTAAAGGCATAATTATAAATAAACGAACAAATAACTCGCATTTTAGTTTTCACAGAATTCTCTAACATCCAGATTTGAAGCCTATATATAGTATATATGTTACGGTGAAACATCGAAATCTGGAGAATGTCGACTTTCACCGGTGAATGTCAACATTCACATAGTCTCTTGGTGTATGTCCGAAATACTTTCCCAATACTCTTATTTCTGACTTACACCGGTCAATGTCGACATTCACCATGTACTAATGGTGAATGTTGAACATATAACAATATTATATTTTCTTCTCCGTAATTTAGTCGCGAATAAACGCACTTGAGACTTGAAATAAGAACTTAAGAACATAAGAACCTAAAACACACAATACATTCAAAATGAGAAAGGAAAATAATATAAGTTAAAAACTTACTTAATTATACAGTATGTTCTAAATGAGAAAATAAAATAACAGAAATAAAAAAATTACTAAATTATGTGATTCAAATCTTATTTAGGTCAACAACTTAAACTATTATGGCACTTTATGACCTCTCTATTCGACTTACACCAGAGCATATCTGTGATTGTCGACATACACCGGTGAGGGTCCGAATGTACAAGAATGTAGTCCAATATTCGATCTTTTACCGACGTATTTGGTGAATGTTGACATTCTTCGGTGAAAGTCGACATTCTCCAAATTTCGGTCTTTCACGGTAACATATATACATAAATATACGTTTAACACGTAAGTATTACTAATTAGGAATCCTTGTCTTTTGGAATAGGAAAAAGTAAATAAGTTCATCACTTATTTAATCTCTGAAATAATCTTGCACTCTAAAACTAATTTTATAGATTCCTTGTACGAGGCTTCGTACTGATGTAGAGCTAATGTTTAAACATCTTAAAAGGCTACCAGAGGCCGAGCGGTCAAGTCGCTGAACACTGGTATTTCGATCCGACGTTCGAATCCCATCGATGGGGTTGGCTGCATGGACGTTTTCGTGGTTTTTCCTTGGTGAAACGTGTGTACGAGCCAGTTTCCCTTATAAATCCCCCTTTCTTTAGGCAGATAGCCTTCGAGTGCTTTGTCCTAATTAAATAAACCAAACCAAACACCTTAACGTTATTTGTCAACTAGCTACATTACTTATATTTCTTATTATTATTTTCAGTTTTCATGCTCATACATTAGCTTTATATGGGGCTCTCTGTTTCCAAGGCAATCACAGAGCAGCACATATTATTTGCGGCCACGTAGACGAAAAACAACTTATGTACGCTATCCAATCGGAATACATGTCTGGACCACTTCGAACTGCTTTCACTGATCTGTTGATTGCGCTGCATTTAGAATTTCATGCATATGCGAGGTAAGTGGTAATGTTTTATATAAATTATTTCCCTTGAGAACATAATCTTTGTTCTTTACAGAAATTTATTCAATGTATTGTAGAATATAAATAACTAAAAAATTCTTAAAAACACTGAAATACTTTAATTGAAATATTCATAAATGAATAATGCATATTCCAAATGGATTATGCATGCATGTTCTTGCATATTAACACATGATTAAAATTCTTATTTCATAAGGAAATATACCCTATAGTACAGTGTTTTTCAACCTGATTTGCCTCATGTACATCTTTCATGACAAAAAAATTCTTTCCTCCCCCACCTCTGCCTTTCCCAAACTCGAAATATATAAATAACAATGATTACATGCTTTTAATTTAATTTTTCCTTTTACAATTGAAATTTTTTCATTTTTCAAAAAACTTTTGTTCTTCATGATTATTTAATTCCAGTCCCCGTTAAAACTTTATTAACATTTTACTTTCAAGTTACTTCAAAACATCTTTCAAAATATAACTTACCAGTATGGAATCACTCTTTTTAAAATAATTTTACTTTAATTAAACTTAGGAGATAATATAATCAATTAATCAATATTGTTTAGGAAATAAATTATTATTAACTTACTTTGCAGCAATTGCGCAAGTAGTAGTAACTTGTTTTCGCACTAAATGAATTTAAGATCATATAATATTTATATATATAACCTCAGTGGCGCAACAGCCCTAGTGGGCCACGGCCTGCAGTGCCCCGAAATCTGCTTTATTGACCTTGGGCCCCGGAGTCCATCAGCTTATGCCCTGGGCGAATTGGTCGAATTGTGGCAGGATGCCCGTGTTTAGTCCCCAAGTAAGCGTGGTACTCATTTTATCGACCCACTCAAGGGATGAAAGCCTGCGTCAGCCTTGTCCAGCCTGGGTATAGAGCCCCGTTCCTGTGGCTCAACTGAGCGATGCGCTAGCCACATCGCCACTAGGCTTTATTATATTTATTTAGATAACATCTTTAGTTAGGTTTAGATTATTTTTTAACAGCACAGCAGTAAACAGGTGAACTTAGGTTGACCATGTGTATGTAAATGATTATAAATATCTTTTAACCTATCTTGCAGTTCAACACATTTTCAAGCAAGTAACTTTCCATTCCTATTTTCATCAGCGGATATACTGTCGTAAAAACAATGGAAACGTGTTATATTTTTTTAACACGGAATAAAATCGTGAAGTTAAATTTTACTCGGCTGCTAGAAAATGTAGCTCAGTTTTGAAATAAAGGAGCATATTCACTGCCAGAACCCTCAGATTCATCAATGATAAAGTTGTGGTTATGCAGAGTAAAACTGCTTTTATCTACTCGTATAATTTTGAAGTAATAAAAATAAATGTTTTAAAAAACTGTATTGGATTTTTTGAAAAGCTTATATTTACGCTTTTTGAGAAGTCTCGATATCTTTCAAAACTTCAGTGTCATATTGCCACTAATGCATCTTAACTACACATAATTAATTTAATATAACTTAACTTTATTATTCAATCAGGTAAAATGTGTAGGCAAGAAAGTTAAATCAAGAACGATATGTCAGTCGAAAACTTAATCTTAAGTAAATCTTAATATGTTTTTGAAATCTGGTTGATAAAATGATTGCTTTATATCAAAGGCTGATTTTAAATTAAAATAGGTGCTACTTTGGTAGACGGTTGCACGGAGTTTTGGCGATTTACGTTGGCGCAATTGATGGCACGTCAATAATACAATCGTCAGCCATCTTGAAAAACGCTATTTTTACGTATTTTACGCATATTAAAGTATTCAAAACTTTAAAAAATAAATATCGTTCAAAATAATAGATTAATTTTTTATTGAAAACTTTGTTTTTTAAGATGGCAGGCAAATATAAATAAATACATTTACTACGAGTATAAAATACTAAAATAAGGTTAAATTGGTACCTTCATATAGCAAAGAAATAGAATAAAAACACTGCTATAAAAACATTGCGTCAACGTTTAATTGGATTAAAATATTACTTGAATTGAATATCGAATTAAAAACGTCATACCAATGTTTAAAAAGAATTAAAATATTACTTAAATTCAAATACTTTAAAATAAGTTTTATAGGATATAATTATTTAACATTAAAACATATGTGGCAATAAATATCTCAGCAATTTTTGCGAACAGTGTATTAATTTTTTAAATAAAAATTGAAGCATATAATTATAAAGAAAAATATGAACTTACATTTTTTTGAGTATTTAACCTGTCGTATAAGTACCACAAAAATGTCGGAATCATAATTTAGATATCAATGGAAAAAAATTGCCGGTAAAAAAGGAGGAATGTCTAATACTTTTTTTTTACCGTTACAGCAGTTATTTCTTCCACCGTGAACCATAATACCTTATACGGCCGTCCTCAGAATCGGCTCTTCTTTTAACGATCTTCATCTGTGATCCAAATCTCTCGCACTTCATTGAAGAAACAATTAGCGAGGTTTCCTCCAAAAATTTTTAATAAATTTCCTCTGACCCTTATAACAATTTATAAATAAATCTTTGATTAGGAAAGCCAGGTTGGCCAAAATAAAATCTCAAAGGACAATTTTTTGATTCCGATACCAACAATTCTTGGTATTTACCAGTAACAACATTCATCTTCGAAACGCACATATCCATTCGCTTTGAAATCTAAGGAATTCGAAGAGATGAATAGTAAATTTTAAAATGGCGCGGTAATGCACAAACATTCAATAACCAATCAGGGAGCTAATTACATCACGCATAGGATTAAAATTATTTAAATAATCATACATAATAAAATTATTTTTCAAAACAAAAATGCAGAATTGAATTGTATTTTAATATTTAACAGCCATAAATAATGTTTAAAACATTAGATTAAATTCATAGATATTAAAACCAATTACTTTTAAAGTAAGGTGACGTCATTGATTACATCATCCCCAACATAAAACTACATAAAATATCATAAACAATAAAATTTTTATTTCAAATAGAAATGAAAAATTAAATTGATTTTTAATATTTAGATGTCATAAATATTCAAAACACGGAATTTATGCATAATAAAACGCATTATTTTTAAAATAAATTGACAACAAAGTATCGGTTACCATAAATAACTTGTACAGCAATGGGTTTACCATAAGTCGTATTGCTCGCCCAAAAAAAATCGCCAAAATCCGTGCAACCGTCTACCAAAGTAGCACCTTAAAATACGGTTTCATTATTTGATATCTTGATAAAAATATATATATACTATTATTATTTCATATTTTTTTCTGTATATGCATTTATTTTATGTTTATTTGTTACCAGCATTCACGTTTTCAAGACTATCACTTCAATAAAAAATATAATCTCATTAAAAGCCAAAGTAAACATGTAAACACGCATATGTCTTCCAAGAGTTTCTAACACTTTGCAAATATAATTTTTCTCATAGGAGCTTAACGCAAAATGAATTCATTTTGCCTTTGGGACCAGATCTACGATCTATGTATGAAGATCCTGCTTCAGCTCATAGTCTCTCAACAATGCAATATTCATCCATTCGTCCAGAAATGACAATGAGCCCAATTGCGTGAGTATGCATTATCTAACTTATATAAATGTTGATGTATACTCTCTGTAGTTTATTTTTTAATGTCCAACAGGTCTTAAAAAGTTGTTTTCATGCATTAATATATTGCTTTAGTGACCTGCGCTGGTTTATTTATGCTAAATAGTTGTTCTAATACTAGTTAACTTTGTAGGATATTATGGGATAGAAAACAGAGAGCCAAACTCCTTTTCTTTTTCCAACGGTCTGGCAGAGCGAAAAATTTGAATCGAAAATAATAAAAAATATAGGTTTAAAGATAAATTACTGTTATTGTTAATGCAGTAAGTGATGATAAAAGAAATCTAAGACATGGTGACAAGATTTGTTAAAAAAGAAAGCAAATAATAATAATAATAATAATAATGTAAAAATTTGCTTACAGATTCCATAATTGAAACGTGTACATTTTGGGAGAATTTGGAATGAAAGCGGAATAATATGTTTTGAGTTTTCTTTTACAATCCCTGTTTCAAATTATCTCGTATTGCCCTTTAAAATCACTATATCGTGGAAAATATTAGATTAAAGCAGATTTTCCTATAGAAAATTTATAATTCGATTTAAATTAAATGAAAATGAAAGGTACCTGTTAATAAAAACATTTGAAATTATTTAGTTTGATGTAATAAGTATGTACTTGCTTGCTTGCTATTTAGCATGCAGAACTTAATAAATTCTGAGATCTCAAACGATATAATAATTTGCGGAAAATTTGCTGAAGGCATTTTGAGAAAATTCATCTCTTGCTTAGTTTTGCCAAATATATTTTCCTAACAAGATATTGTTGCATGCGTACGGATTCGTAATGTACTTAATGGAAGCAGAACCATTAGCTAAAATTTATTCTACAAAAAAAAAAAAAAAAAAAAAAAAAAAAAATCAGTTCTGGAGCCTTCCACAGAAATACTCGCACAACTCCTTTCAGCATCACAGAGTATAATCAATAGTTACACATAAAACTACTAAAAATGTTAAACACAACGCAGCGCAAAACGCATCTGAAAAGCGAAGCTGTCATGGAGATCTCTCAATAGTCCAAACTCAGCGCTGAACTAAAACAACTGAGAACTGATGCTCCCTACGATCTTATATAGTTTTCTCCCGGCAGCATGGAAATTTCCAGTACTTCCCCTTTCTTGAAATTGCTTGAAGGCATATACGATTAAATTTACATATAAGAGCCGAGTACGGTTACAGTTACATATAGGGATCAATTACAATTATTCAATTACAGTTGTACAGGGACTGGACAAAAATGTCTCCGAAATTATCGACTTTTGGTGTGGCGACAAAAATTGGTCGCCAAAACCATCGCCAGCTTAACGATATATCGCCAATTTAGGAAGACACAGACTTGCCCCTGTTATCTCATTTTTCAGTAGAGTTTCGTTCTCTTCGAACTTTACTGTTTCATTACACAAAAGATACAATAGTTTCACATATAATTTCGCTAAAATTATTTACATGTATGCAAAGTTCGTAACAATATTTTTCAGATTAATATAAGGAAAATGGAAGTTATGTTTAATAAAAGATGTTGCATGAACATCTTCGAACTTTACTTGAGTATTAGTGTTATTACAGTAAAAAAAAAACTGAGTATTTATTATTTAGGTAGAGATTTAATTTAGGTTTTATGTCATGTAAGAGCATATAATATATTTTTATTTATATATACATTTATATACATACATTTTTGTTACATCACAAAAAACAAAAATGCATTACATGCATTTTTATTTTTTGTCATGTAACAAAAATGTTAGGCTTGTAGAATTATTTGTTGAGAAATATGTGTTAATTATTGTTATGTGTTAACTATGAAAGTGTTATTTTTTGAAAAACTTGTTTTTCAAAATACTTGTTTGAAAAAAAAAAAAAAAAATGCATTACAAAACGTTAATTTAGTGTAAATGTATTTATAGAAGTTCGTATAATGAGAAATGTTTAAGTCGCTATGTTAACAAGCTTTCTGTAGAAAACCAAGATTCTCTATTAAATTTAAAATGGAATTCTATAGTTTATAGGATATTTGTTTCAAAATACTTAAATTAGATTTTACTCATAGCGAAAAAATAACATCTCTGAAAGACCTGAGTACACCATATTTTCCTGTGGAGTCTTTGAAACAATTCATTATGGACGCTCTAGACGATGCAGTTTGCAAAGGAAATCGGCCTAATCGCGACCCTATTGGTGGAAGCAATGAAAACCTTTTTGTGTAAGTTTTAAGTGCATTCATTAATCATTATTATTTTCCATTTTTGTTATTTTAAGTGTGGGTAAAAAAGTTTAGTACTTTGAGATTTATTACAGTTTAGTATATAATGGCGAACTTGCTCCATATGGCATCGTATTTTATTGTCTTTTTAGGCATTTTTATGTAACCTTTCATGTCAGTTAAATTCCCATTTTGTTTTAAATTTTAAGAATTAAGGCCGGGTAGTGGTATAGTAATGCAATTATAAATTATAAGAAATTAGGTACATCGGTTATTTTTTATTTTGTGGTGTTTCCGATCGTCTAATATCCACGATCTTATTCTTTTTTTCATATGTTGTTTTTAAAATTATATGTAATATTTACAGGATTGTATTTGTCGAGTAGAAAATGTTTACGAAGCTGCAAAATAAAACTGTGCGTACAAAGATATACAAAATTTCCTGATGGAATGTTACAAATCCTTTACCGTACCTTTTTTTTTTTTTTTTTTTTTTTTTTTTTTGGTATTTCAACCTCAGACTATAGCAATCTAGGTTTGCTTGTTTTGCACATAAGTATTACCTTGAGTTATTTTGCTACTTTGTAAACATATTTGTCATACGAAATAAAATCCCGGTGCTACTTTGGTAGACGGTTGCACGGATTTTGGCGATTTTCTGTTGGCGAGTAATACGACTTATGGTAAACCCATTGCTGGAAAAGCTATTTATGGTAACCGATACTTTGTTGTCATTTTATTTAAAAAATAATGCGTTTTATTATGCATAAATTCCGTGTTTTAAATATTATTTATGGCTTCTAAATATTAAAAATCAATTTAATTTTGCATTTTTATTTGAAATAAAATTTTTATTGTTTATGATATTTTATGAAATTTTATGTTGTGGATGATGTAATCAATGACGTCACCTTTAAAAGTAATTAGTTTTAATATCTATAAATTTAATCTAATGTTTTAAACATTATTTATGGCTGTTAAACATTAAAATACAATTTAATTTTGTATTTTTTTTAAATGATTTTATTATGCATGATTATTTAAATAATTTTAATTCTAGGCGTGATGTAATCAGCTCTCTGATTGGTTATAGAATCTTTGTGCATTAACGAGCTGTGATCAGCTCCCTGATTGGTTACTGAAAATTTGTGCATTACCGCGCCATTTTAAAATTTAATTCATATCTTAATTCCTTCAAAGATGTCTGTTTCAAAGATGAATGTTGTTATTGGTAACTACCAAGAATTATTGTTATCAGAATCAAAAAATTGTCCTTTGAGACCTTATTTTGGCCAGCCTGGTCAAATTTTAATTCTTTTAAATGTTGGTATAATGTTTTTAATTCGATATTCAATTTAGTAATATTTTAATGTAATTAAACGTTGGCACAATGTATTTATAGCGGTGTTTTTATTCTTTTCTTTGCTATATGAATTTATTATATATATTTGCTATATTTGCTTACTTTAGGTATTTTATACTCTTAAGTAAATGTATTTATTTACACAAAACGACATTTAGAAAAAAACGACATTTTTTGTTGAAAAAATTAATATATTACTTTTAACGATATTTATTTTTTTTTAAGTTTCGAATACTTTACTATGCGTAAAAACAGCGTTTTTCAAAATGGTTGACGATTATATAAACCGCGCCAACAATTGCGCCAACGTAAATCGCCAAAAATCCGTGCAACCGTCTACCAAAGTAGCACCAAAATCCTTAACATAAAATTTCTGTTTCTTGCTAAAAACCAAATAACACTCATGCAAATGTAGATGAATAAGAACTTAAAATTCTCTGCTGCAAAAGTGAGGGGTGGAAAGATATATCATATGAAAAAAAAATGTTAAATTAGTTATGTAAAAAAAGTGTCTCCTGTTAGCTAGAATATGAGAAAAGGTGGCATCGGTCAAAAAAGTGAAACCATACTACCAAATGTCAGTCAATGAAAGCAATAGTTCGTTTTTGCTTATTCTTTAAGCACATACTGTGCTTTCCTTCAAAGGAAATGGGGAAAGTTTTAAAAAATGTGACTGCAGAAGCATTCAGAATACCTGTCAATTTATTATATAATAAATATTTTATAATAAACTAGGAAGCCCGACGGTCATACAAAATGACCGCTGTTCTAGATATTATAAATTGTAATTAAAATGATTTGTGCAAAGGTGTCTGCTAATTTAAACTGAATTAATCTGAATTAGTTTATTTACTGCACAAAATGAATTTTTGTTTAAAATGCAAAGTGTAAATACTTGATCCCACTCTGGCAAGAATACTAAATAACAAATATCCTCGTGAACAGATTCCGTGGAATAAAGATATTGTTGCGTGCGTAGGGTTCGTTACGAAAAGAATGCACAAGTGCGATGAAAAATGAACAAAAATTTATTATTATCATAACAAAAATGCTTAAGTTTTCTCAAATTATCATGCAGTATTACAATATCTCACAGTAGTTATCTTTTAACTACTCAAATGTCCAATAGAACGTAATTCAAAACATCTAAAGAAAGCTAATCCGCGAATTCGCTACAATCAACAAGAGCAGTTTTCTAAACAACAACAAAACTAAGCAACCACTACAAACTGAGATGTTTTCCTCCTTTTATAAGATTTTAAAATCACGCGCTAGAATTTTCCAGTACTTTCTCGAAATCAAAAAGAGATATTTATTTATTTAATGCACGCGCTTTTGTATTTTCAATTTTTCCGGCTTAGCTTTCTCTTAATATTCGTCACGCACTGCACTGCGCGAGAAATAAAACCATTTAATTTATAAATGTACTAACATTAGCTTTTTAAATACCAAATTCGTAACACTGCCCCCTTCCCAAGGACTGCACGTCCCGGGCAGTACAATCCCTGAACAGGAAGCTAAACTTACAACTGTGGCATAAATGCATTAATAAGCATTACATTACAATAATAAACAACATGAACAATAAATGCAATAAATAAAACAAATCAAATGCTATCAAATACAAATCAAATGCTATCAAATACAAATCAAATACTAAATGCAAATCAAATACTTAAATACAAATCAAATACACATTTAAAAACAAAAAGGACCAAGGTCTTATACTATTTACAATTATTTACATTACGTACTATGGCCATAGTAATGAGCTAACCTGTCGTAATGAACGACTTTAGGTTTAGAGTTCGAAGACTTACGGATCCGAACCACGACGTCATTCATCCTGTTTAGGACCGTGTACGGACCATCCCAAGGTAACTGTAATTTTGGACAAAGTCCTTTTCGTCGAGTCGGATTCCACAACCACACCTTGTCTCCTTCGTGGAATTGATGTTCAGTAGCTCTTGTGTCGTAGCGGGTCTTCATCTTCTCCGTCGCCAAGTTGACTCGCTCTCGTGCAAAGTTGTGCATCACTTCAAACCGGGCCTGAAGATCTTGAATATATCCCTCAGGCGATGAAGGAGCATCTGGAGGGCGACCGAACAGGAGATCACAAGGCAGACGAAGGTCACGACCGAAGAGCATCTGTGATGGGGAATAGCCGGTAGTCTCGTGGACAGCACTGCGGTAAGCCAGTAAAAACAGTGGTAATTTCTTGTCCCAATCCTGTTGGTTTCTGTAAACCACTAATGAGAGGTTATTAAGGATGGTTCGATTGAACCTCTCTACCATGCCGTCCGATTGGGGATGTAATGGCGTCGTTTGGGTTTTGTCAATGCCGAGTAGTTTGCATAGTTCTTTGATTACTGCCGACGTAAAATTCCTTCCCTGATCGGAATGTAACTGAAGAGGCACTCCGAACCTGGAAATCCAGTACTGTACCCATCACCTCAGCTATTGTGACAGCCTCTTGATCAGGAATGAGATACGCTTCAGGCCACTTGGTGAAGTAATCAAAGACAACGAGTATGTATTTGTTGCCATCAGCAGTTCGTGGCAGAGGTCCCAAGATGTCAAAGGCGATACGTTCAAACGGCGCACCTACGTTGTAACGTTGCAGCTTGCCTCGGGTGCGTCTCCTCGGTCCTTTCCGACCTGCACAGGCATCGCATGATCGGCACCACTTTTGCACGTCATCCTTTGCATTATTCCAGTAAAAGCGCTCACGTACTCTCTGCAAGGTTTTCATTATTCCAAAGTGACCCCCTGTAGGGCTGTTATGTAGTTCTTTAAGGACATCAGGAATCCGGGATCTTGGAAGTATCAGCTGCCATTGGAACGTCTTCCCATCATCCGATTCGAATTTACGGTATAAGACGCCGTTTCGAATGTGAAGTGAGTCCCAGAGTGCCCAATATTGTTTTGTTGTAGGACTACAGATAGAAATGTCCTGCCAGGTAGGTTTTCTGTTTGATGACTCCATTAAATCAATTATGGGTTTAATGTCGCGGTCTTCCAGCTGTCTTTCCTCACTTCATCATCACTCCACGGTTCTCGATCAGCCGATGTTGATGTTGTAATTTGTCTTGCGACGGGAGTCAGCAGCTCGTATTTCGCTTCCACCCTGGAACAATATCGGCAGCTTTCTGGATAAGGTCTTCTAGACAGGGCGTCGGCGTTCCCGTGATGATCCCTTACGATGACGGATAGTGATGTCATATTCTTGGAGTCTCTGTATCCACCTGGCTACTTGACCCTCAGGATTTTTGAAATTTAAAAGCCAGGTCAATGAGGCATTTCCGTGCGGTGGAGGAATTTTCTGCCGTATAGATAATGATGGAAATGTCCTACAGCTTTGACTAAGCTTTCCTGCAACGAGCAACTCTTTTCCTGGTGACACAGTAATTCCTCTCCGGTTTAGACAGGCACTTGCTCCAGTACGCCACTACACGTTCTTGGCCGTCTATTTCGAGGAAATTTCTGTTTTTGGCTATGGATCCAGGAAGTAAAATTTCTGTTCTTGCTGGTATTGTGATATATTCTTGTGCTATAATTTTATGGACAGATTTAACTTCTTCATCATTAACTCCAAATAACGCTATGTCCTCAGATGTAGAATGCAATTCGTTATTTTTAAAGTCCAAGGAAAAATTGTATTTCCTTAGAAAGTCCAATCCGAGTATGCAAGAATCAGTGATCTCTGCTACATATGCCGTGTGATGGTAAGCGGCACTTCCAAACGTGATGTTGACATTTACTTTTCCGTCGATGTCTGGAGCAGACCGTCGATGTCAGACCGGACACAGTCTGGAGGGTAACGCAGGGCGGCGTTCAGATAGGTTTGCCTCCCAGTTGTTGAGCCAAATCTTTTCGGATGATGGTAACGTTGGCTCCTGTATCTATCGTCATATTGCAGGGAACTCCATTAATATGTCCTATTATGAAAAGACCATTACTGCCGCCTCTCACTGCAGAAATCTGAAGCGCTTTAAACTGGGTCTTTTCATTATCTGGCAACCTCCGCCCCGCGAGATGGCCACTAATTAGTTTCCCTGCTGTTTGTTAGGAGCGGTCTTAACATCCGTGCGCTGGGGTGTTCTGCAGTTTCGTCGTATGTGCCCTTCAGCACCGCAGTTCCAGCATTTTACAGTTGGTTTCTTGTCACCAATATTCCGTCTCAAGACATTCACTTGTCTAGTTAAATCATGTAAACGAGCAGTGACTTCATCCCCTGCCTCCTGGACTTGAGCAGCTCTGACTAGATGGCGGTCTCAACGGGTGGCTTGCTGGGCTGCCTCAAATTTCATGGCGTACACTAAAGCGCTTTTCAGATCTTTAACATCCGCCATTTGCAGTACTTTCTGTATTTCAGGGTCCCGGATGCCATCGATGAAATATTGCAGGGACAGGATTTCCCTTGTTTCTGTCGGGCACTCCGAAAAGGCGTAATGTGACAGCCTTTCAACATCCGTGGCGAGCTCCTGAAGTGTTTCGGTAGGCTTCTGTTGACGGGATTTTAATTGGAGCCTGCTGTAGTCTTTTAAACATTTCTCGCCAAAGTGCAGCTCCAAAGCGCCGGATAGAACTTCGAAATCTAGCCTTTGATTTTCGGGAAGCGTCTGCAGGATATCTGCTGCCGTCTGCTCTCAGAGAAGCGGCGAGATGACAGGCCTTAGTTTGGGAATCCCATCCATTCGCAGCCGCAACGATAGAAAACTGGGTCTTATAACACTTGCCAGGATGTCTTCCCATCATATGTGGATAGCTTCAGAGATGGACGAGCAGGCATCGGTAAGAATTTAAAACCATCACTATTGTTCCCTACCGTCGCTACGAATTTCTTTAAAATATCCACTTCTTTGGCTACTGCAGAAACCCTATCATCAATCTGTTGTTCGATTTGGTGTTGGACGGCACAAACTCTTCCTTCAATTCGTTCCTCCACAGCAGAAAACTCTCCCTTCTATATGTTCTTTTACAGAAGAAACTTTTTCTTCTATTTCTTCTTTCACCGAAGAAACTCTTTCTTCAATTTGATCTTTTACGAAGAAAACTTTTTCTTCAATTTTGTCCAACTTTATTTTCAACTGTGTCAATTCTGCCTTCTATAGCTTCAAATTTATTTTCCCTTATCAGTAATTTCACTTTCATTTCTTCTTGACCAGCTTGAACGGCTTTCATTTCGTCCTTAACGGATTCCTGGCCCAATTTCATTTCTTCCTTAACGGAGTTGACGGCCCCTTCCATCTTTTCTTGGAAAGCAGCAAATGTAGTCATCATTTGCCTGAATTGTTCTTCCATCGCTCTTGTAATTGGCATTCAAAACCCCACTCCTGACACCAAAAATTGTTGCGTGCGTACGGGTTCGTTACGAAAAGAATGCACAAGTCCGATGAAAAATGAAGAAAAATTTATTATTATCACCACAAAAATGCTTAAATTTTCTCAAATTATCATGCAGTATTACAATATCTCACAGTAGTTATCTTTTAACTACTCAAATGTCCAATAGAACGTAATTCAAAACAGCTAAAAAAAGCTAATCCGCGAATTCGCTACAATCAACAAGAGCAGTTTTCTAAACAACAACAAACTAAGCAACTACTACAAACTGAGATGTTTTCCTCCTTTTATAAGATTTTAAAATCACGCGCTAGAATTTTCCGGTACTTTCTCGAAATCAAAAGGAGATATTTATTTATTTAATGCACGCACTCTGGTATTTTCAATTTTTCCGGCTTAGCTTTCTCTTAATATTCGTCACGCGCTGCACTGCGCGAGAAATAAAACCATTTAATTTATAATGAACTAACATTAGCTTTTTAAATACCAAATTCGTAACAGTATAATTACAGTTGTAAACTATTTCAAAAACAGATGATTGCTAATGCAAATAAATGTTCGCGTTCCCCGTCACACGCTCAATTTGCGTTCAGCTGAAAATTCAGTTTAAAATACAATGTCGGAATAAAATTGGGCAAAATTTAAAACTCTTTACGCGAAAGGATATTTAGCGTAGGAGTTTGGGTAAACCTACCTGATGAGATGTAGTCCGCGCAACTCGTTAGTCGGTTTCGTCTTCTTTAGTTTCTCAACCTTTGCAAGTTTCTAGGTAATTCATATGTAAATATAGTTAAATGCATAATAAGCAACAATTGTATGAATTAAAAATATTTAAATGTTCTTAAATACCATGATAATTTAAATTAAAACAATGATAACTGCATGTATGTTATATGGACTACTTGAATGCCGTGGCAACTTCATCCCATTGGCTACTACAGTTACGCAAACAACCAATAAACTATCGGCGACAATCAGACACTTAAGCCGCATATAACAAAGATGTTTCAAATAGTGTATGTAGTATGCTATTTCAAAATAACATAAGACTAGATACGTTGTTTCATACACATTTAAATTATCAAATCAAAACAATATAGATAGACACATAAGTTTTAAAACCCATACTTATTATTGTCTCAGCTTTGCAGATTTCTAATAAGTATAAATACTTTAAATGTTACGTGATTTTAATTCTAAAAATAATCATTTCATTAAATAGATAATCAAATGTCCTCAAGATATTCTTACTTTATTTTCAGTAACTAATCAGTTTCGGAAGGTAAAATTAATAACTGGAATTATCAAAATTCTTTATGCACAAACTGTCGCTCTGGAGTGCTAAGGTTACAGTTACGTCTGCTGCGTAATTTAAGCAAAAAAAAATTATACAGTTGTTTCTTTTTAAATCATTTTCATTTCTTCGCTCATTTGCATACTTTTGGAAACAGCAGTTGAAGTAAGCAAGATTAAATAATGGAGTAAAACAAACACCAACAAAAAAAGGCTAATTTGTTAAGTAAACCAAAAAAGTATTGAGCATGCATCATTATGTCTCTTCATTTCCAAATCTAAAATGAAGAAATCTATTTATTATGTAATTCTAGTCAATGAAGTTGCTGACCAATTTCAATACATGAAAATACCATTTAAAATGAATATTAATGAAAATAAATTTTGTAGTGCAAGAAAAGTAATTTTGAATAAATAATGTTGCCTTGAAATGATCTTTAAAACTTATCTTGGACTAAGTACCGTAATTTCCGGAAGAAACGCCGCGGCGTTTACGTGTTTAAAACTTAAATTTTCAGCGGGTGCGGCGTTTCTACCCATGCGGCCTTTAGGTGCACTAAAAATAAAATATTTCCTATGATGGTCATTGTACATAGTTTGGATGGCCTTATCATTGTGCATAGATTGGTGCTGTTCCCACACAAAAGACCACTCAGTTGCTTTTTGCGAACGTTATTTTGTTTACGTTCTTTCCCTTGAACGGACCTACATGCCTTATTCACCCTAAACGAGATCTCAGAACAATAACATTCTTTTCCCTTTCATATCAACATTCTCATCAGTTTGAATAGTCTCTCTCCTCTGCCATTCGATGAATCTTCCAGGACCCATCCTCTTCCCACCCCTGCCTCTTCTGCAATTTTTTTCAAAGGCGGATACGACTCCACCTGCCTCGAAATAACGAACTCTGACGTATTTCCCCTTCAGCACGAATGGATTTATCTTGGCATTTTGCCAAATACAGATCCCATCAGTTTGAGTACAAGTACTTGTTGGATAGTTTTTAATTAGGGAGAGGAAAATGTCTCTAAACGGCACAGAAGCTATACATTTCTTACCTTTATTTATTTTGAGTTTAGGTTTTCATTTCATGCATTTTTCTTAACTGGTATGTCATATATCAGGACTTAGGTTGAGTTTTTGCATCTATACGGCCCACGACGATGTCACGCGCAATTTAATCTATTGCGGCGTTTACGCTGATGCGGCGTTTCTGTGTAATTTTAATTTTTTTCCCGCCATTTTTCTAGAGTGCGGCGTTTACGCTGATGCGGCCTTTCTTCCGGAAATTACGGTACATTCTTCTGTATTGTTTGTAAATGTTTAATGCTGCATATTAGAAATATTGTTTTTTAAACTACTACTCCTAAAATGTGTTCCCACTTGTATAAATGCTTTTATTGAGTTTCTTTGCACCTCATCGAAGAAATCAATATTTTTATTTATTTCATCCATATAAAACAGACTTTGTGTTTTTTAAAATGTAGTAAAAGAGTTAATAAATTGCTTTCCTTATTATATGACTAAATTCTGCATTTGCTCTAAAGCCCCATTATTAAACTCGCCGACAAGTTGCTACTGATTGGCTTACTACAAGATGAGGAATTGCAGTGGCTACTTCGCCTGATTGATCCAGAGAACTTCGATCCTGACTTCAATCCAGGTACTGGGTTATTATTCGTGTTTTTAAACATTAAATTTTGTTATTATTTTAAAACCTAATATCCAGGTTATCATATTAAAACGAATTAAAGAAAAACTAAATAGATCTTACATTTACATCCAAAACATAAAGTGTAAAAGCATTTTGAAAGTGCAGTAGGAAGGATATCCATGCTATAACCAAAACGGTACTTTTCCGTTTCGCCGGGACAAATCTCGCCAAGCAGACTTTATTGGCGACAACACATAGTATACACATAAAAATGTATACTGTGTAAACATAAAAACTTTATTGGCGACAACACACAGTATACATAAAAAATTTTAACAAATGTAACAAAAAAATTTTATTTGAAAACATAATTTAATATCGTTTAAAATTTTGTGAAAAGCCTATAAATAGATAATAAGTTTGTAAATAACATTAATTTAAGATTTACTATGTTCATATTACAACATCCTTTTTCGCCGATCATATCAGTGACCCCCAATGATCTCATCTTAATAACACGCTACAAAAATTTTATTCTCTCAGTAATTATTTACATTAATTTCAAGTTAAATCTTAATTTGGAATGCAAGTTTAAATGCAAGAATTATTTCAATTCGTGCGATAGCTTACTCAGAAATTACGTAAAACCGCAGTGCTTTACTTCACTAGTGCATTCTCATTAGCATGGATGAATTTAACCCTTGATTTTGCCTTTTCTGTATTTTCGCTTTCGGGTGAGCGGTTTGATTGCATCCTAGTTGAAACCGCTTGACTTAATTACCGCGAATGGTCTTAGGGCATAAAATTGAACTATCTGGGTAAAAATGCTATGTAATTGTAAAGACACAATCTGATAAGAAATGGCTGCGACTGGTTTTGAAAATGAGGCGTAAAAGGTTACCAGCGAGGATATTCCGTTTGGCATCGGTTGTACCATTTTTGGCGACTTTATCGCCTGCGCCGGCAAAATGGAAAAGTACCAACAAAAACGTATTTGCATTGGTTAAATAAATTTTGTTTTTTCACTTTCTAATTGCCTAAATTTTATTTTTCATTTTCAGAAAACGAAAACCAGGTACGTGGTTTGATGGCTATGAACATAGCAGAAGGAGTTAAGCTCCAGATGTGCTATTTGCTGCACCACCTGTTTGATTTGCAACTGAGACATCGAATTGAATCCATGATTGCTTATTGTGATGACTACGTTTGTGAACTCCAAAGTGTAAGTAATAAGGACTGGTACTAATTCGAGATAACTTTATTTATCTAATTAAAATTGATCAAGTTCATGGTAAATGAATAAAAGTCTATAAAGGGTATCAAAGAAATTCTGTTTGCTACGTTGAGTCGATCTCATGCAATTTGTAGTTGCTCTTTTAATTTTAACCAATATTTTTCTTTCTTCTTGTTTATTACGGCAATCATTAACTATTTCTTGCCCTTCATCTGTAAATTTATAATTTATGTGTTATTAAATTGCTTTGGTTCTTTTTCCTGTATCTGAATTGTCTTAAACATTTGCTGAGTGACTTACTTGAAATTTAATCGTGAAACACGACAGCACTCCTGATTAGTTTTAAATACAAATGCAAGAATACAGGAAAAGGAACTGAAACGTATTTAAATTGTAAGCTATGAAGTATTTTTTAAACAGCTTCAAGTATAAGCTACTGTTTCATTAAATAAAATGTTAATACAACTTAGAATTCTGATGTTTCAATTTTATTAACGAATTTCATTTAAAATATATTACGCATATTTCTTGATAAAAAAGTTGTGATTGTAGTTCAGAAGTAATCAGTATCGAAAAGAGCTGAAAATCTTCTAATTGTATAAAACTGTGGATATTTTGAATGTATAGAATTGCATTTTCGTAAATTTTCTGATAATAAAATGATAAAAATTAGTGATCATACAATAAAGTAGGCATGAGGGATTTTTTTTCTTAAGTTATGCAATTATTATAATAGAAAAACCAGTAAAATTGAATTCATTCAATGCTTAAATTTGAAAATAAAACTGATTTTGAAACTGAAAGTTAAGTAAGATTTTTCTTACTATCCAAAGCTTCAAATTGTTTGATATTATTGAATTACGAATTTTTCTTCTTCATCTCTTTTTAATAGGATCAACTTCGAAGGTACATCGAAATTAAACAGTCAGACATGCCTTCTGCTGTAGCTGCAAGAAAAACTAGAGAATTCAGGTGTTCCCCCAAAGAGCAGGTACTTTTAAGCTACAAATTTATGTGGAACCTGTTTGTTTGCGGACACTTACGTAGCCAAAACTTAGATAAGAAAATATCAAACTATTTTTAAAATTTGAAAGAATATTTTTTGGTTAAGAATTCACATTTGTTTTAGTTTATGATATTTAGAAAACTTTAACAGATGCTTGTTACTACTCATCTATCAATGACGCTGATAATGACCTGCACGACGAGTCAATGCAGGTATTATTATTGATCAAAATGCTGGAAAAATGACTTTATTTTATTTAAAATTTATTGTCTATTATGATAATAAAATTACTATGAATTATTTTTCATGAACAGTGTATTTATTAGTTTATCAATATCAATTAAAGTATCTTTATTAATATTCTTTTGCACAATAAATCAGTACAAGTGAATGTGCATTTTCTTCCTGCAAAGTTCATTTCTAACAACAAATACATTACTTTTTTCTTTTCCCCCAAATTTCAATCATGAAACTGGAATCGCTTGAAGCATAAAATGCGTATTTAAATGCATCGAAACACTGTAAAATTTATTGAGCTTAAAATGCCTACTTAAATGCATCGTAATATTGTAATGTTTATTAAGCTTTAAATGCCTATTTAAATGCATAGCAACATTGTAAAATTAATTTATCTTGACTTCTTCAGATGTATAAATAATCACCTAAGTAACGGAGGTAGTTGATCACTGTAAAATGCTAAATTTAAATCTCAACTACAAGATCGAAATTTACAAGATTTAAATCGCAATCTAGGCCATGTCACCTTTTAGAGAAACATATGCTAAATCGACACCCTAACTGGATCTAAGCGGCTTATGTATCGTTATGCCCAGTTAGAAACAGAGAAACGTAAGAAGAGTGTAAAAGACTCTTTTATTCAGAAGTCAATAATTAACAGAAGGAAGGTCTTGTGCTTGCTAAACCAGCCAGCATTTATGGCGTAACTCAAAAGTAATGAATTCAAATTAAAACAAAGTTTAAATCTAAAGTTATCTCAAAGGCTGCACAGAAAGGATTAGCGCGCAATTTGGCTAAAACCTGTACTGGCGTGACAAGCACTATACGCCGCAGGGAGTCAACTATCGTAGAAATTCAACTAGCAACGTGGTTTTCAGCAAGCGGAATATGCTCTGATTCAACGATCTAAAAATTCTCTTTAAATACTATCTTTTTCTAACTCATTTGAATACGTGGGAAGTAAAAATTAGCGTTCTGGCAGGAAAATGAAAATGAACATAAAATATCTGCTTATATAAAAATAGATAAATTGTTACAATTATGTTCAGAAAATTTTACAACTTTTGTTAATTCTTTTAATTTCAAACAAAAGTCGCTATTTGTTTTTTGTTTAATTAAGAATTTTCAATTAACTTTTAAGAAAACTACCAACTCAGGTTTCTACAAAATGTTTTAAACTAAATGATAGTATAGCAGCTAATTAATGCTTTACATGATTAATGAGCTACTGGAGAAAAAATTTGCCGGACATTGCTCTAATTCGGGTTGAATTTGTAGCGAAATAGGCTGTTCCAGTAGTTATTTTACGACGTTTTCTTCTTATATAACGTAAATATCGGTCCATCCTTTAAACTGTTTCTTCACAAAAAGCATTCCTGTCAAAATTAAATAGATGCCGTACTTCGCATCCAAATAACCAAGTACATGTCGTAATTAGCTAAACATCTGTGACACAGTCATACTTTTGGCTCAGTATGTTTTAATTTTACTTAGAGAACGTATTTCATGCAGTGAAATAATTAAGAAAAAAAGATAATGCAAATTATCTAAAGCTGTGCTTTTTTCTCACAAATAATTATAAGGATCTAAGCAAATTAGTTAATAACAAATAATAAACTATGTAGAAATGAATGAAAAGGTTAAACAAAATATTCGCAACGAATTTAATTTAAAGAACTATTCAAGAAGATTATCATATAATTTAAATATTAATTTGCTGTCGAAAGTGCAATATAAATTGTATAATAATAAGCGAAAGAGCATTTATAATATTTAAAGTTTTAGTTGCAAGTAAAACCTGACGGAGGACGTGAAACAAGTAATATTTAAATTTTGTAGGTGTTCTTAATAGAAATGTCTTTATTGTAGAGTTAAGGAACTTCATCTTTAGAAAAAAAAATCTGATGTGTACACCACATGACTTCCTTGTAGGGAATATTAAATTATACGCATTTTTTCTTGAATTTCATTTAAATTGATTGGATTGAATTAAATCTACTTCGTCGACAGCGCATAAACCACAATAGAATAAATGCACTTTTAAATTCACTATATTTGTTTACTATAACGACACTCTGAATGCACAACTTTATATCATTTGAAGAATTATCTTATCGTTGCCACATGTTCTATTCAAATCTATAATAACTAGAACGATGTATAAAAGAAATTAACAAACAAAATAGAAAAAGAAGCAGTTTTCACAGACGATTGAGTAATTTCTCATTCAATTATTCAGTTCTCACTTTCGCGAGAAGGCAAAATACATAAAAACTCAAAATATCTATATTAAATTACGAAGTAATCTTAACACTTATTTCCTCGAAAAATTCAGAAAGGATTAAGCATGATTTTAATTCGAAATAATAAATGAAGGCGTTATTTTTGTTGTGCGAAGCTTAGTCTCTCTAGATTGGCAACAAATCTACATTCTCTGCTGTTTCAAATGACAAAATATCCGCCATGTTATTTAAAAACTTAACCGCCTTAAACAACTTTTAAATTGTTGATAATTATACAAATATTGCTTCCAGAATTACGAAAGCATAAACCTTAACCGGAAGATAAAACAACATAATTCAATCATTTTTAAGCAAAAAAGTACATTTACAAACGTATAAGAGTAAAGTAACTGAGATCACTGTGCCGAGTAACAAAGTGGATATATATATAAATATAGTATTCACATACGTTTGGTGCGGCCGATTGCAATCAAAATACGAGGTGCACATCTACATGTTATAACAGTCCTATATACAAAATTTCAACGTTCCGAGGCTAATCGTTTTCGAGTTATGCGAGATACGTACGTACGTACGTACATACGTTCGACGTACGTACAGACGACAGGAAAAATTCTCTTCAGAATTCATTTTAAAGCAGTTTTATAACTTTCTTGGAGGAAACGAGGCTTTTATTCTGTCCTTATGTACAGATATCACGCAAAAATAAAATTGATGGATAGCGGTCAATCGGTTTTTCGTTGAAATATATACCCGAAATTTTTCGCAAATACAATACTTCCTTTTACTTCGTTCAAGGAAGTAAAAACGATGCACCAAGAAGTAGAACTGAGCCGGTAACAGAGTGGTATATATAAAATATATATATACGTTTGTGCGGCGGATTGCGACCAAAATACGAGGTGCGCATCTACATTTATAATAGCCTATATAACAAAATTTCAACGTTCTGAGGCTACTCGCTTTTGAGTTATGCCGAATACGTACGTATGCACGTACGTACATACGTTCGTACAGACGCCCCGAAAAATTCTCTTCAGAATTAATTTTAAAGCAGTTTTATAATTTTTTTGGAGGAAAGGTGTCTTTTATGCTGTCCTTACGTATAGATATCACGCAAAAACATCGTTAAATTGCATTCCATAGCGGTCAAAATGGATATTTTCGTTGAAATATGCTGGCTGAAACTTTTCGCGATTACAATACTTCCTGTTTACTTCGTACAAGGAAGTAAGAAGATAACAATAATTATAACACATCTATTCTATTCTGGACATCAATTAGCTGCATGTTAGACATTAAATTAGCTCTATATTTCATCGCATGTTTCTTGTTCAAAGTAATTGTTATCTAAAATGGTAGATGCGAAAATTAAAACAAGTGTCATTCGTTAATAATTATAATCGCCAGTACAATACGAATATAAAGATAAAACATTCTTTTCCAGATGAGAGCAATCTTGTGCTTTAAAAATTTAGAAGAGGATCAAGTTGATCAGTGCTCTTGTGGGGAAGAACTCCGCGAAACTTTGCTCAATTTTCACGAAGAGCTTGTTGGTCGCATTAAAGGTGTATGTTCATCTGAAGACAAAGAAGAATCAGATGAAAAAGCGGAAGAGCCATCAAAACCATGGACTCAGAGAATTTTGAATATTGTAAAAATGGTCAAAGCAGCAGATCAAGAAGCAGAAAAACCTGAAAAGGAAGGACCGAGGCCAGAGGGTAATTTAAACTTTCCGAAGCTCTTTTGAATTATTTAATATAAAATTCTGACTTGTAGTCTTCTGTTTTTTGTTCTTTTTAACAAAACTGCATCCACCAGTAATGCTTTAAAAAGACATTTTTCACCTAACGTTTTTTGGATTTAATAACCTCGCAAAACATTTACATATGACCTACACAAATGTGAAAAGAAACTATAATGATATAATATATAAGCATTTTATGTGTGTTTTCTTTTCAGAGCTGTTTCAAAAGAAAATTGTGATTACAGTTGTGAAATGGGCGGAGGAAACTGAAATCGAAAACCGAGAACTTGTGCGACAAATGTTCCACCTACTTCTTAGAGCATTTAATGGTATTGGAGAGGTAATGTTAAGAACTGGTTTTATATGATATGCTAAGTATCAGTCTATGTGGTGTACAACTGTTTAGTTAATGTTCCAATATATTGTTGTAATAAGTTGTATGTACAGTAAAGTAAGATAATAAGCAAAAAAATTGTGAATTAAATTGTAAAAATTAGTAATAGTGGTCATCAATATTTTCAACATTATTTGCAGGGCCGGATTTAGACTTGATGATGCTCTAAGCTAGTTGAAATATGGGGGACTTTTATAACTCTGTTATACTTTACTAGAAAGTCCGGCGGTCATACGAAATGACCGCTGTTCTAGATATTATAAATTGTAATTAAAATTATTTGTGCAAAGGTGTCTGCTAATTGAAACTGAATTACCCAGAGCAGGCGGCGAGGACGCCCCTTTGCTTACTGCCCCACGGGGTTTCCCCCTTGCTTAATTGCTTAAAGTAGAGTGCAATGAAGGAAACCACTGGTGGTATATTTCTTAAGAGCTACCGCTAGCTCAGTCAATAAAGGTGATTTAAATAATAGAATGTTAATTCACATGTTAAAGATCTCTTTGTACACAACATTTCTTGTGTAGACCTTTCCATCATTTTCAAGTTCCCCTTGCAGAGGACCATCCATTATTTTTTATTTTATGTCCGTTCTTTCACGAACTCTTGAACAGGCAACATAAAGTTGACCGTGTCCAAATGCAGGCTCAGGTAAAAATATGCCAATACGCTTAAGCGTTTGGCCCTGAGACTTATGGATGGTCATAAGTCTCAGTTTTACAGAAAATTGTCTACGTCTCAATTGAAACGACAACCCTGTGGCGTGGCAACTTCACCCCATTGACTAGTACAGTTACGCAAGCAACCAGTAAACTAAAGGGGACAAACAGACACTTAAGCCGCATATAATAACGATATTTATTTATTTCATTTTATTTGTTTTTTCATCGTTGCCGGTTTTTGCCGGCTGCATATTTCCGAATTCTATTATACATAGATGTTAAATTTATTTATTAAATGTTAAATGCACGTGCTCTTGTGTTTTTAATTTTTCCGGCTTAGCTTTCTCATAATATTCGTCACGCGCTGCACTGCAAGGGGAATAAAACAGTTTACAGTTATTCAAGCAACCAATAAACTATCGGCGAGAAACACTTAAGCCGCATATATATAACATTTTAATACTATATTATAAATTTTTAGGGCCCTCAAAAAAGTGGGGGCCCTAAGCTATAGCTTGTGTAACTTACACGTAAATCCTGCATTGATTATTTGATTCAAATGTAGATTTGTTTTATTCAAATGTTTTCTAGAATGCGTTTTATTTATTGAAAATATCAGACGAACAAATCCCAGTGTGTTTGCTTCCTTCATATCCCCTTCTCGGAAATAATTTTGACCACTAGATTTTTTTAAATTCTTTTAAAGTATGTAAAAATGTGTGAATATGCATGTGCGGATTATTTTAAAATCATATACCAAAGCTTTATTCTTTTGGACTGCTCGTGCTGTACCCACAGTTCTAAGTTTAATGTTTATTTAAATTGGGAATAAAAATAATTTTTATTATTTTCAGCTCATTATTTATGCAAGGTATTCCATTAAATAAAGCAAAAATAACTTATATACAAACCTTTGTAATAGCCATTATACGTTCAGAGATTTAAAAAAATTATATAATTTATGTCAAAAAATTACTGCTTCATGCAGCCATGAAAATAAAATTGCTATCGTTTTATTGCTTGAAAATAAAATTGCTATCGCGCTTATTGCTTGAAAATGAAATTGCTATCATGCTTACTGTTTGTTGGAACTAGCATTTAATGATGATCACGTTTTCGTTGTTTCAGATAATGAATGCGATGGAAAACACGTACACAATTAGCACGAACAGCAAGAGCGACGTTGTAGTTCTTTTAGGATATTTGCAAAGAGTGAGAGCTCTATTACCGGTGCAGATGGGCCCAGAAGAAGAGGAAATAATGCGTAATAGCTTGTGGTAAGTTAAGATAATAAAAATATCTTTTAGTAGGATATCACAGAGACTTTTCTATTTCGATTTATCTTTTTAGTCTTTTACTAACAATTAAAATATTAAATAATTTGAAATAAAATGCTATTTGTCTGCCAATTTAAAATATTTCCTGCAAACTTATCATTTCCTATCAAAACATCATCAAAATTGAGGGTGCTACTCTGGTAGACGGTTGCACGGATTTTTGGCGATTTACATTGGCGCAATTGTTGGCGCGATTTTCACAAACGTCAGCCATCTTGAAAAACGCTGTTTTTAAGCATAGTAAAGTATTCGAAACTTTAAAAAAATAAATAAAAATAAATAAATATTGTTAAAAAGTAATGGATTAATTTTTTGTTGAAAATGTCGTTTTTTAAGATGGCAGGCAAGTGTAAATAAATACATTTACTATAAGTATAAAATACTAAAGTTAGGTTATTATTACTTTCATATAGCAAAGAAGAGAATAAAAACACCGCTATAAAAATATTGGGCCAACGTTTAATTAGATTAAAATATTACTGAAATTGAATATCGAATTAAAAACCATCATACCAACATTTAAAAGAATTAGAATATTATTAAATTCAGATACTTTAAAATATGTTATATAGAATATAATTAACATTAAAACATTAAAACATATTAAAACATATTAACATTAAAATATATCTCAGCAATTTCTGAAAATAGTGTATTAATTTTTTTAACAAAAATTGAAGTATACAATTATAAAATAAAAGAAAAATATGTACTTACATTTTTTTGAGTATTTAACCTAATGTTTATTGTACCACAAAAATTCAGATCATAATTTAGATAACATCTTTGAAGGAATTCGAAGATATGAATTAAATTTTAAAACGGCGCGGAAATGCACAAATTGTCAGTAAACCAATCAGGGAGCTGATTACAGCTCGTTAATGCACAAATATTCTATAACCAATCAGAGAGCTTATTACATCACGGCTAGAATTAAAATTATTTAAAAATTCATACATAATAAAATAATTTTTAAAAAAAATGCAAATTAAATTGTATTTTAATATTTAAGAGCCATAAATAATGTTTAAAACATTAGATTAAATTTATACATATTAAAACGAATTACTTTTAAAGTAAGGTGACGTCATGATTACATCATCCACAACATAAAATTTCATAAAATATGATAAACAATAAAATTTTTATTTCAAATAAAAATGCAAAATTAAATTGATTTTTAATATTTAAAAGCCATAAATAATATTTTAAACACGGAATTTATGCACAATAAAACGCATTATTTTTTAAATAAAATGACAACAAATTATCGGTTACCATAAATAACTTATCCAGCAATGGGTTTACCATAAGTTGTATTACTCGTCAAAGGAAAATCGCTAAAAAATCGCCAAAATCCGTGCAACCATCTATTAAAGTAGCACCAAATTGAGTTACCTATCATTTCAAAGTATGCATTTAAATCTAAATCTGATTATATGAATTTTAATACCAGCTTGGAACTGATATTTGAAACATATTTTCAGGGCTATGGTCAGCAACAGGGTATTCTTTCAGCACCCGGATTTGATCCGCATTCTAAGAGTTCATGAGAATGTAATGAAGGTCATGATCAATACTCTGGCGAAGAGAGCTCAAAGTGATTCAGGACCGGTAAGTTACAGATAGCTGTATTTTAAGTCTTATTGCAATTTATGAGATTTTACTTTATCTGGAACTAATAATCCCTTCAATCATGAAGCGAATTATCGCTATGGTTGAAGTAATTGCAAGTCGTGATAAGGTTTTAATAACGTTTTTTAAACTGAAATCTAGGACATAAACGCATTTTCTTGTCCTAACAATATCAGTCACAGCTGATGGTGATGCAAGTATTGTCATTGCAAAAAAATTTCAGGTACTATATTTCAACAGAAATATCCATTTTGACCATTCCTTTTGGATGCTTTTTTTAGTCCAAAGGGGCTTTCTCCCTGAGGTATTATTTTTTCATTTTGCGATTTTGGGTCGATTCACTCTGAATGTCCGTTTCACGTTTCGAAGAGTTGCCACAAAATATTATCACACTGTATTATATTTGAAGAAATTAAATAATGAAGAATCTGCATAAATGTATGTATGTTTCTTTCACCGGAATTAAACAACAGTACCTAGAGCCATCCAATTTTGAATGACGTAATCCTACTGTGAATATGAGCATCTGGAAGCCCAAATTTGAAATTTGGAATTTGTTTTATTATCGATTTCATATTTCGTAAAACTTTAACGAGTTTTGATTAACAAACTCAACGATTTAAAAGTGAGCAATGGCAACACTTTAGGGGAAAAAAAACTTTTTGTATATAGCGCGCGGAACTGTGTATTGGAAATTTTAAAGCTATGCTCATTTTAAAATAATTTTGCGACATTGCTGTTGAACTGAATTTTATGGTTTTAAGTGCAAAAAGCATGATATTTAATAAATAAAAGTAAAACTAAAACGTTAAAAAAACGCCTCTTTGGACGTTTTCTTTTTCTTCTTCTTTTTTATTTGTTCGCGGGATGTGTGTACGTGCGGAATAAAGGACTGTTTTTTGCAAAACAGATTGCAAAATGGAATCAGAATATTTTTTTTTCGTGATGTCTGTACCTACGTATGTAAGTATTTTCACAATCGTTAGTTGTAGTTATGTATTTCCATTTACAGAAGTGTTTTAAATGATGAAAGTATTCATGTTTTGACAATGTCAGATTTAAAAAAGAAATTTTTGGATAAGTAACGAAATCTAACTTTTAATGCGATCTTTCGATATCTGTACTTATGATTAGGAAAGCTTTATGATCTTATCAAAAAATAAAATTATAAGAGGTTTGACTGCCATATGACAAAAATTGCCCGAGGTATTTAATTTCAAAATTTTGCAATTTTTAATGTATCGATTTATTAATTTCGAATCATTCAAGGAAATAAATTTTTATGAAATGCAGCAAAAATATGTATAATTCTACGGGCCGTGCAAGGAAGTCATGTGGCGTCCACATCCGATTTTTTTCTTAAGAATTAAGACCATCTTTAGTTAAAAATTTAATAATAAAATGATATTTAATTTTAAACATTTCAGAGCAAACGGCGCATTATTGAATTCAGTAAACAACTGAAGAAGAACACAAATGTTTTCTGTTAAAAAAACAGAAATTTAATCGTCATATTTATTCATTTAGTATTGCTGCTACATATCTGCAGCGGGACGTTATTGCCAAACAGTGTTTGTTATATGTAAGGTTAATAACTTTTAGGTCTTCCTACGTATATCTAATTTGAGGGAATAATACCAAATTTTAAAACATGATTCAGTTAAGTAAAATTAAGTTTTAAAAATAATAAAAGTTATTTGTTAATTAGGTATTACTATTTTTAACTCGAAAGTTATTTTCAGCTGCCTATAAACTTTATCCGCACATTCAAGAAACATAGCCAACTCGTGGCGACTTTATGGACAGGATGAAAACTATATATTTGGCTACCTTTACGGCTCATAGATACGGGGGCTCATACATCATAAACCCCTTTGCAACAGTCACATATTCGGAGATAATTTCGAATATGTGACTGTTGCAATGAAATATCCCAATTCTTGCAACAGTCACATATTCTGAGATAATTTCGAATATGTGACTGTTGCAAGAATTGGGATATATCATTTATTTTGAAAGCAATAACTTCCAACATTTTACAGCTGACTACATAACATGGCTGCTTTGGGATCTATAGTAACCAGAAAATTTGTGTTACCACAAATAATTTTGTAATTTAATCCACTTTGTGACAAAAATTTTCATCATGCTTCCACCTTGCGCGCATGCTATTTTAAAAATGTCTAATGGTACATACTTGAAACGGAATTCTTTATATGGGAGCTATTTTCTAACTGAGCCAAAAATCTGATGAATATTTTAAGATTAAAAAAATTTATGCACGAAAACATTACAGATTTTTTAATAAAATGCATTTTATAAACTCAACTTCAAATAAAATAAAAGTTTAACATGAAATTCTTAGGATTGTTTTCGTTCACAGTTTCCAAATGTTATAAAAGCTATAAATTAAATATGGAATTAAATTATGCAATAGAACGTTTTAAACTGTGCGCGCAAGGTGGAATCGTGACAAAAAATTTTGTCACAAAGCGGATTAAATTTTAAAAATATTTGTGGCAACGCAAACTTTCTGATGACTATTTCAGAAAGCAGCAATATTATGTAGTCAGCTGTAAAATGTTGGAAGTAATTGCTTTTAAAATAAATAAGTTATCCCAATTCCTTCAACAGTCACATATTCGAAGATCTTATGGGTTGTAAGGTGTATAATATAATAATAATAATAATAATAATAATAATAATACTAATAATAAATATTGGTTATTAATAAATAATAATAAAAAGCAAACATCGTAGAAGAAGGAAAACATATAGTAAAAATTAAATTCTGTATGACCGATGTTGTACATTTTTACAACTGCTTAGCGAAATGATAATTAAATTTAAAGTGCGTAATCCACGTGTCCTTAATCACATGTATTATACACGCATGTGCGAAATGATTTGTCGCGAATGCATTCGAAAGTGTTTCAAAAACTTGTCAGTTTTATCGAATACTGAAACTCGGAGTGCTAACTTTCAGAACTTGAACTTAACGCGTATTTATTTTGTTGAAACATAAGTAATGGCCGTTTTTTTCATTTAAAAACTTTATTTTAACAAAACAAAAACAATAAATTAGTCAATAATTTTCGAGTTTTTGGACTTTCCCTATAGACCCAAGACGTCGAACTGTAGTCATTTGGCTACAACCCATTCGTTCGGTTAATTCTCGAGTGGTTTGACGCGCGTTTTCGTGCAGAAGTTGATTCAAACGCTCTTCATCAATCTTATTTGGTTGTCCTGAACTAGCAGCGTCTTCGAGGTCGAAATTCCACTTTTGAATTTGGCAAATAATTTTCTTGCAATTCGTTCAGGCATTGCACCTTCTTCATACACTTTACAAATCTATCGGGCAGCTTCTGCAACATTGGCGCCTTAATTAAAAGCAAAAAGAATGTGTCGAAAATGCTTATTTTTGTCGACTTGACACTCCATTGTAATGATCTGAAAAATAATACAAATTAGCTCAGACAAAAAACCAAATACATCATCTTGTAGAGAGAGAGAGAGAACGGAGAATGTGGGGACTATTCCCTTATCAAACGGTTAATTAGTATAGCACCAAGTCCACCACTATCTATAGCACCCCTTCAAAATACATAATGCCACCTGAAAGGTATTTAACTTGCACGACAAGACATACAAAATAATATGTTACAGAGTTACAGATTAATATTCAAGATACATGACTGGTACATTGCTGATACAAACATGACAGATGCAGAACTGATAAAAGGCTGATATAATACTGATATTAACACTGATTAATACTGATACAGTACTGATACATTGATATAACACTGAATATTATTACTGATTAAATGGGAATGATTTTGCACAAGTCGGTAAATAAATCCACGAAGTAATACGTTACAGTGACTCAAAATATTGCGAATTAAAATACCATCTTGTAGAGGGAAAGGTTCTCTTTCGAATAACACAAAACATTATGCCAATATATTTTATTTTTACCGCGTAATTTTAAACACAGCATAAACGGCCATTACTTATGTTTCAACCCAATAGATCTGTTAAAAAACGTTAAAAACCATTTTCCTCTTATTTTATGGACTAATGAAAGAATATTTAATTTTCATTTAGAAGAGAAAATATTTAGATAAAATTTGATTTATAATGCTTTATGTTGTTCTAAATAAATAATATTTATATTGATTATTATTTTTCTGCATTTCTATGAGTTATTCTGTAAGATAAAGGAAATGAAAGTATTTAATATAAAATACACTGAATAATTATTATACAATAATGGTGGTCTGTTTAGCAGAAACTTAATATGATTGGATTATGTACCTGTTTGAATTTTTGTCTTTATAGAATACCTCACATGAGATGGTAGTGGCCTGCTGTCGTTTCTTATGCTTCTTTTGCCGTACTGGAAGACAAAACCAGAAAGCTATGTTTGAGCATCTGGGATTTCTGCTAGAGAACAGCAATATTCTACTGTGTGAGTAATTTTAACATTTTTATATATACCATGGAATATATTGTTTTACAGTGATATCAATTAAATTGGTTTATTCTTAAATTTATAATATTTGGGGGCCTTTGACGCGTATGCTATAAAAGTGTATATATTTGGCACTTTAAAATTTCGGAAATAATATTTTACCGTTATATTTCTTAATATTCTTAACAACAATAAGTTATATTTATTGGCTTTAAGAAACATATGAGAATTTAATAGACTCTTTATCAATTTTTCTTTAAAATTTTAATCGAGGAGCAAATGACTAAGAGCCGTGTGATAGAAATTCCAAAGCAAGGGAGCCTCAAAAAGCGGATGCTACGTGGTGGATTTGTGGTTTCTCTCATGTATAATTCTTAAATGAATTGATTTCCTTTAGAATGATCCTGCATGCAATCATCTTTTGTTAGAAAGCTTACTGTTCCAACTGTATTTGCGACAAGGAAGCCAAAAAAGCTGTCATTTGAACTGAAAAACTTTGCTCATTTCATGCACTCATTTTCATTCCAAAATCACTCTCTATATATGTACTTATATGTGTTACAATACTATAAAAAACAATTTATTTTCTCACGGAAACAAAAGCCGTTTGTTTTAGATTTATTAAGGTTATAATATAATTTAATGTTACTAGTCTAAACTAGCTGCAAGCTGTATACAAATGCATTGTAATTTTAACACCCATCTAAGATAAAAGACCTACTAATTTAAGACATATTTTATTCTCATAAACCACTCTAGTGGATGTAAGAATAATGTAGGAAAATCTGAATGGCAATAATTTAAATAACTTTAGGTTTTAGTAGTTATTTAGAAATGGGTTGAGCATATTTTAAGGTTAGATTAAAATGAATTTATTAATTGATAAAATTCCCAAGTAGCACATGACGTAGCAAAGACGTTACTACGACTACTTTGCAACCTCTTGGACCAGTTTGCAACGTCTTGTGCTACTTGGGTTTAATAATATTACAATTTTCCCCTGTAAATGTTTTTTTCAGCACGTCCATCTCTTCGAGGATCTACACCTCTTGATGTTGCTTATTCCTCTCTCATGGAAAACAGTGAATTGGCTCTAGCTCTTCGGGAACACTACCTAGAAAAAATTGCTATTTATCTGTCTCGTTGTGGTTTGCAATCAAATCAAGATCTATTAGACAGAGGCTATCCTGATGTTGGTTGGGATCCTTTAGAAGGTGAACGTTATTTGGACTTCTTAAGGTTTTGCGTGTGGGTGAACGGTAAGTGGTTAAGGTTTTATATCTGAATGTCATTTTTCTTCAGAAATTTTTATTTTCTGTTGCATATATTTAAGTATTTTGCATAAACTCAGGATTTTAATAATGTCAGGAAAATAAGCATTCACTAAATTTCAATTATGTCCCAGTTGTTTTAATGAACTTCTTGAATTTTTATTTCAGGGGAAAGTGTTGAAGAAAATGCGAATCTTGTAATTCGTTTACTGATTCGAAGACCTGAATGTCTTGGGCCAGCTTTACGAGGTGAAGGGCCGGGTCTTCTTGCTGCCATCAAAGAAGCTATCAAGATGTCTGAAAAGATAACAACCGAAAGACTTGCCAAAGGCGAACCTCATGTTGAAGATGATGAAGACTACATTGACATGGGCTGTGCAATTCTGAATTTTTACTGTGTCTTGGTTGACTTATTAGGAAGATGTGCACCAGAGGCCGCTGCCATAGCCCAAGGCAAGAATGACTGCATACGAGCTCGTTCCATTCTTCGCTCTTTGGTACCTATGAAAGACTTAGAAGGAGTCCTTGGACTAAGATACAATCTTCTCACGTCCCAAGGTTAGTTTCGTTTCATTTCCAGATTAAAAATTTAAGATCAGTGACATTAACACTCCGAACAAATATTAATTTAGAAGTCATACAACAAAAATCAGCGTTATATTTTCAAATTTTCACAGGACTAGTTTCGATGGTTTTACTGAAAAGCACATTTGCGCTTTTGCAGCTGAGGATGATGGTTCAGCAAAATCATGGAAATAAGTCCTGTGAAAATGTGAAAATATAATGCTGATGTTTGTTGTTTGACTTCTAAATTAATATCAGTGACATTATCATGCTAAACTAAAAAGATTAATTATTGACAATGCAGAATGTCCATTTGTTTGACAAAATTCTTTAATTTGTAGCTCTAGCTGTTCTCAGATTTGGAATGAAAAGTATAATAAAGACGAAACCATTATAATAAACCTGTTTTATTCGTAAATATATTATTAATTAGGTGCAATTATACTGTTTTTGTTACTATCCATCTTTCGAAATTTATATACAAGCTTAATACTTAATGAGGATCTGACAACTCATAAAAGCTAATTAATTTTTAACAGTATGAGAATTCTCTAGTATGGGTTATATCTATATTATATTTATTTTCAGTTCATATATACCTAATATTTTCCTTCTGCGGTTAATCTAAAAAGGTATTAACCCAACAAATTGAATCTGGATATAATACATATTTTAAAACTTACATAATATAATAGGCTAATAATACATATTTTAAAGCTGAATTACATCACAGTTTAGAAGTTGTGCACTATGTATTGAAATAAGAAAAAATAAATTACAAATCCATAAATTTCGTAAAAATTATGCAATATTATCTTGCATTAATATGTTTTAAATGATACATAGTAGGTTTATTTCTTAATGACTGGTGATGAGCATCACTTTAAAACTATTTATGTTTAATTCTTCATTTAATTTAATTTAATGCACTTTTATGTGAATATTTTCTATACTATAATAACTTACGAAATACAATTGTTTCTTCCAAATTCAGAGGGTGAGAGTGACATGCCTATTGGCCTGCAGCCGAATCATAAACAATCTATAGTATTATTTTTGGAAAGAGTGTATGGAATTGAAAGCCAGGAAACTTTCTTCCGCATTTTAGAAGATGCTTTCCTACCTGACCTTAGAGCAGCAACAATGTTAGAAAGGGTAAGAAGATTTTTTAAGCAATTATAGTAACATAAATGAATATGAAAATAAGGTCGTATTCAGCTATAAAAATCTAAAACAAAAAATCTTAGATAAATAACAGAATATAAAAAATCCAAGATAAATAATCTAAGTTAAAAATCTGAGGTAAAACCTAAGATAAAAACATAATAAAAGATAAAAAATCTATATTAATCCGAGATAAAAATCTAAGATAAAAATAAAAATAATTTAAGATAAAAAAACCTAGAAAATCTAATAAAAGTTGGCTTAAACAAAACTACTTTATTTCCTTTTTACTCTGATTTTATACTTTTTTTCAGTAAAAAAAAATAAAATCAGCTTTAAGCAACTGAAGAATAATTTATTTCAATTAATACACCCATTTAATGAATTGTAAGTTTTAATTAATGTCAAAGTAAACCTCAGATAGATAACTTCTTAAGTAACTTTGTTTGCTTTTTGTAATAAAAGGTTTGTGGTTGTTTAATAAATTAGTTTTCATAGAACTGCTTCTGTAAATACTTATTTTGTATAATTTTTGTGAATTACAGTTTGACGGTTCCGAGAGTGAGATGGCTCTTGCCTTAAATCGTTACATTGGAAACTCAGTGATGCCAATTCTTATCAAATACTGTCACTATTTTGGTGATGCTGATAACTATGCTAGTCTTCTTGATGCCACTCTCCACACCATTTACCGGTTATCCAAAGTGAAGATTTTGACGAAAGGACAAAGGGAAGGAGTGTCGGATTTTCTTGTTGCTTTAACACAGTAAGATATACTGTTTTGGTATTCTATTTATAGATTTGAAAATTTATTTGTTTTATTGTAATAAAAAATCATTAAGAAATCAAACGTCTTATCTGCATGTGCTGTTTCCAAATATGAATATTTGTTTTCTATAGTCGAATAGCAAAAATTGTCGCTATCTGCTGTTTCCAGATACGAATAAAGAGAAAAGAAAGGAAGAACAAATCGGAGCTACAATATGCTACTGAGGGCATTACACATGAATTTTAATAATGTGCTTTTGATAGTTATTCCAATATTTGTTCAGGTTTTGGGAGAAGTTTTTTGAATTGTAAGATATGTTTTAATAAACTAAAGATCTCTAAAGGTAGTGTACTTGATAAAAAGCTCTTTTTAATTACTGTGTGATACTGCTAACTAGCCCAAATTAAAAATTCAGAAATTATCGAACTGATTAAGTGACTTTTTCTCTTTTCAGTGAGATGCAGCCTAGTATGCTTCTTCGTCTATTGAGGAAATTAACAGTAGATGTTTCTGTGCTTACGGAGTACACTACCGTAGCTTTGAGGGTAAGATTTGTTACATTTCTTTAATTTTCGCCGTTTATTAAGAAATTTTTTTATGTTTTCTTCTTTTGTTTATTTGTTATAGTTATTCAGTTGTTATAAATCAAGTATCTGGTTTTTTTACAAAATAAAGTATCAGCTCAGTGTGGTTATTTTTTGTTGATTTCCCTATTTAATCTACGACTGAAAACACACTTTGAGTGAAAAAAGTAAAGATTTACTTTTCGTGCTCAAAACGTATTAATATTTTCTAAATTTCAAAAGGAATAAGACAATAACATTGCAATTCTTAACTATATTTACTTTGTATGTTACCACCTCTACCAGAATGGAGAGTTCTATCAACTAAAGGTTAATTAACAATAAATTATTATATGTATGTTACCACCTTTACCAGAATGGAGACTTCTAGCAACTAAAAGTTAATTAACAATAAATTATTTATTCTAAGAAAAGAACTTGAGATACAAACTAAAAATAATATACGAAGAAAACTTCTCTAATCGAGGCACTAAACTTGAGATTAGACTAGCTGCATTTCTTTAGTCTGCAAAATCAATGCGTGTTTGATACGAAATTACATCTAAGCGATAAGCAACGGAGGACGTGGGCACTGTCCCTTTACCAAAAGGTTAATCGGTATAGCACTACGTCCACCTATATCTAGATCCTAAAGAGGAATCACAAGACGCTACGAACCAGGCGCCCAAACCCAGAGCCAAATTCAACCCAGGGGCAGTCCAACAGACCAAATGCCCACGAAAGACAGTCCCAACAACCGCCCAGGCCCCACATTTATTAAATAAAATAACAAAAGCATGCAGGGCCAAAAAGGGCGAGTTTTGACAATAAGCAAAAATTTTACAAAGGCGTAATACACACAAATATAGAATATACATAAGCTAAAGTACAGTCTGATGTTGGGCAGCTCAATAATATACAATGAGTAAAATATAGACAGTAGAATTAGACTTAATATAACATAAAAATAGAGAACATAGTGACATAATGAATGTAAAGAAATTACTGCAGCTTAGATGTAATTTCAAAATGAAAAGAATTTGCAAATTGCGTGTAGTTTTACGACAGGTTTGAACCAAAGGTAATAATTATGCCGCCGAAGAATTACGAAAATATTCAGAGTTGAATAGCAAGCGAACACCTGTGTATCTGCTCAGCTGTGAGTGTGGAGGAGGAGATGTAAGCGTAAGAGGGGTTTTCGGTGACTTGGTGTGGTCGTACTCTTTCACGATATTCGCCGTATTTCTCACAAAAGTTGGTAAAATTTTATGAAGTATCAGGTCAGATGAGTTGCCACGAACGTATGGATGGATGACAGAATCAGATGGGAAATTGTCAGAAGCCTGGAGCTAGGCTAATCACAAGTGCAGGTAGCTGCAGAGCTCAATGAAATGCCCAGTCCAGTGTTGTTTGCAATTTATGGAAACAGTTTCAGGACAACGGATCCACATCTAGAAGACCTGGACAACCTCGATCAAGATCAACAAAGACGAATCAGGATCCTTCTTTTGCACTTTTAGCGTAGTGACACAGACCTGCTACAACTCCACAGCCTTCACAAGAACTGTATGCTGCTGCTGCTGCTGGAACCCGAGTTTCACGGTATACAGTTGCCTTCATTAGATAGGGCTATATGCCAGAGGACCAGTTGTTTGCTTCACACTCAATGAAGCACACGAAAGAGTGCGTTTAGCATGCTGCAGACAATACTCACCTTCGACCAGACTTCAGTAAAGCACCGTGCTCCTTACAGATAAGTCGAGATGCAACCTGGACATTGATTCTTGGCGTAGCGGAATCTGCAATAATTCTAGACCCCCTCCTCATTAAGGAAAAGCGTTACTATGGTAGTGGAAGTGAAATGGATTGGACAGGCATTATGTTGGTCAGCTGCACAACCCTGCGTATGTTTAACGAAGGTTCTTTGAGTGATATGAGTTATAGGGAGGAGATCTCAAAGCCCTATGTTCGACTTTTCAAGGTTTAATTTGTTTTAGGCTCCTGCTAATTGGCGACAACGCTCGTCCACACAAGATTGAGCTAGTCGACGATTACCTGGAAAGTGAGGATGTTCGCCAAACGGATTGCCCATCTAGATCTTCTGACCTAAACCTACAGAGCGTATTTGGTACGCTCTTGGGAGGGCAGTTACATTTTACCATCTGTCCTAAGCCATAAGGGAGTTGAAAGTTGTAGATTTGGGATCGAATACTACAGGAACTCCTCGACTGGCTTCTGCCGTCACGTTGCACGACCTGGACGTCATACTGGCGTTGGAAAGTTGTAGATTTGGGATCGATTACTACAGGAACTCCTCGACTGGCTTCTGTCCAGTATGCCGTCATGCTGCGCGTCCTGGACGTCATAATGGCGCTGGTTCAGTATGACGTCACACTGCGAGAGAGAATCATACCCCATATTAGGTTCATTTCCAATTCGATATTACAGGGTGGATTTTGTACATCCCTGCAGGATAAGCTTTCCTAATAATCATACGTACATACAATGGCTTGTGAATAGTATATCTCTTTCTTTGTTGCAAATGTGTATTCATACCATATTTCATTAAAATCTATCCGTTAGGCTTTCAGGAATTCTAAATAATGTGAGTTCCTCTACTTAAAAGTTCCAATAGACTTCACTTCTGATATTTTCTATATTAAAAATTCACAAAATCTTCTGACATTCTGTTGATATTAATTGAATTACATTGGTAATTCAATTAATAAGAGAAAGAAATGTGCTTAGCTATTGTATTACTTTTAGAAAATCTCTTTCAGTTCATTACAATGCAAGTAAGACCTATTATACTATACTATAATGCTTTTAATAATAACCACATATCATCTCTGTTAAAATCGTTTAGTTTAGTCTCTTATTTCTAGATAGGTTTTGTTTATAATGAAAGAAACGGCCGGATTGCATAAATATCAGTTATTTCTAAATCATGTGTTTAATAATTACTTCAAATATACTAACCAATAAGAAAACAAATAAGTGGATTTTCGATATTATTAACAGTTTCATAATGGTCCGAAAATTGTTATTTACTAAACAATATAATCTTATTTATAAAATTATAATTTTTGTATTTAGATTGATAAATGTGTATATTTTATACATAACATGCTAATAGCCCAATATTATGATTAGTAACAGATCTAATTTTCATTTCCATTTGTTCAACCTAATTTTTCATTTCTAAATTCCAAAAGTAGTACTTTATGTGTCGAAAGTACTATTTTTCGAATTTAGAAATTTATTACTTCGATTGCTTAAGTATTTTTGTATAGCCTGTTAAAGTACATTATTTCTTTTTATGCTTTTAAGTTGGACTATAAAATTTTAGTATTTTGTCATAAATTAAGCGATGGTTTAAATGTTATTTATGTTTGTGTGTTTTTGTTTTAAATTAGTTACTTACATTGCATTTTGAACGCTGTGGAAAATATTACGGTTCTCCAGGAGGACAAGGAGCTTATGGTGCTGCATCTGAAGAAGAAAAGAGGCTGACAATGATTCTCTTCACAAACATTTTTGATTCTCTTGCAAAAATGGTAAAATATTGATTAAAATAATTCTTATTTAATGTATAAATATAATTAATTAATAATAATTTTTCCTTAATTAATTAATTATTTTTTATAATTATTAATTAATAATTGTTGTTTCTTGACAAGACACTTCTTCAAGTATATTTTAAAATATTTAATTTTCTTAATATTCAAAGTTCTGGAAATACAGTCAGGCAAAAAAAAAATCACATAATTCTAAATATATACAGTAAAATGTTATTCAGATAGAACAATAGAAATATGCGTGTAGATAACCCATTAACCTAAAGCAGATTGTGTGCACATGCAGGTTTATAGCATTTGATGGTACTTAGCGCAAGTAAAAACAACCCATATAAATGCGACTTCATAAATCTTGGTAGCTAAAATGTGCACATCTTATTGCAGTATTGTGGAATTTCCATAAACAAACAGCCTCCCTATCTGATCATATGCCAGGAATTTTTAGTCATATTTCAGGAACTAATTATGTCACAAAGCCATCAAGTTGATCTTTCGTAATTGAATCACGAGAACAATGGAATTATAAAAATAAGAGAACAAAGTTTCCACAACACTAAATATATCACATGTCGATATGTTGTAAGGATTTATATTTATTTTTACTAATAAGTTAAATTTTAGTTCAGACTTTCCTATAAGCCTTCATTCGCCTAATTGTCGGTGCCAGAATAGTTAAATTTTGGTAGCGCTCGTGGAAGAAAGCAAATTCTACCTTGAGGAGAAAAGTTTAAATACTGAGTTTTAGAAGGAGAGTTAAAGAGTTGGGCTCTAGCTGCCGTCTCTGCCGTAGGTACGTTTGATGATTGCTGGTTCAAGTGGCTTAATTGCATTTATCTGCTGTCACTAGTTTTAGAAGGGGGTTGAAGTTCGGGATTTCGCTGAGCCCTGTAGTCTAGTTATATCGTATCGTTTGTTAATATATTCAAACTTTTAGTTTCTATTCTCTGACTTTCAGTTACCGCCCAAATAGAGGCGAAGTTTGTTAGCGTCTCAAGCAAGACGCATTGTAAATTTTAAAGAGTTAATAAAGGGTTTGAACCCTTCTTCTGTGTAGTTTCCTGCTACTCCTGTATCCAGATAGAAGTTAACCCCCTGGAAACTACAGTGTAATTCAGAGCAATGAACGCAATATACCGCAGGAAAGGCAGCATAATAGGGATGTTTGATGACAGCCACTATAAGGTTGTCTGCGAGTTGCTAACCTTCAGCTTGAGCAGTGTTTGACATTGATGTCTGAGAATGCTTTTTACACAGTACTAACACACAGTTCGGAACAGTTATATTAAGCCTTAATTAAAGAAATAAAGGATTTGTTGGAAAGTTACAAAACGATGTATAATATCTTTTACGATAATGCTTTATGTTGAAGCTTTTTACTTTCTACAGCACATATCTGAGCTTATGTAAGCATATATATTTTTAAATTTTACAGGAATACGATCCAGAGCTCTTCAACAAATCTCTGCCTTGTCTAACAGCAATTGCTTGCGCTCTTCCACCTGACTATTCACTTACTCAGAGTGGAGAAGACGATTTGTACAAGCAGTCCGGACCAACCGATGGCCCTTACAATCCTGAACCTATCGTAACAACTGCGTAAGTTTATTACTCTTTTAATACAATACAAACTTACAACTTTACCAGGCTTTACTGAAAGCCATTCTTTACTGAGGCTCTGCACCACACTTTACTAATGGTCAATTCTCCTGACAACCTTGAAGTACTGCGAGTTATTGAGTATAATAAGACTTACACAAGTAAGAGATTGATATAAAATAAAGTCTTATTTATCAAACAATCGTGATTTGCAATTAAAGAGATAACGTAAAAATGTCAATAGATCTTTATTGAATTGAATTTTACAGTCAGGTTATCCTAGTTCTCATAATTTGTACAATCAAGAGCTACTATGCTCTGAAAGGAAACCTGATCTATAGCATTCCAGTCATTTCAACAGGCTTCGTAGCGGTCCTTACAAGTGCTTATAATTCCTTATATTTGAAAATAAAATATAAAGGCCCTTATAGGTGCTTACTTTTTCTTTAAAGCCCTTATTTTTTTTGTTTTTAGTGCTTATTTTTTGCTTTTAGTGCTTTTTTTTAATCCTTTGTTTTTAATGAACGCGCATTTCCCCCCCGTATCAAAGCCGAAACTAAATAAAGAACTTTTCTTCCTTATATGCAACGTCAGATAGTGAATCATACTTCCGGAAATTGCTTTTCCCCCTCTTCCTCTGCATTAACGTAACCTATGGTCCGCGCGAGAGTACAGACAGGTGCACGTCTTTCTATTGGCCAAAGAATTGCGAAAACGGTAGAAAATTCCGGTACATTTGGTATTCTTTTCCTCCCACCCAAATACTACACATGTTTGAATTTCTATCAAGATTTTAATAATTTGCATTCTCGTTCCGCGTGGTCAGTTCATATTCGTGTTTATTGTGATTGTTATGCTTATATTATGAGCACATGTATGAATATTTATAATAATATAGTTGCAGTAACTGCTGAAGTATAGATAAACTTCCAAAAATGGGTGTGTTTTTACACAGATTAGCTTTCTAAGGAATAATATTCGGAATGGCTTAATAAAAGGAAAGTAATCGAATAGTCAAAATAATTTCATTTTCTTTGCCAATACATCATACAGTATGGAGCTTGGGAGTTTCTCTGCAAAATCTCTAATATTGAAGCAGCGGACATTTTTTTGTCACTGTCCAATCTGGATTGAATAGGATTAAAAGTTTTGCAGTCTACCCAACCCAAGCGAAGAATGATTCTATTCCGGAAATTTAACGCAGTCTGTTGAAAATTAGAATCAGAAAACACCCCAGATTAGTAAGTCTCTTTCTTTTCCTTTTATTTAGTTCTTTATTCTCCGAATACCGGCAGCTGTTGATTCCGATTGCGTAATATCACATATGGAAGAATTACGCCGCACGTATTGCGCAATAACGTTTGCACTATCGCAATAACATTTGCGCAATAACTTTTGCGGTATTTTGCAGAAGATTAATTTTGATGTTCAGTCTGAGATTTGTTTATGAACACTTAAAAGAGTTTTACTGTGCTTTCTAAGCAGAATATTTCTCAGTTCCGTTGGTTTTTATATGATGCACATATCGAAATGTCAAAATCATTTATTTAGCTTAAATTTGAATCTAAAGAACGGCTACAGTCTCCCCCACTCCTCTTTTTCCAGTTACTATCGGGAATTTCCGAGTATGCGGGTTAGTTAAGCTTTTACTGTTAAAGGATGACTGCATGAAGCAATTTCCCGTCTTCTGATTTCAGAAATGGGCCTCTTTTTTACTTAAATTACTTTGTTTGGGATATATGTTAAGGGAAACCTGTTATAGAATGAAAATTTAGAAAATGTTCAGAATTTTGATTTAAGTTAAATTATTTAAATGTTAATATGAGTGGAAAAATAAATTGTATTTATTATTATGTGCCAAACGAATACAATTAATATGGCTTATTATTATTTATTTTCTATATTTTCAACTGAAATATCATTAAATTTTGTAATATAGTTTAGTTCTGCATAGTTTTTTTCTCTCATTGTAAACTAATTCTGTAAATTGAACTGTCATTTAAAATTAAAAAAAATAAAAGTTAATTGTTTTCCATTGTTGAGGTAATGCTCATTCTCATAATAAATATTGCATTGCTCATATTTTAAATTACAAGTCTAATTTTTCTTTTAAGGTTATGCAGTTGTGTATAATGTAATTAGACAGGTGCTTATTTTTTCCTTAAAATGTGCTTGAAAAGTGCTTATAGGTGCTTATTTTTTTAACTAAAATGTGGCTATGAACCCTGTTTCAAAAAGATTTCACTTAACATGCAGGACAGTCAAGGAATTTAATGAGGGACTCAAAAGCGTACCCATTCGCTCTTAGTAGAATTAGATGGAACAGCGCATGATCAAATAACAATAGCACATAACTTTTGCTCTAGAGCAGTGGTAACGAACCTTTTTGGGGCCCCGTGCCCAAAAGTCAACCAAAACCCACTTATTTATAGCAAAGGGCCTACACTCAAATTAAACCTGAAAATACGTTGTTTAATTTTGTCCTTATTTGGAAAGTCTGGGAGAAAAGGGAGAAATGTTGCGTGGGAGAAAAGAGAATTACTCCCAGACAACATAGCCTCTTTGATTAAATCCCCATCGGAGAGCGGTTTATCATGTGTTACCAGGCACAATAAAATTTGAAAGCTGACCGTTGTTAAATGGTTTCTTTTAGAAAGGTAATTGCAAAAAACATCTTTCTGGTAATTATAATTCCTCAATTTAACATCATCCGTTCAGCTTCATCAATTTCGGCAACAATCTTGTGGTTGACGTTAAAGTGTTGTCTGATACTAGATTTGAAACACACAACACTTTTTCCGTACAGAATGCTTAATGCTTTCCTATTCCTTTCAATAACTCCAAATGAGTCTGTCCAGGTGTCTTGAAATGATCTTCCACTATCAGTGATTAATTTTGCTTTTTTTGCTGGAGTCATTTGTGAGGGTTCAAGGCCTGGAGTATAGAAAAGAGCAAAATTTAAAAATGAAGCATTAGATATAAGTATACTAAAAAGAGGTAACATTATTAGCCAATAAAGAGGTAAGGAATTGAATTTTCACGAATCAACAATCTATGGCTGCAGATTCAAATATGAACAGGGGACAGCAGTAACTGTTAACCCGGACATCTCTTTGTTAAACATCTAAATTTAAATTTCATATGCTCCTTTTCGGCTTTATTGGGCTTATTTTGGCTGAGCGCATGTGAATAAGCTTGGTTTCACTACTAAGCTTCCATGTTTTTACATTATATTCATACGCTTCGTTTAAGATATTAAATTAGAATTGTTCATAAGTTACCTCAAAATGCTTAGATCTGAAAACTGGAATCTATTTAACAATGAAAATATTAAAACTCCCCAGCAGTCTGCAAAAAGTTTGAATTCGTTTAACAACTTTGGCGTATTCTTTGCCCTGTAACAAGTAATATGATTATCCCAAACAACTGAAACTCCATTATTGATATACATATTTAGTGACCCAAGTTGGGTCAATAAATATGTATATCATTCTATGGCGATATATGAAAATCTCATATCTAGGCTTTGGCCGTCTGCCAGTGGCATACTTATGCGATAAGTAAGTAAGTGAAACAAAACACTTATTTAAATTACAGAGTATCATTTATTGTGATTATTGATTAAGGAAGTAATATTTTAGTAGCGTGCCGGCTGATGAGCCTCTGCGTGGCAAATGTGGCCTGCATGCCATAGGTTCGCCATCACCGATCTAGAGAAATTTAACTTGCTCTAGAGCAACTAAAATTTCAACCTTTGTCCGCATTTTATTTTCGTGTGTATTGACTTAGCTGTGCTTAGTTGTGAATAAATAATTCATAAATATTTGTGATACAAACCAAAAGAAGATAAGATCGTTGAATTACGTGTTAGATCTAAAAATATATGTCTCAAATTCCCTTGATTGTATTTGACGACCTCGACATTTGAAATCCAAATATATTTCATACTGTGCAGAAATATCTTTCAGGAAATTAAAAAATTGGCTTTGTTTTAACTTTTCTTAATTTTTCACTGCCCCCAAATCTAGGTTTCGTTGGAAAATTTATTTTCAGGAAAAAAAGTTCGCAATTATCCATCCTTGGAATTCCGAAAAGCACTTTTTCATCAAATTTTCTCAGATGAGATTAAACCTGAGATTTCAAAGAAAGTAATCCTTCAATGGCTCTGTCTGCTGTTCATCATCGTTTTTCATGTATTGCAGCTGAAGAAAAATGTAGTCATTGAAAAAAGTTGAAGGATAAAAATACTAGATACAGTTCACAATAAATATAAAAATAAGTTCTTTATTTTCCTTTTGTATTAATTAATATCTCTCTCAGACAAAGTTAGAAAAATGTAAAAATGGGAACGTAAATCGCTAAAAGAAAGTACCTTTTATTAACGCTCAGATCGTGTGTGTAATATAAAGGGCAAACTAATCTAAAGGTTGTGATTGGATTTAATGACACAGGGAGATTATTTCTGTGCTAGACTCAAGAAAATACTAATATCCAGTAAGTTATGGAACGTGCTTGTATGAAATTTGCGTCCTGTAGAGCCCTTTAAAAGAAGAGCTTCAGCTAACAAGGCACACTCCGTATAGAAATTAGTGAATAATATCTGACGAGAAATTCCAGAGATTAGTGGCAACGTCTTCCATGACATTTATGCTAACATGAAGTTTACTGGTTTAAGTTCTGCCTTTTAACATGAGGTATAATGCTGCATAAGACACACAAAAAAAAAAAAGATACTGTAAGCACGAATTTTCGATGAAAGATCAGAATTTGCCTTTTTGCACTGCTTCGGGTTGTCATTATTCTTGTTGTAATGTGCGCATGCACGTGAAATGCTGGTCATTTGTCTTTACCAGCATGTTCTACCTGTCTTGTAAATTTCAAGTTTATTTTGAACTTTCTTCATCGTACAGGAATTTTAATATCCAGCAGCGTATATAAAAATTAAAGACATACACATAAAAGGTAAACTGATCTCCCGTTTTCTTAGCATCCCCTCATGGTGTAATGGTCAACACGCTCGGCGCTAGTCGAGGGATCTGTGTTCGAGTCCCTGCGAGGACATTGCTCATTTTTCACCTCTCCTGCTTCGAAGTAAACTAATAGCTCTACAGTGGCGCCCTAACTAAAAGGGTGGTAGATGCCTTCGTGGTGTAGTGGTCACCACGCTCGGCGCGTATCGAGAGGTCAGTGGTTCGAGTCCTTGCGAGGGCACTGCAGACTTCTTCAGTTTCCTCACATCGAAAAATTCTAAATGACTCTACAATGGCACCTGAACTGAAAAAGGTGGTGGATGGGGATTCTCCTCAACCAAGATTTGGCGACTGGGTCCCCTAATCCCCAATCGCCATTTAAAAAGGGGAATATATAAGGTATTTCTCCCGCCTTCTTAGCATGCTTTCGTGGTGTAGTGGTCAGTACACTCGGCGTGTATTCGAGAGGCCTGTGGTTCGAGTCCCGGCAAGGGCATTGCTCATTTTTCACATCTCTTGCTATCCAAAAATACGTAATGTCTCTAGATAACTCAAAATGTGTTATATTAAACCTTTTTCTTTATAACATAATAATCTTTGATAATTTGGTATCTATTTCAGAGTACAACTGACGCCTGATCTTACTACTGTGATCGTGAAATTTGCAGAGCATTTTCATGATGCCTGGGCTAGCCGTAAGGTAAAATATTCATATTTCGATTAAGAAAACATTTAAAATAACAGAACACGTACGCTGTAACATAATATGTTATAAATGTTAAAGACTCTGAATCGTAGAACTGTTGTTTTTATTTTCGAATCGGTTTTTCAGCAATGAGCTCTAAATAGATTATTACTTAAACAAGCCCATTCATTTATTAACACGGTTATTTAATTTCACAGCGAGGTTTCTTTATTTACATATTCTACTTCACGTAGTATCACATTCTCAGTATAAAATTTTCAGTAGAGAATAAATGATGTAAGAAAACATTTGAAACACTTTTATTAGAAAAAGAAAACATTTGATGCAACTATTTTATAAATATTTACCATAATATTAGAGTAACCAGTTAAGAAAATTAAAACAGCTTAGTTTATTTTCATGCATAAATAAAAATAAAAATCAGTTCTCCAAAGGTTCCCAGGAGTTTAATTTTAGAATGGACGATGAAGACTGGTTTTCATCATTAAATGAAGAATCAGAATCGTTATTCATAGCAAGCTGTCAGTGTGAGAACACATTAGTAGAAATTAACGTAAGTTAACTTTTCCTAAAGTTGTGGAACATAGAAAAGTTTAGGAAGCACTGATTTAAAAGAATTTTAGTTACAAGGATAGGATTATACTCAGTATAATAGCATATTACTAACGATGATTATACTTATAAAAACATTATCAATTATTTCTATACATTAATGAAGCAGAAAACTTCAAAATTCAAAAGATCAGTGTTTATTACATGCAGTTGCCACAATTGTATACAAAAATTGCCTATTCATTGTATGATAATATTTCTAAATCCTGATCAATTCGTTGACCAGAATTGGATGCTTCATACTTTAGCAAAAGAGTAAATAATATTTTCTAACATCAAAATTTAACAGTTAAAGTATTATATTCAATTAGGTTTTATGGATTGATAATATCTTTCATTATCTTATCGGGTTTTACTTGATTTGGAATTGATAACCCTATCAGACGTGATTCAAATTAGTAGTATTATACTCAGTATAATAGCATATTACTAACAATGATCATACTTATAACATTATCAATTATTTCTATACATTAATGAAGCAGAAAATTTCAGAATTCAAAAGATTTTTTTATTACATGCAGTTGCCACAATTTTATACAAAAATTGCCTATTCATTGTATGATAATATTTCTAAATCCTGCTCAATTCGTTGACCAGAATTGGATGTTTCATACTTTAGCAAAAGAGTAAATAATATTTTCTAACATTAAAATTAACAGTTAAAGTATTATATTCAATTAGGTTTTATGGATTGATAATATCTTTCATTATCTTATCGGGTTTTACTTGATTTGGAATTGATAACCCTATCAGACGTGATTCAAATTAGTAGTATTATACTCAGTATAATAGCATATTACTAACAATGATCATACTTATAACATTATCAATTATTTCTATACATTAATGAAGCAGAAAACTTCAAAATTCAAAAGATCAGTGTTTATTACATGCAGTTGCCACAATTGTATACAAAAATTGCCTATTCATTGTATGATAATATTTCTAAATCCTGCTCAATTCGTTGACCAGAATTGGGTGCTTCATACTTTAGTAAAAGAGTAAATAATATTTTCTAACATCAAAATTAACAGTTAAAGTATTGTATTCAATTAGGTTTTATAGATTGATAATATCTTTCATTAGCTTATCGGGTTTTACTTGATTTGGAACTGATAACCCTATCAGACGTGATTCAAATTATCGCTAGATCTGAAGTAACTATAAGTAAGGATAAGGTTTTAATAACCTTTTTATTTAAATAGAAATCTAAAACATAAATGTACCTTTCTGATGATGTCCACTTTTAGTCGTGGATTTTGAGTCAGAAAGGAAAATAGTGGATTTTTAACCAAATATTCTGCCCCCCCCTCACTTAAGGAACACGTGCAAGTAACTTGTCCCCCTATCAGCTATAGCTTGAGTGAATAGTTTCCTTTACTTTAAGTTATCCATACGCACAACTACACATTTGACGATAACTTGCTAAACTTGGCTTCTATAGCGCAGTCGAACAAAAGTGAAATAAAATTTATATGAATTTAACCATGTTTAAAATTAATTCAGCCATGAAATTACCCGATAATGGTGAAATAAAATTCACATAGATTTAAAACTGATTAACAATAAAATGAAAATATTCTGTAAACGTATATTAAAAGCTACTAGAGGGCTGCAGCCAAAGAAAAATTTATAAATTCTATGTACACCTGAAAGAAAAATGATAAAAATAATTTCAGTATAAACGAAATCAGTTCATTCTTTCCAAGCAACAATCAATTCGTTAATGTGCTAACGATATCAGTCACAATTCGTGGTTATGCAAGTAAACAGAGCAATCAGTTTCAAATTAAACATGGAACAGCAGTCAAAGACAACAGAATTAAATTTTATCCTAAACTCGGTTAATAATTCTAATTGGCGTCGCAAAATCAAACTGTCGACAATGAATATAGCTCAAAGCAGAATTATTACAGCTATCAAAAGTGGCAGGAACTCGCACGCGCAGGCCAGAAACACCCTCTGTCTTAAAATCCTAAAACCTCAGTTTAAATACTGACTATCTCATTTGCATTCTGATGAGGAAAACGGAAAAGAGAAGTTTTTGTAAAGATCCAAATCATAATAGCAACTGTTTAATTCAAATTATAACCTTACAAGCTTTTCAAATTCCAAAATAAAATACATTTTTAGCATAGCAGATACGGTTTGGTTGACCGCAAGTGACACTTTATTACCTTATTTGATATAGCGGGCCTATGAAGGGAACTTGAAAATGTTGATGAAATGAAATGAAAATGAGATGTGATGTTATGGGAGTGAAAATGTTATGTGATCTTTACATATTCAGTGCATTTCTTGACACAACATATTCGACTAAAAAAAATGCATTGAGTACGTGTTCTGTGTGCATATTGGTTCCATATTCAGCTATGCATAAATAGCTGAACAAGGCTTGTAATTTTTATTACAAATTGGAATCAAATTTCCCCATTTTTCAAGTTTATAAGGCTATGAATATGTAAAGTGAGAGTCAGGTTACTAAATGTATCTTATGCAATATTTCTTGTTTTGCAGATGGGCAACGGTTGGGTTTATGGAGATTATTGGAATGATGAAAGAAAACTACATCCACGTCTAAAACCATACGCATTATTGGGTGATTGGGTAAGTAATAGTAACAAAATTAAATGTTATGAATGTTTTTGATATTATTGATAATAAATATCTGAAGAAGTATTAGCACTGTTCCGATTACAAAAACGTATTTAAAATGTAAAAAGATTAAATAAATGTTTCACTTATAAAGCAGCAATCATTGCAATAATAAAACATATTGTGGCATTTTTTTTTTTTCTGACACCAGTTTTTTTTTTTTCTGACACGTTATTTTCTTCCTTCACGTTCGTACGGGTTCGTGTGGATTTGGTGTGAATAACGACGACAGCACTTGATGGAATATCGAAACACACTTTATTTACTAATATTAATTAGGACAGCCCCAAAACACTTTTACAGTCGTCGAAGATCTACTATAAACATTCTGGAACAATCAGCAGCACAACCTTCAGAATATCAGGCTATCACGGGGAAGACAGTTTCACCGCAAAGCACCAGAATACAGCTCCCGACTCTTCGGTTCAGTCGTTCCCGGAGCTCAACACGCTCTCTTGACGACGTACTAACCGTGATACACTAAGAGACTCTTTCGGTGTACTCGATGACCCACTCGGCACTCGCTGGCCGGCTGTCAACTCGATCATCTCCGCACGGACTAACTAGATGTGACACACTATCTCGCACTGAATCTCCGCGTACCAGCAGGGTTTATGTAGTTTTTGGTTTGTGTTCGAGAACATTCTGGTCTAAACCGGTAAGAAATCGTTCCAGAAGGTTCTCCATCCGTCCATGGCATATCGCCAATTTTGTCGCCAAACCTGCGATTTCTCGCCAAATGTGGCAATCCTGCCTTTTCTTACCATTTATGGCAACCCTATTACTGCTTTGCGGGGAAGATATCTTTCCGTGCTGTGCATTTCGTAACAATATTAAATTCACTAACGGGATGCATTGTACATTTGCCATTAAAAACACACTGAAGATATGTAGCTGTGTATAAGTAATTATATTATGCTAATCCACAGGCTATAAATCAACTTTAAGAACACTGATTCTTTTTTCACAATTCCTTAGGAGAAAGAACGGTATGAAGAACCTATTCGTGAATCTTTGAAAGCATTATTAGCTCTTGGTTGGAAATTAGACTTGAGTGAAGCGGCTCGCAGTTCATTGCCGCGAACTTCAAAACCTGTAAGTACTTTTGTATCCTTTTTGTGATGCACTGTAACAGTTTTCTATCATTACGACCACTATATTATTCTTTTTTTCCAGCCTGAGTCGCCACATACTTATACTCCGCAACCAGTGGACATGACTAATTTAACCTTGACGAAAGAAATGCAGGTTTGTTATATTTTTTCATTCCTATTATCTTCTTGAAAATAAATATATCTACTGAATTTTCAGTATTTGTATACAGCCGTCGGGCCGTATCCGACCCCAAAGCATTTTTACGCAGTCCGTGAATACATCTCAATGATGCATTTGCTGCAAATAAAATGCTTAAAAGTTTAAAGACGTAGAGATTGAGTTTATATGCGCAACTGTTGAAAATAAAAGAGATGGAGTGATTAAGTTAGGAATTTGTCTTTGTAACAATGCCAGGCAACGTGATTGGAGTAAAATGGGAGAACTGTAGACATCGGTACAATCAATAAATTCAATTCGGCCCCCCCCAACAGTTGGTGGCGCTTCAGTATTTTGGTGTTTCTAGTTTTTTATACAGTGAATTAGTACTTTTGAGATAAGCTTTCCTTCATTCAGTTTCTAGTTGGTTAGGTCGATGCATAGCTATGCAGTTTATATTATAGATGGATACAAACTAAGTATGCCTTATAGAAACTTTTTATTTGCGCTTGTTGTTAGATATACATTATATCAATATCTTTTACTTCGAATTGTGCACAATGTTTGAGGGTTTCTCTCATGCAAAATTTCATCTTGTTAAATTAAAGCTGTAAATAAAATTATAATAGTGATTTTAATTAAAAGATTAAACTGCTAAAGCGGTCTTTAACAAAACGTGGGAAAAAAATAAACGAAGGTGGAGTTGAAAGAAAAATGAACGAAGGAGGACTTGTCAACGCCATTAAGGAAGTAGTAAAATATAATGAAGTTCATAATTATTTATGTACATGAATAGTGTGTTTTCTATTGGTGTCGGAGAATAATTTAATGAGCAAAACGTTGTTAACTATTCAGGAGTTTTGTTCCACTTGTACAGTTGTTTAATTGTTAAGTTATGGAATTAACGGCTTCTAAGGTATTTATCCCATCTTCTTACATGCCTTCGTGGTGTAATGGTAAGCCCACTCGGCGCGTATTCGAGAGGTCCGTGGTTCGAGTCCAGGTGAAAGTTTTGCTCATTTCTTCAACTTCCTGACATCCCAAATAACCTAATGTCCCTACAGGCTTAATAACTTGAATTATTTGAAATAAATATCAATTTAAAAATTTAATATTTGCCAAATTTAATATTTTTTATTAATGTTTGAATTACAAAACAACAGAAAATTTTCCAGGCCTTTATATTGCAGATAGAAAATAAATACACATTTTATTTTTTTCCTTTGCATTATTATTATTGCTTCTTACGTATCTTTTGATAAATATTTAGAAAATGATATTAAAAATTTAATTAAAACAATTTTATTATGTAGAACGATGTTTCATTTTGTAAAAAAAATCAGATCCGTCAGTTGCTTTCAAATCGTAATTCGACCTTCATGCAATTTGAGTTTCAGACCACTGGTATGAAGCACTTTGTTTCAGTAATAACTTCGCATGCAATTGAAGTCAAAGTTACTTTACGAAATTGATTTAACTTTTTTCACCCCTACTCTGAGTTCTCTATACATCGAACTACTGAGTGTAAAGGCCCCAGAATTGTTGAACATACTATTCAAGACATGGGGAAATGGATTACGTGAAAACAATAGTACCAGAAACACCGATAGGTGGCGCTGTGAACAACAGAATATATGCTGAAAAGATACAAAATACACTGCATAGCACATTTTATTCGAATGTACCAAACATTCACATCACAAAAACCTTATCGATGCAATGGAAGCTGCTCAATATAGTTTCCTTCTTCAAGATGTAAAATCTGCATTCTGTGGACAGCTTGCTCAACTGCGAATCATAATTGGTCGATTGAGATGCTTTTCACATGCAGAGTGATGCTGTCTTTCAAATATGCCAAAGTTACTAGACGTCTTCGATAAACAAGATTATTTAAGTAACCCCACAGCCAAAAATCCCATGGATTAAGATCTGGAGAACGAGATGGTCAGAGAGCGAAATTGCAGTTACAATGACAGTTTAAGTTTCCTAACTTTTTTGTGTTATTTTTTTCATATCAGCAATAGAAATTAAAAAGAAATGATTCCATACCTCATGTTTTTTTTTTTTGGTGATTACTTGTGCCTTTTTAGCATATTTTCCGTTGCATAGCGCCACCTATCGGTGTTCCTGGAACTAATTTTTTTTTTCACGTAATCCGTTTCCCCATGTCTTGAATAGTATGTTCAACAATTTTGGGGCTTGGGGATGTGAAACTCAAGATGCGTGATTAAATTTACTGCTCTATACAGGAAATGAATTGCATCGTATGCCATACTTTTAAATACTGAGTAATCTGAGAACTATGCTATAAGGATAAGATATTGCATCTAACTGTACTAGTTACATTTTTCAACTGCACGCTTGTTGAAGGCTTAACTTTTAAAAAATTTCCTTTAAGAATCGTAAGTTCTCTCTCGGGCTTCAAGTTATCTGTAGCAAAAATCACAAATTTTACAAGCAATTAAGCAGAATGCTGTAGTTCCAATAAAACTAGCATCTGTCATGAAATATTTCTGACTAATATATACGTATTTCTCTGGCGAATATTCAATAAAACTATCTTTTTCAGAATATGTCTGAAAGATTGGCTGAGAATGCCCATGATATGTGGGCAAAGAAGAAGAAAGAAGAGCTACAAGCATTAGGTAAATAACTCTTCTTTCAGTAATCTACTCTTCATCATACTAAAAGAAATAACTCTTTGTTCAATTATATTTCGTTCCAGGTGGTGGAATTCATCCCCAGCTTGTTCCGTATGATCTACTGACAGATAAAGAGAAAAGGAAAAATCGAGAACGTTCGCAAGAATTTTTAAAATATTTGCAGTATGAAGGTTATAAAGTTTACAGGTAAGAGTTTTTACATATTAAGGAAATGCAGTTTATTTAATTAATCATTATCCATTTGGTATTTATATCGCATAAAACACAATCTAGATGGATTTTAAGAAACACAAATGAATCATAAAAAATGAAAATTCACAAAAGTGGCAATTTTAGTTTGATTAAGGTCTCTTCTTTAAATGTTTTCTATTCTAACATGATCAAACTGACATTTTTTAATCCTTTTCACTCTCAAGTGCTTTTTAAAGATAAAGAATGAAGCTGCAGAGTATAGCATTCTTGAGAGAATTTCACTATACTTTCTATGACTTTGTTATTGTATAAGATTTTGCTTAACGTAACGTTTATACTTTATCTTGCTCAGATGAGCAAGATAAAGTATAAACGTTACGTTATCTTGCTCATCTGAGCAAGATAAAGTATAAACGTTACGTTAAGCATTGCCTTACTTTATCTTGCTCAGATGAGCTGCCATAATCACGAGCGAGCTTAATTTACACTTTGCACACAAACAAAAAAAAAAATTGGATAGTTCTATATCTCCCGTTATACTGGGCCTACTGACGAAAGGCCGATTTCCCGACTTAGTATATTTTAGATTTATATATAGTATTTTTCTAACATAGGTATTTTGACATAAAATCGGACTTTTTCTTCGTACCGATATTTTTCCATTTTTCGATTCCACGGTCCAAATTATCAATAAATTAAAAATTTTTGTAAAATTTGGTGAGAAACGTACCGAGAAATTAAAAAATTTATCTTGGCGTACCTTTTTCAGTTTGCGGCAAGAATAATGCACTTTGCTAAATTCTTAATATTTGATAACCTATTTTCCTTTCATTGTGCTTGAGCGATAAAAAAAAAGTGAATCGTTCATTTTTTCAAATAATTTAAACAAAGGGCGTGAACCACATTTGGCGATAATATCGCTTGTAACATATATGCCTTATTTCAAAACGCGCCAATGTATAAATTCAGGTATATCTTGGGAAATTTTGAATAAAAAACTGTAATCTTTTTCAATAGGTTCAATTGCAAGTTTTGATAAGTTTCAATAAAAAATGTTTTTCGATAACTTTATAAAAATTACTGAAAAATACGAATTAAAAAAGTAAATCAGAAAATAGCTTCGAATTCTATTTGGATTGAACCTAAAATTTGAATTGTAAAAGAAGCAATCAAGTAAGTTTAATTAAAAAAAAGATATTAATAAATAAATTTGAAATTAAATTAATATTGAGAAGCTAAAATTTTGAGAACTGATTTTTTTTTTAGAAACTACTTGGGGGATTTTTTACAAAACGCGGCATTTTGACATAATTGGAGTCGTGGATCGAAATATGGGAGACAATAGTTTATATCAATTTAAAAACGGTCCGACGTTTTGTCAGAATATCTGTGTTAGATCAGTGCTGTATATTGTTACATTGTTTTCTTTTCACGTTACATTAAGTATGGGATCGCGGATTTGGAGTGAATAAGACAACAGCACTTGATGAAGTATCTAAACACACTTTATTGGTCAAGACAGCCCAAAAATCACACTTTACAGTCATCGGAGAAGTATTATAAACACGCTGAAACGATCAGCGACACAGCCTTCAGGTTATCAGGCTATAATAGTGAAGACAGCTTCACTGCGAAGACAATATGACCGAGCCGTTCTCGGAACTGCACATGCTCTCGAAATTCTTCACGCTACAACTCGTGATGTATTTGACGATACACTAGAGTACAGCTCCTGACTCCTCGGTTCAGTCATTCCCGGAGCTCAACACACTCTCTCGACGATGGACTAACCGCGATACACTAAGAGACTCTTTTGGGGCAGTCGACGACCAACTCGTCACTCACTGACTGACTATCAACTCGATGGACTCTCACTAACTCTGCATTGACTGACGATCAACTCACTCAACTGCGAGACACTTACTGACTAGACTCTCACTCTTTAATTAACTCCGGGTACCAGCAGGGTTTATATAGCTTTTGGCTTGTGCTTGAGAAAATTCTGGGCTAAACCAGTAAGAATTCGTTCCAGAAGGTCCTCCATCCGTCTATGGCATATCACCAATTTTGTCGCCAAATGGGCGATTTCTCGCTAAATGTGGCAACTCTGCCTTGCCTTGCCATTTTCTGGCAACTCTAAACCTGCTTTGCGGGGAAGGAAAGCAGGTTTAGAGATAGTATCTTACATTTCGTAACAATATAAATCTAATATATATATATCCTAAGTCCCGCTTTCCACACATGGGAGAACGCAAGTTAAATTTTGTCAATCGGCTCAGTAGAACGGGAGATAAAGAACTGTCACTTTTTTGTGTGTGAGTAAGGTGTACGTATTAAACCTCAGTTAGAAAACACAGAGACAATACCCACCTAAAAATTTATAACTGTGACTTGAAGGCTACAAATTAAAACTCAGAATTAATAAAAAATATCCACCGGCTCCTGCGGTATTCCAATTAACTCATAATTTACAGTCATACAAATGGATTATGCTCATGAAGTTTCAGCTGCATTGCTCCCAAGCCTCGCACTAAATTCACTTACCAGCCCTCACCAGCAAGTAGCTAAATGTGCAGCTTTAAGAATTTGCTGAATCGCTGAGTCAAACAAATATTAACAATCCGCGCTATCTTCGTTCTTATATCATTCAATATTTTAAATTAACCTAATTTGAATTCCGGTGAAGGCTGATGGAGAGACAGAAAGGACAACAAAAGAAGTAACATAAAAATAATTGGTTAATTGAATAAACCGAAAGCTGTGTGATAAAAATTTAGACAACCCGTTGTTGTTCATATACACTCTATAACAAAAAGAACTGACGCATCAAGAAGGAGTTGTCCGATAGAGACAAAAATTCGTTTATGGGAAGATTATGTATAGAATAGAAGATGATTAAAATTTCAGAACAATTGAATGATTTATTTCAGAGTTACATACTTACAAGTAATGAGCTCAATAAGATGTTGACCCACCTCTAGCCTGGATGCAAAATGCCATACGTGCCAGAGACTGATAAAGCTCCCGGGTGGTCTCTTGCCAAATTTGTTCCAATTGTCGTGTTAAGTCATCAACATTCCCTAGAAGATGCAGTCGCCTTCCCATTATATCCCACACATGCTCGATGGAAGAGAGATCTAGTGGTCTGGCTAGCCAAGAAAGTGTTTTACAATTCATAGCAACACGTGCCGTATGTGGTCTGGCATTATCTTCTTGAAAATAAGACCAGGATACTGCAAAAGGAATGGTAGCAAAACAGGTCTGAGAATGTTGTCAGCATACCGCTGTGCTGTAAGTAAGCTCTAATGACTACCAAAGGGGTCCGGCTATGAAGGGAAATGGCACCCCAGACATAACTCTTGTTTGAGGGCCTGTGTGGTGTGCAGTAGTGAAACCAGGATCGGCACGCTGCTCTGGGCGTCTCCAGACATGCCTTCGATGATCGTCACGACACAGTTGGAAGCGGGATCCGTGGCTAAAGACTATACGTTCCCAGACAGCATCATTCCAACACGATCGAGCCAAGCACCACTGTAATCTGGCTTGATAGTGTGCAGGCGTGAGTGGCAGGTGGCATAACAGTCGGTACGAGCGTAAATTTCGCTCTCTCGATCGTCTGTGAATGATCATGGTGGACTATCGTGTGCGGGACGCATCCCTGATGGTTGATAGCGATGAACAGCTGTGACAGCTGATCTGACAACCACTCTGTCCTCCCGAGTGGTTGTGGCTGTAAGTCGACTGCTACCATCATGATGCTGAAATCTGCCATTGTCCACCCCTTCTAATCGCCGCATCGCTTCGACTCATACGACGAGCGATTCTCCGATTTGCTCAATCTGCCTCTTTCGATCCAATGATATGACTTCTTTCAAACTCTGGCAGTTGCTAGTAATGGGCTCGAATCTTGCGGCGAGGCATTTTTTTCAGTCTTTGAAAGGTATCCTAAATCGCAATGCGACAGAAATTTTAACAAGAGTTCAAGAACAGCTCCTTGTATACATATGCTGGATGAGCTAGAGATTATTCATTCATTGGATACCAAATTTTAATCATTTGCATATTTGGTTAAAGCATTTACGCTTGCGAAATTTCAAAGCAATCATATGATTCCTTTCTTAGTGCGTGGAGTTCTTTGTTATAGAATGTATTTTCATTTGCTTGATTTACTTTGTGTACTACTCCTGATACAACTTCGGACTCTAAGAAGTTCACATATTATCCCAATTTTCTTTTTGAACATAATAAAAGAAAAATTGTTTGAATAAAATTCTGAAATGAATTCCAGTGTTAAACAAGTACTTAAAACGCGTTTTCCCGTATACAAATAATCACGATAACCTGGTGGCTTTCGCGATACATGAACGGACAGATGAGTATGCAATCATACGTTTCATGTTCTGCGTTTGAACATTTTAGATGCTTGTGAGTAAACAAACTCCTTACTTTAGAGATTAAAGACAAAAATAATGAGTCAAAACAGAGACATTTTCTTTACCTTATTTTATTAGCACGTTAATTAATTTCTGGGCTGTTTTCAAAGCCCAGCGCATATGCGGTAGATTGAAGAAATCTGTCTGTTTTGACATTATAAGATATGAGCACTAGGAAATGCTTTAGCTTTTGTAGTTAACATGCGTTAAACTTTGTGTAGTGTGTTTGATGTTGTCATAGTAAGCATAAGTAGTCACTAAAACTGTATTATGCATCCATCATATGTAAGATGTTAGTAGCTTATGCCCTAGTAATAATCGAATGAAAGTATAGGACTAATTATTTAGATAGATATACAATCGAACTTGGCTGCCAAAAACCTACCCTTGCTTATGATATTTGTCTTTTCATTTAAAGATTAATTCAAAGTGTATAAGAATACACGTGAGTTAAAATAATTTATACTAATTGTTTTTTATGTCTGTCGTTGCAGTCGAGTTCGAAAGTAAGACTGATGTTTATATATTACAGCCGATTTCGACTGTAATATGCAAACGCATACCATACTTTCGAGCACGAAATATTCGCATTAATACTCATAGAAACCTATTTTGCAACCGAAACCAAAGAATTTCATAATTGAGTTTACTTGCTGAAAGGACACTGAACGTAACGAGAAAAACAATTAATTTATGGAAATTCTGAGACGAAAATTAAGAATACTTCATCATAACAATTATTTTAAATTCTTTTCTGAAAATATTTTGTCTTTCTACTGTATGATAATTTCACAGGTATTTTACGGTATTTGCGTTCGTTATTCCTGTATAAAAATGATTCTTAACTAGGAACTACTCTTATATGCGCCCTCAGTTCGCCAAATTTCTCGCCAAAACTCCACGCTGCCATATTACTATCTCAATTGTTTTGTCTACATTTCGAACTTTAAGCCTAAAATGTCTCCTAAAACGCGGTTTTCGCACATGCAAAAACCCCGTTTTGAACACACAATTTAAGCTAAAATTCCGAAACAAATACAAAAAAATTCTGATAGCAAAAACGTAAAGTTTCTAACCAAACATATTTGAAAGAATCCATGTTCACAGTGATATATTTTAACTTAAAAAACATCTACGAATTGCACAATCTAGGCAACGAACGAATCTACGAACTACGCACACCTCACTTTATTAAATTAACATAACAACAATAAATTTCAAAGAATACCATGTACATAGCATTCTGTTTAAACTTGAAAAAACATCTACGAATTGCACAATCTAGGCATTGCGCACAAATCAACCAAATAAACTAAACTAAATTACAAACAATTCAAAAAACAACAATAACAACAAAAATTCATAGTAAAAAACAATTCAGCTTCTAAAAAATAAAAACAGTAAAATAAAATGCACTTACCACAATACATTCCTGAATAAAATTTCGCCAGTCACATAATGTCTCCGAACAAAAGTACCACTCCAAATCCACACAAGAACTATCAGAAACGCCCTTCTTCGTCCGTGTTCTCATAGCAGCTCCGCATTTCGGACTCTGTTTTAAAAGTCCCCAGAAATTCCAAAAATACACACCAATCCTCATAAACTTACCCGTGAGCAAAAGACTCGTTAACAATTCCAACATCGTACCTTTTAATACTAAATTTACTTTCCACACAATCTAAAATACGCGACTGAAATCTTCCCACCACGTCTATCATTGCAACATAGGCCATTTCAAAACACGCACGACACGAACCAACGAGCGATTATACCACTCCAGGAAAAGATTTTTCAACGTCCACAGGTTTGCCATACAACTCGCAATCGTGCCAAAAACCAGCGCAGAACACATATCGCCACATTTGGTGAAATTAGGACGCATATAAGAGTAGAGCCCTTAACTATGCGATTTTTAATATTTATTGTTATATGAACTATAACTAAATATTTATTTATCTTAGATTAGACCAATTTTCAAAAGCCAGAACAAAAAAACTCCGTCATGTTTCGGCAAACTAAATTGACTATATCAAAGGAAGTATAGTATGTAAATATATGGGCACTAAAAGATGCGTTTAATTTCGTCTTTTTCTCACATGCATAGATCAGCTTATCATTTTGACAAAATATTTATGTTAAGATTGAAATTGAACTTTGAAACTTCCTAGTTTTTTTTGCTAAAATCAATTTTACTTTTCGTTAGTATTGACATACGGGCAATTTACTGACTGAAAGACCAATTGTGGCAAAAATAGAAGAATTTAGCTGTCGTTTTTATTAGCTATACTTACATATAAATAATATCCAAATATTTTCTTAATAGTTTACTATTTTTAAAACAAATGAATGATTGCGTAATGAAAGAAAGCTTCCTCGCGAATCAAAATCGCAATATTAAAATCTCTTTTAACTGTACTTATCTTTACAAAGTTAGAATTTAAATATTCCGTTGCATTGATTTTAGAATTGTTTATTAATATTTGAAGCATTTTATTGAAACTATTCTTGATAAGCAATTAACGAAAAAAATTATTGCATTTATGGATAATTTTTTTATAGATGCATAAGTTGAATTTCATTGAGCTGTTGAAACTGTAACATTTTATAGTAAATGAATTTAGCTCATGAGAAAAATAATACGTGTATGATATTTATTAGATCTAGTTTACTAGTTTTCTGAATTTTAAAAGAGAAATATGAGTACTACGATTTTTTGTCTGCATGTTTTTTGAAGCATGGGAATGTTTTGAAATCCATTCACAATAACCACCCTTTTTTTATAACCTCACTACTAACTATTTTGAAAGAATGCTTGTTCTGTAAAAACTAACATGCGCAGCAGTTATAATGAAATTAAAATCATTTTTTGATGGAAGAAATCTTAAAATTTAAATTGCAATGCGTTGTTAAATGTGAACTTAATGCACATATTCTTAAATCAGCATTTAACTCTTTTGAATTGGGGGCACTTTAATGGTCTGGAACTATTTTACTCTTGTCCGCTTCCAAAGCAATAGTTATCAGCACATGTCACTGCCACTATACTTATATTATTAAAATACAATTAATTTAATTTTATATTAAGTAATTAAGTTATTAGAAGAAAATTTATGCTTGTTTTTAATAATTCAAAACTATCAGAGTTTGCATAATCTATTTGTCTTATTAACTAAAAATTACATAAGTGTTAGTACTTACATTAGTGAGATAAATGAGCCGTCGATTCTTGCTCAACTGTTCTACGTTTGGATATATGTTGGTAAGAAGAATCAGAATCATAGTGCTTTAAATCCTTCTACGTTTACTAAGACTAAAGTGCGAAGTCTGGAGGTAAGGTAAAACCGCTTATAAAATTCCTAAAATATTCAGTCCTGGGCGCAAACGTGATATACGATTGCCAAGTGTAATCTCCACACACTTGAGATTTTCAGCTGTACGCAGTTATTTTGATTTAAATGTTTTTGTCTTTTTTGGAGATATAGGAGGTCTGCAAGGATAGGGTTCGAGGACCATAAATTGGGAAACGCTGACATAAATAACAGTTACCCAAACTTTAGGATGGGGCATGGATTCTAATAATGGTTTAAAAATATTTTTAAATACTTTTAAGTAATACTAAAAGTGGTAGTGGTATGTTTTGTAAATCTGCTGAGTACGACTTATAAATATTTAACATGCAGTAAGCAGTCTAAACATCAGTAAGCATATTAACGTTTTAATATCGAAATAACCGCTTTTCGTTTTATTGAATAGTGTTCAATTCAATTACAAATCATAACATTTTAAATATGAAAATGTGGGGTACACTTTTAATGATTTTGGAAAGCGGTATTTAAAACATATAGGTGTGCAATAATGCCTTTTAAATTTGTGCAAGTTTTTGGGCTTGTGTAATTGTTTACTTATAACTGGAGATGTTTTATAATTTACTCTTCCTTGAACTTACTGTAACAACTGGATTTCTTTTTTTTTTTTTCCTTTCCTCCCTCCCTCTTCCTTTGTGGTTTGTGTGTGCTTATCGTGTGCAATTTTCTTTTTCTTCTCATCATCACTTCCCACCACCCCCTGTTTTCGAATAATGCCTTCTGCTTACACAATTTTCTCAATGCTTTGAATTCTCAAATGCTCACGGAATTTTTCCCCATTTGCACCTTTCTAAAACATAACCAATTCGGCTTGCTTTGCGTCGTCCCTTCTAATAACGCGATGTCGCATGCCAATCCCGTAACCAATCACAGGCCAGGCTTCTTTTCTGATGTTGCTGATAGTGCCCACTCCACTAGACTCGGAAGAAAAATTGCAGGAGAAGAAGGATCTCCCTCCACTCCAGTGACCGAAGAAAAGCGGTTCGCTTCTTCTCTTCTCGAGAAGCTAATTCAGTACATGGATATTACTGCAATCAGTATGAAGCTTCTGAAACCGAGTGGAAACTACAGCAGAAGGATGAGCTTTAAAACATCTACAAGGGATGTCAAGTTTTTCAGCAAGGTATTCTTCATTTCGTGCTTCAAATATTTTCAGGAAAGTGAACTATAGGAAACGAATTCTAAAATATTTATTTTCTCTCTGAAATTCGATTACGTATGTAAATTAAGGGAGGAAAACCGATATTGTTTACTATATATAAAATGCTCAGAAAAACATGACTTGGCTATTCAGGACGGGGAAAACTCATTGTTTGCAATTCGGTTTATAGCAAAATCGCTTTTATTTCAAATCAAAGGAATAATTTAGTTGGATATAGTATGCGGGTGATATTTTCAGTAGCTGAGGTTAAAAATAAACAGCTATAACATTCCTAAGCAAAACTATACATCACTATGTATATACTTATATATATATATCACTATGTATATACTTATATATATATCACTATGTATATAAGGGTGAATTAGAAATATGGCTATATGTTTGAAATAAAACTGGTGTGTTACTGTAGAAGGAAAGAGAGAAAGTCGTATAATTTTTCTTTCATTTGAAATAAGAACAAAATTGGAGCTTAACGTACAGCAGTAAGTTGTAGTTGTAATGCAGGCGTTTGCTATTAACTTACAACCCAAGTTGCAACTGCAACTTGGGTTGTTTTTACCATTTTATTCAGAGAATCATCTGTTTTGTAATTATGAATGATCGTGAGGCTTAACGCTAGAGAAAGCTGGTTTTAATACAGAAATGTGGACCTTGATTAAGCCGAAAAAGACTGCTTATTACGAGGAAAATGTACACAAGAAAATCTCATGAAAGAATCGGCAACGATATCGCCAAAGAGTGGAAGAATTCGAAAGGGCTAGCAGTTTAAAGCAATATAGCGATGTTAGAATTGTTGTGCATTGCTCTTAAGTTTAGAAAATTTAATTTCTAAGTCATTCGTTTAACCTCAAATGGCTTTATCTCATTTTCACCAGGTCCGCTTAAGGTCATCTAGGGTCCGATTGAGACTTCTAGAGGACGCAAGCACGCTAAAATGATTTTGTTTTCCACCATATACATTTATAAGTAACATGTTTGTTTTCCTTATTCCTTTTTTTTCTCGTTCTTGATTTAGCTACACACCTTAAACTGTCACATATCACTATATGACAGTTTAACTTGTGTAGTTTAAGGTGCTAAAACATATTTTCAGTTCAGTTTCAAAACGTCCACCTTTCGTTTTTGACCGTACCACACGGATGATCTTTTTGGTTATCTCTTTCCATATTGCGAAGGTGACGAGGGTTCAACAATTCACGGTGGTCGTAAAGAAAAAATACAGCGCACACCCTGGTTCCCCCAAATTTTAGGCGGATTAAAATAATTCCTCATTAATACCATCAAGGATGTGGAATCTCTGAAACTGGAGATAAATTGATCGTCAAATTCTTTACCTGCCAGACGGGTTTTTGACAACTTTTCTGTGGACTCCCAAAATAACGCGCGGTTGTAGGCCTAATCCCTCGCCCGCAGGTGTATTTTGTAGTATTGCTTTGTGTACTTTATACTATACGAGTACAAATCTCAGCCAGTACAATAAACTACCCAGGGGGGACTCTGATGAGGTCACGAGTGAGATTCGAACTCACGATCTTTTTTGTAATCAAGCGTACTGGCCTTTGAATTAGCTGTAAGCAGCGGTAGGAAATAAAGAAACTCGTTTTCTCGAAAATGTTTCTCCTAGATACACGCGACGTTAGATGTAATGTCTCCATTACACTCCATGGCAATATCGGCAATGGAGGAATTTTTGTGCTGTCCCCCTTTCTTAGATTTTCTAATGCTATCTTCTTGACGCTCTAATTAAGCGCTTGTTTTGCTTAACGGTAACACAGTTTTGACCCTAGTTGTAAACCCGTCATCACACATTGCCTTTGAAAACATGTAGGAATGTTTCTGATTCACCCTGTGCATATCTACATTCTAATACACTCATATAACTTTTATATTAAAATTATATAATACATAGGGTAAGTCAAAATGCATGCCCCAATTTCATAGGTGCACTACACAAAATGTTATAAATGTATTCATTAAAAATGTTCATGCATGCAGAGGTAATATAAGCAAGTTTTATACGTACTCCTCTCAAATTTTCAACATGCACTACTTTTGATATACCGCTTACATGAAGTCTGAAATCTAATTCTTGCCAAACTTTGGTGCAGTATATCTGTATTGATACTAGCGATAGCGACTGTGATACAGGCTTTCAAATCAGTCATGATCGTTGGACCTGGAGGCACATGCATGCGATCATTTATGAACCCCCACAGGGAAACAAATCTCATGGCATGACATACGGGTGGTGGTGTGCATTGTCTGTGGTAGATACACGACTAATTCACAGCTATGGTAACGTGTTATTTATCATAAAATGTGTAGTAACGTGTAACTATTCAAAACTTGCTTATATGTCCTCTACATGTATGTATATTCTTAAAGACTACATTTATTATATTTTGCATACTACACCTATGAAATTGGGGTATTCATTTTGACTTACCCTGTATATTTCTATTAAAATTAATGAGTGATTTATTTGAATTTTTTCCCTGACAACTTTTGCGGGCAACTGTATTACGCTATCATTTGATGAGCAGTCCATATAGATTTTGTAGAATAGAAAGACAACCTGAAACAACAATATTCTTGTTGTTATCGCATTCATAGCACCATAGAACTGTTCTTCGTTTAAAACGAATAGTACTCAAATGAAATTTTCTGGTGAAAAAAACGTTTAGGTTTAATTCTTTATTTCTATCTTATGTTGTTGTGGACTGAGTTAAGCTCATTTTCAGAAATATATATATATATTTGTTTTTACTTTTGAAGCCATTTTTGTCAAAACGCATTTTCTAAACGCATTTTGCATCAAATAATTAAAACATTTCCTTTTAGTTATTTTATTTTCATTTAATTCACGTAAGAAATATCATTGACATCTGTAACTGAAAGAAATACAATTTGGCTTAAATTTAGACTAATCTGTTGCACTGCGTCTTCTGGAAGAAAGTGAAAAATCGCGTGACGAAAATTGTTCGTGCGCACCCATATACACACTCGCTGGCTCCCGTATTCGTACACAAATAACGAATCGAAACATCAGTTTTAGACACAGTCTTCTAACTCTAAAACAACTGTAAATTTCCAATATATTGGAGTAATGGTAACGGACAGTATACATAAAGAAATATACAATAGAAGAGGAAAGAAAATTTGTTCATAAAAAGAAAAAAAAAGTCATTGCAGATCAAATTATCCTCATAATTGCAGTTTTAAAAATGATTAAAAAATTTACCGGAATATTTATTACTTTACACTTTGACAAATCAACTATTTTCAATAAATTCTTTTCTTAAAATAAATTTTAACATAATCGATATAGCAATAAATTCGACTGTAGAAAAGCAACTTTCACACATTTCACATCTCATTACTTTTCATGAATTATACTGAAATCAATTGAAACAGTGGAAATAATTTTATTAGAAAAAATTACATATGCCAAAAAAAATTGTAGAACTGGTGGTGTATTTAATTAAGGCAAAGCACATGAGGGCTATCTGCCTAAGGGGAAGGATGCCTTCGTGGAGGACTTTCTAAGGAAAACTGGCTCGTATACACGTTACACGTGGGGAAAACCACGAAAACAACCATTCAGCCAGCCCGTTCGCGGGATTCGAACCTCGGACCGAACTACCAGTGTTCAGCGACTTTACCGCTCGGCCGCTGGTGGGCAATTGTAGAACTGAATGAAGAGCTTACGAACTCCCTGATTCCGTCTTACTTTTTTTGCTGTTTTTATTTGAACAAGGTTTTAATTACAATCTTAAAGAAAGAAACTAGCAAAAACATAGACAGAAATTAAATAACACAATCACAATATGTTCTACAATGGCGATCTTTGGTTATGTAAAATTTGCTCCCATAATTGCATTACCTTTATACTTGAGAAATATCATTACAAATTGTGACATGATCTTGTCAAGTACATACTTAATTTTTGTTTACGTCGAGATAATTCCTGATTTCACCAGCAAGCAGAACGTTATGCAGATTCGTTAAAACGCCTTTTGGAGGAATATATTCCAATATATGCAAAGAACCTACGTTAGAAATTTTCTTCTGTGATGACTTTTAATACATAATCTTCATATCAGATAATTTTCCTAGTTGTAACTATTAAGTTGGATGCTGGGATTTATCACAGCGAAGACTAAAAGTAACCTTTAAATATTAGTTAATATATCCGAATTTTAAGAATGTTTTTCTTTCTACTGTAGAAGAAAAAGCAATGCAATTAAGAATGAATCAAGAAGTGCATATATATATATATATATTTCTCTCTCTTATATGTGTATTCTACTGTATATAAAGTTCTATGTATTTTTGTATGCACATTTCTAACATGTTTCTGCACGTATGTTTATAAAATACTTTTATGTTAAGGTTGTTTTGCCACTGATGGAAAAATACTTCTCTTCGCAAAGAACATTTTTCTTAGCAGCTGCGACCAGCACAGCAACTGCAACAAATGTCGGAATATCAACAGTCAAAGAAAAAGAAATGGTGGCCAGGTAATACGGAACTTATGTTCGAGTAATTAGCTAAATTGTTTTGAAAGTTACGTCCCATTTCAGGTTTTCCTAGATTAATTTTTTTAAAAAAGTCCCATTTCAGGTTTTCCTAGATAAAAATATTTTCCAAAAAACGTCCCAATTCAGGTTTTCCTAGATAAAAATATTTTTTTAGAAAACGTCCCATTTCAGGTTTTCCTAGATAAAATGTTTTGAAAAAAAAATGTTCCTTTTTAAATTTTCTCGATGAAATAGATAAGGAAAATACCAATTTTAGCCTTTTCATTTGAGGTTCATGCAAAATCCTAAAAATGTGTTTTTTACAGTACAATGAAATACGTTGGAAATGGTATCGTAATGTAGCTCCCCCTCTTAATTTTCGTGTTGAGGCAATGTTTAGATACAACATTTATGTCCCATATTAGTGCTATTTAATAAAGTAAACATAAACATTTTTATTTGTTTACAGTTCAGTGTTTTTATTATCTGTATATATAGCCACTCTGATTTTTGAAGAATAACAGGGTACAAAATATTTTGAAATTTATGTGCATGTCAGCGAGATCTGCGGTCTTGTAGTGATGCATACCGCTCGAAAATCGCACGGGAAATGGAGATTTACGCCAGCAGAACCCTGTCATCTACCGCTCAACAGAGCCCTGAATTGACCTCAGCAATGAATGACCGCTTGTATGTCTCTGTATATCTCAGAGCGCCATTTGGGCACACGCATTCTACTTGTATAACAAAATCTATTTATTTCGGCACTCTACATTGCCTACCGATCCACTCTACATTGCCTACCGGTCCACTCTACTCCTCTATTTTTGAATCTATCTGTATATTATATATGATGGTGACTGTCCGTAATGGAACACAATAACTGTAGTACTGATGACATAGTAATATCAGCAGTACTGACTGTAATGAGCAAGAAGTATTGAGAACTGTGAGTAGTACTGATTGCCACAATGAAACACATGATTGTACTGATACACAATGGCTGATTAAAATAGAAATATACTGATAAACGATGGCTGTAGTACTGACTATAATGAAGGCACACAATAATTGTAATGAAAAAGGCGTATTGTGAATAGCATATGTACTATATAGTATAGGATTTCTGCACACACTTGAATGTACTATCTTGTAATTTATTTCCGAGTTAGTGCAACAGTAATCCTAATTGAGTACTTTGTAATATTGTTCTTAATGCAATCTGCATCATGTATAATCATCATTGAGTCATGGAGTATACATACAGAGAACTACTGCCTCAATATAATGTATACCGAGCAATGTAAAATGCCAGCAGATCTATCTTAATTCAGTTATTTTTGCCGATAGATGGCGTTACCTCCTCGCGTTTGGTACTACCAGAGGGTATAAAAATCCGTTCAGTGGTTGCTTTCCATTATTTGAAGGTCAGATTTTGAGCGTAAAGTGCATTTGTCCCTCGCTCCCTATTTTAACTTCGCTAATATTTCTTTATGCTCGATCAGATAGCCTGGTTCAGTAAAAGTAGGCGGCCAGTGCAACTCTGATTAAAAATCTTGTTATAACCACGTGCAGTGCTGATAAGGACGACGTGTTTCTGTGACTACTTCTCCTATTTTCTTCTTTCTATGTATTTCTTTCTCCTGATGAGGCGGGACCTTTAGCTGCCCTCGAAATCGATTGAGTGTTTCATTATACCTACGCTAAATACATGGTTGTTTTTACGATTTTGATTGTCACATTAGCGTGTTTCTCTTCTAGTCTAAAGTAAAATGTATTTAATGAATAGTATAAATATTGAATGTAGCATATTGTACCTCAGAATTCGGCAACCTTGTAGCTGTGGTGTGCCAAACCAATCTGCCAGTATGATTCAGGGTGTCGCGCAGTAGGAAATATTTGAAACAATTTCGATTCGCGCAGCAGTGCATGCATGGTGTCCCATAGAGACATGGGCTCTGTTAAGGAAAGAATACAGATTTAGATATTAATTATGCATAATATATTAATTATGTATGATTTAAATGTATTTATTAATATAAAATATAATTATTCCATCAATGTACTAAAAGAACATTTTAAATTATACGTAAATATGTATCTTTTAAACATATTTATTAAAATTTAATATTTGTTTTACAGCCTCTTCTGCAAACTGGCTGGAATACTAAGATCAAAACTGAGTGTCTTTGGAAGTGATGCACGAATATCAGTGAAGTGCTTACAAGTTTTAATTAGAGCAACCGACGCAAGGTAAATATACATAGCCTAATACAGCTGTTATTTTTCTCAACTCTCCGGTCATGTATTAATAAAAAATCATATCAATAATAATTTTATATTTATATGTAAAACTGTTACCTCATGCTATTATTTAGAAAATTTTATCTCTATTAAGCTTTCACTCATTCTGCAGTAGAAATGTAAATTACCGTAATTTCCGGAAGAAAGGTCGCATCAGCGTAAACGCCACACTCGAGATAAATGGCGGGAAAAAAATTAAAATTACACAGAAACGCCGCAATAGATTAAATTGCGCGTGACATCGTCGTGGGCCGTATAGATGCAAAAACTCAACCTAAGTCCTGATATATGACATACCAGCTAAGAAAAATGCATGAAATGAAACCATAACTCAAAAATAAATTAAAGGTCAGAAATGTATAGCTTCTGTGCCGTTTAGAGACATTTTCCTCTCCCTAATTAAAAACTATCCAACAAGTACTTGTACCCTAACTGATGGGATCTGTATTTGGCAGAATGCCAAGAAAAATGCATTGATGCTGAAGGGGAAATACGTCAGAGTTCGTTATTGCGAGGCAGGTGGACTCGTGTCCGCCTTTGAAAAAAATTGCAGAAAAGGCAGGGGTGGAAAGAGGATGGGTCCTGGAAGATTCATCGAATGGCAGAGGAGAGAAACTATTCAAACTGATGAGAATGTTGATTTGAAAGGGGGAAGAATGTTATTATTCTGAAATCTCGTTTAGGGTGAATAAGGCATGTAGATCCGTTCAAGCGAAAGAACGTAAACAAAATAACGTTCGCAAAAAGCAACTGAGTGGTCTTTTGTGTGGGAACAGCACCAATCTATGCACAATGACTATGCCATCCAAACTATGTACAATGACCATCATAGGAAATATTTTATTTTTAGTGCACCTAAACGTCGCATGGGTAGAAACGCCGCACCCGCTGAAAATTTAAGTTTTAAACACGTAAACGCCGCGGCGTTTCTTCCGGAAATTACGGTAGTTAAATAATGTGACTTCTCAGCCATAAAAATCTAACGATAGTTACATGGGTTTGTCGTAAGTTCAGAGATCTAGTTGATATAACGTTATATGACCAAGATCTGAAATTCTCTGGATTCCTCACATCGCCTCCTTATACATAGTAGAGACACATTAGGAGCTCCATCAGTTTCAGTTAGCTTTCTAAATCAGTTCTTTTCAGATAGATTAAATATTAATTTATTTATTTTAAACAAGAGGCTTGGAGTAGTGGTTCTTTTCTAAATCATGGAATTATTGGTTTTTAGTACTGACCTGACGAATGATAAGAGATTTTTTTCCCTTAAAACTTTAAACTAAACCAAGTCGTAGTATTTTCTAACATAGAAGCAAATATGTGAATTTATCTACTAGTAATATATTGATTTGTAAACCTGATAAAAATCAAAATTCGAAGATTTCATAAATTGAACAGCATTTTAATATTCATGTTAATTAAGGAGAAAGAAATGACGTCACTTTTACACTTGCTTTCTGTAACTTTGTAATAAATTTTCATTCATTCTTAGCCCGTTTCTGGAGTTCTTTAATTATCATTAAGCTGTATTGACATCCCATATTCCTCTGTTTGTATCAAAATGTTTTTTTACGATTATCATTTATTTAAGCTTTTGTACAGATTGCTACCAATTCCTAAACGACATCACTCGCTGAGAATTTTTGTTGGTTTTCTACTAAAAAAAGGAGGTCGTTGTGATTCTGGAACACATGATTTCATGCTAAATTATTTTGTGCACAAAAATGCCTCGTTTATGAATATATTCGTGGCCACAATCATAACCTTAGAACACAGAAATTTACAAAATAGCTATTGCGTAGAGAGTCCTTTTTTGTATCATCATTTCCTCATTTATTCATTCAAAACAGCTATGCTTTATTATTTGTTTTATAAAATTAGCTTCTGTATGGAAGAATACCTATATTGCTTTATAATTATTTATATTGTGATTATTATTACCTATATTGATTATTACCTATATTGTGATTTATAACGTGTATTTTGATTTTAAATTTCTTTCTAGAACAATAGCCAAAAACTGTCCCGATTTCGTGAAGACTTCAATGTTAACCTTTTTCAATCAAGCAGCCGATGATCTTGCTCAGCTGGTTACGAACTTAGCACAGGGCAAATACAGTCAGCTTAGAGGAACTACGATGAAAACTTCGTCTTCTCTCAATTATATTCAGCTAGTTTTACTGCCAGTGCTCACAGCATTGTATGACCATCTAGGAGCCAATGAGTTTGGATGCGATTTGATCTGTAAGTTTCTTTTCGCTATGTAAAGTTAATGACCTAGACATATAGAGGCTCATTGATTTACATTCATTGATGAACTACATTAAATATAATCTGTAGACCCAGAGATTAAGATACAAGCAATGAACTTGTAAGTTTGGTAGCTTAATATAGGAGTCTTCTTAATCTTTTTTATTGTGACGAATTTAAGTAGATTTGTCCATAAATTACAAATGACTGTGATAGTTTTATGTGTTAAACATTAAAAATTAGATTAATATTTGAAATATTTACGAGAAACTTGTAGTGTCCGGGCGGTTTACCCTCTGTCTGGATACAGGAGTAGAAGGAAACTACACAAAAGAAGGATTCAAACCCTTTATTAACTCTTTAAAATTTACACTGCGTCAACATGACGCTAAAAAGCTTCGCCTCTACTTGGACGGTAACTGAAAAAGCAGGTAATTGAAAATCAAAACTTGAAATGTTTAACAAGTGCTAGCCCAACTCTCTCACTTCCCTTCTAAAACCACGATATTTAAACTTTCAAAGTAGAATAATAGTTTCAAAGTAGAATATTTAAATTTTCAAAGTAGAATTTGCTTTCTTCCACGAGCGCTACCAAAATTTAACTATTCTGGCACTGGCAATTAGGGTGTGTGTGTGTATGTGATTATGGCAAAGGCTGTGATTATGGCAAAGGCTCGAGGGCTATCTGCCTAAAGGGAGGGATGCCTTTGTGGAGGACTTTCTAAGGGAAACTGGCTCGTATATACGTTACACATGGGGAAAAACCAGGCAATTAGGGGAATGAAGGCTTATAGGAAAGTCTGAACTAAAATTTAAATTATTAGTTAAATATAAATCCCTACAAACTAATTCCAAGGAAAATTTAAAACTGTAGTCTTTTGGTTTGTTTTTGACATCATTCATCTTGACTGCTACTGAAAATTGTGAACTATTGTGTTGTCCTGAAGTTTCTGCGATTATTTTGAAGGGTAAGTGTTTATGTAGCAATAGCAAAGCAGTTAAACGTGTTTTTGAATAATATAAGTATTCCGTTTAACAATATTTAATCATCTCAATGGCAGCTGAAAAATTCCCTTCTCAAAGAAATCTTCAGATTGATATCTAAAAATTTATCAAGACAATATGTGAAAACCTCCGATGAAATGAGGCCATTGACAGAATTCTGGAGTGGCCCAAACAAACGAAAATCCCATGGAGCTAGGTCATGTAATATGAACTGTCGAATGTTCATAGAAACATGAAACTGAACATTATTGGACAGTACCTTAACGATTTGGTGAGATATGGGCAATCGCATCGATTTCTGGTTTCAGAACTGCCATCTGCAAGTAGTATTTCTCTAAACTCATGGTTAAACGGATGCAACTCATATAAAGTAGTCCTGTATTGTTCCGTCATACACAAATACACAAAACATAACATTTTTGAGGTGGAGCCTATTTGTGGAGGTCACTCATGGAAAATCTTTTGTCCATGATCTTTTTCTCCTAATCATCTCCAGATCTTAAGTTTCTTTCTTCTTTCGTCTCTCAAGCTTCTTCAAATGGTCATATAGTGTGCTTTCAGAATTTTTAATCTATCTGCTAGTTCCTAAAGTGTATAAGGGGGATTTTCAACCATAATTTCTTTAGCAAATTCCATTTACAGAGGAAGGATGTTCAAAGTGAGCATCATCTTTGAGAACTCTGCTTAAAATTCTCAAAGTATTTTTGAACTGTATCATCAAACATAGTAATTTTTGAACAAGAAAGTGAAATGTTGAACAAGCCAAACCAATATTCTATTGATCATTCCACATAGTATGCAAAGTTTACGAGGCGTCTTACTAGCATTTTTCCTTTTTTGGAAATATAGAAAGTCCTCCACGAAGGCATCCCTCCCTTAAGGCAGATAGCTCTCGAGTGCTTTGCCGTAATCTAATAAAACCAAAAAAAAAAAAAAAAAAAAAAACCCTTTTTGGAAATAAAAAATATTATGATGAATATGTATTTTTTTATCCTTTACTTTTAGCACTGCACTGAAACATAGTTCTTTTCATGTAAAGTAACACTAAAGCTACCATACATGGAAAAAATAAAACAACATGAGCAGTAAATCCCAATGTTTCTTATGAAGTCTAATCAAGGAACTCCCAATTATTTTTAACAAAAATATGAGAGGAATTTGCGCTTGTTTTTTAAAAAACGCAGAAATTTCCAGCTGATCCTAAATTGCTTTTAAATTATTTTGAAATACCAAGATGTGTATTATCATTTTCGTACTTTGTTTTATACAAAACTTTAAATATGAAATGAGCAATGTTTTAATACAAATAATTACATTTTAAATTTATATTATCAACTAATTATGTTTTTAATTAGTAACTTATTATTTTTTAACATAAAAGTTATTAAAATGTGCTCTGTGTTAACTTAAATTACTTAAAACAACAAAAAAGATAAGAACATCCCTTTTAAGGTAAAAAATTTAGTTTCTTAAATTACTTAAAACAACAAAAAAGTAAAAACAACTCTTTTAAGTTAAAAAAAAATTAGTTTTGGTTGGAACATATGATCCGGTTAATTCCGGTCATAGTATTTGGACTCTGGATAACTGGAGTCTACTGTATTTTAAAAGTATGGACCTAAAGCGATATGAAATTTAATTTTCACAGCATATTTCTTTTTTTCTTTTAGTAAATGAAGTCCAAGTAGCTTGCTACAAAATTTTAAACAGTCTATTTACCTTGGGAACAAAGGTAGAGCTGAGTAATAGTAGGTTAGTATATTTCAAAATAATTAAGATTTAATTGCAGCTTTCTTACTTTCAGCTGTTTAAGTCCTTTTTTATATTAAGACACAATAACACGCCGAATAAATACTAATTCAGAAGTCAAACAACAAAAATCAGCGTTATATTTACAAATTTTGTAAATATACCGCTGATTTTTGCTGTTTGACTTCTGAATTAGTCCTTTTTATATATTAAAGTACAGGGTAGGCCAAAATTATTGATCGCATTTCACATTTCATTTGCGTGCCACAAATAGGCCTCAGGTGAAAGTTATTTAATGTTTAAAGTTTTGTTGTTTAAAATTGTTTTAGATTATTTTCCAAGGAAAACAATAAACGTGTACACACCTAATTTTGTTCTCTTTTATTTTTTTTCAAACATGAAATTCGCTCAATAATTTTGGATCACACTTTATATCTCAAAAAAACAAAATTTTTTGAAAGCAATTTTTCAATGAAAAAGGCTCTTTTTACTTCCTTGTACGAAGTAAAAAGGAAGTATTGTAATCGCGAAAAGTTTCAGGCAGCATATTTCAACGAAAATATCCATTTTGATCGCTATCGAATGCAATTTAACGATGTTTTTCCGTGATATCTGTACGTAAGGACAGAATAAAAGACTCGTTTCCTTCAAAAAGTTATAAAACTGCTTTAAAATGAATTCTGAAGAGAATATTTCGTGGCGTCTGTACGTACGTATCTCGCATAACTCAAAAACCAGTAACCTCAGAACGTTAAAATTTTGTATATAGGACTGCCATAACATGTAGATGTGCACCTCGTATTTTGGTTGCAATCGGCCGCACCAAACGTATATAAATATATTTGTATATCCACTCTGTTACCTGGCTCAGTGATCTCAGCTTCTTTACTCGTATATGTTTGTAAATTGTACATTTTTTGCTTTAAAAATGATTGAATTATGTTGTTCTTATCTTCCGTTTAAGGTTTTTATGCCTTTAGTTAATCTCTATGCAATATTTTTAGAATTATCCACAATTTTAAAGTTGTTTAAAGGCCGATAAGCCTAATACTTTTCTTGACGGCGGCCATTGTTTGTTTACATTTGAAACAGCAGGATAGTGGATTTGTTGCCTATCTAGAGAAACTTAGCTTCGCAACAACAAAGATAATGCCTTCATTTATTATTGCGAATTAAATCATGCTTATTCCTTTCTGGAATTTTTTCGAGGAAATATGTGTTTAAGATTTACTTCGTAATTTTTAATACAGATATTTTGAGTTTTTATGTATTTTTGCCTTGACGCGAAGTGAGAACTGAATTAATTGAATGAGAAATACCCAATCGTCTGTGGAAAACTGCAGCTTTGTTGTTTTGTTTGCTTAATTTCTTTTATACATCGTTCTAGTTTTATTATAGTATTTGAATAGGACATGTGGCAACGATTAGATAATTCTTTAAATGATGTAAATTTTGTGCAATCTGAGTTATAATATGAACGAAATATAATACTTTTAAGTGAACCTAGCGCCAGAGTGTCGCTATGGTAAACAAATAGAGTGAATTTTAAAAAATGCATTTATTCTATTGTGGTTTATGCGCTGTCGGCGAAGTAGATTTAATTCAATCCAATACGTTTAAATGAAATGCAAGAAAAAATGAGTATAATTTAATATTCCGTACAAGGAAGTCATGTGGTGTACACATCAGATTTTTTTTTTTAATTTTCACTAAAAAACGAATGTTAAGTTAAAATGAGTAAATTTCTCGAAAATATATCTAGATCGAGAAAATGTAATGACAAGTCAAGAAATTTGACTCAGTTAATAATTTTGACTGTTTATTTTACATCTTTTGGTTCAGTTAATTTTTTATATTTGTTATTTTCTTTAAAGTTATAATTTTATTAATTATGTTTATTTTTGTTTGATATTAATTTCACATTTTATCTGGTATATGATTATTTTTATTTATTTTTTAGGAAATTTATCAAAACAGAAATGGGCAGGTATATCTGAATGCTTTTAATTAAAACACTTCTTTGCAAATTTCGTGAGATTTTATTTTTATTTTGTTACTTATTTATTTGTTTTTTTTTCGAGTTGTAATTTTGTTTTATATGATTTTGCATTTACTATTTATTACGAAATTTATTTTATGTTTTTCCTTTCAAATTTCACTTTTCTTCTTTAAATGGCGGATATGTAGTGAGGAAATTAAAAATTAAAATTTTTAATTATATTTAAAGTATTATAATTAGAGCGAAAAGAGAACTCTAGAAATGCTCTAAAAATAAATTTTTGGTGCTTAAATTGACTATCTTTTTTATTTTATTAGACATCGTCCAGCTCTAGGTAATTGTCTAGGTGCTTTCGCTGGCACTTTTCCTGTAGCATTCCTGGAACCTATGTTGAACAAGCACAACCAATACTCCATTCATGGGCGTTTACAAGAAACTTCACTAGAAGCTCAAGGTGCGTAGGAAAAGAAAGCCTGAAATCAAATTTCTTAATTCACAGTCTATAACATTTTATGTCACCATCATTATACAGTCAAATGTCGTTAATTCGGACACCCATGATTCGGAATGATCTATAATCCGGACCTCAAAACTAAAAACTTTCTGCGCATGCGCCGCGTTGACACATGCGCATAGGCGTTTACGCGTGCGCATAAGTCCTTTTACGACTGTGCATATGAGTGTGCGCAAGTGCAGAATACGTTTTCGCGTGCGCGTTTTATGTATAATGGACGTATAAGGTAAAATTATCTAATTATCTATTTCAGTTAATGTTGATGATTGCGTTGTTCCTTAATTTTCGAATTGGATCCGGTTTATTATTTTTTGCAGACTGTAAGAGCAATTTTATAAAAGTAAGCTTAAACTTTCGATTATATCAAATAGAATTTCCGATATATATTTGTTAATATGTAAAGGATCTAAAGCGAAAGTATGTTTTGAAATCCGAAATCTGTTTATCAATTTCACGCTGCTCAGCGGGGGGAACGCCGTAGCGGGCGCGTAATGAATTGGAAGTTGATCTGTCAGCACTATCCTTATCTTCAGAGCAGATGTTTTTATTTTATTTGGCTTATAATTACTTACCAAATTAGTATTTCATCTCGATGTGCTCCGTCTTTGATATGATTTAAAACAAGTTCCTCGTCATTATAATTCGCTTCCGATAGCGAAGAAAGTAACAGAGGTTAGTGAAAACGAAAAATTTCGATTGACAAATTAGTCGGTGTTCTCGACACAGCAATTATAGTACTTGAACAGCGGAACTTTGTAACTGAACAAGAAATTATGTCTGTTTAATAGAATTAAAGAGAAAGTATTATCACATGAAACGAAGCAAAACTTAAACAACTTACGTTGAAAGAAATGTTTAATAAAGTAAACAAATAAATATTAAGCTTTTTCTTTTTGCAAATTTTGATACCCTTTAGATCATAATTGTTCTTTATTCCATAAATTACGGTTTCATATTTTTAATTTTAGAATTTCTGCTTGCCATCTTACGAGATTTAAACTGATGATCTATAATCCGGAATCGCCGAAGTCCCGACGAGTCCGGATTAACGACTTTTGACTGTATAAGACAATTTTATTAATCTCAGTCATTCGTACTTTTAGCTGTGATGGCGGAGATGGAACAAAGTATGCCAACTCTAGATGATTTGATGTCTCAAGTGGAGAAATTTGTAAACAGTGGTGGAAAATATTCTGATACTCCAGCTGTAATTGATGTCATTATTCCCATGTTATGCAGGTAAAAAAATAATTTTTTCTTACAAAAAAATGTTAAACATATATATTTTTTAATTTTACACTAAACGAATTCTGCAGTTTTTCAGAATAAGAAGTTTTTTTCTGAATAAAATTTTTTACTTTTTATTAATTAACATGACATATGGAAATTTGATTAAAATAAGCTTAAAAACAATTGAACTATAATTAAAAACCAATTCAGCCAGTCTTCTAGAACATTAATGACCATATTCGTAAAGTACTACTATTTGTCTCCTGAGGTTGATTCCTCACGGTAAAACAGATTGGCAATACAGGTACTTTAGTGGCTTTCAAACTATAGGATGTAATTTTTACATACTACAAATAGTTTTGTAACTATATTTGATGTAGTTAAGAGCCTGTTTTGCCTTCTAAGGCTACATCTGCAAATTTGCGCAGTAAGAAGGCATATTTTATTGCTGCGTAAAGTTGGTTTGTGAATATTTGAATACTAGATTAGTACTTTGTAGAGTTCCTCACTTTGTAAATGCTAAGTTACAGTTGAACGTGAAGAATCTTAAGGACTGATAAGCGAATAATCGCTTGAGTTCCTGTGACAAGAAACAACAAGATGGAAGGGTAAATAACCCTTTATTATTCAAATAAGATTTAACAGAACTCCGTCTTGGAGTGTACAATAAAAGCCGACATTTGGGCTTGAACTTAAGAGGCTAAGAAGTAAACTAAACGTAATCTAAACTAAAGAGATATAGCCGAAGCTATCAAAGTTTTAATGGAGTTGGCCCCTTAAACACGAGATGACTGCGAAGCTATCAAGGGCCTAAGTATGGCCCAGCGTAATAATAGCTTACGAGAGAGTTGCCTAAAAAGGCGGACGCGTGCAGACAGAATACCTGGTAACTCTCTCCCTAAGACCGAAGAACTTCGCGGTTAAATACCGCTCTTCCTCATTATGCATTCAGACGTGATTTTAAAACTACGTTCCGGCCGGAAGTAGTAAGTTGAAGTTAAGAATCGACAGGAAAGGAACTTTAACTTAAAATGTAACTGTTAATAAAATTAACATAATCCTTACAACTCTTACGTACATAATCTGAACACTTCATATTTGCAACTTCTGTTTGAGGCGCGAAATATTTCGGGCAAGTGTAAACATGGGTACCGCCTATTTCTCAAACCTGACTGATGCTATTGTTTTAGCAATGTAATCCAATCGAGTTCCGAATGTGACTGAATAAAATGCCAGTAATGTCATCTTACAGCCGAAATGTCGGTGATAGAAGTGCTGGATTATTGAGCATACATCTTTGGATGCCGGACTGCAGGATTTTTATAACAGTATTGATTTCGTGATTGTGTTTTCTTTTATTTTGGTCATGCACAAATATATCAATATCATATTTCATTTTCCTTGGAGCAATTCAATAAAATACATAATAATTGTTTTCAAAATTATCATCGCTTTATTAAAATTATGTTGCTTTGTTTTAAAAATCATTATTGCTTTATTAGACCAAAAGGCGCTAGCTCATAAGGACTATTATTTTCGTTTTGGCATTTCGCGTTGGTTCACTATAAGTGTGGGTACACTTTTCAAATTGTTGCCACCAAATACTATCGCCCTGTTATATTTGAAGAAATTATATAAATGAAGAATCTGCATAAATGTATGTATGTGTCCTCGCATTGTGATAAAACAACGGTACCTCGAGACGTCAAATTTTGAATAACGTAATCCTCCACTGAATATGGGCATCTGGAAGCCCTAATTTGGAAAATGGAATTCGTTTTATTATCTATTTCATATTTTGTTAGTCATTAGAAGAATTTTTTATTAACAGACTTAACGATTTCAAAGCGAGCAGTGGCAACACTATACGGGGAAAAATATTTTTATCTCCAGCACGCGAGACTATGTATCGGAAATTTTAAAGATATGTTTGTTCTTTGAAATATTTTTTGATATTTATGTTGAACTTAATTTTATGGTTTATGTGCGGAGAACATGATATTTAATAATTAAAGATAACGCACAAAACATTAAAAAACGCCGCTTTGGGCATAATATAAAATTTGAAAGCTTTCAGATTTTTTTTTAATTTTGTTTTTGAATGTTTAGTTTATATATAATATGTATCAATCGTGTATGTATTTAATAGCATTAATTAAAATCCACTTCAATGTCTCTTCTTTAGTTATTTGCCATTTTGGTGGAGTCAAGGACCAGATAACGTAAATGTACAATCTGGGTAAGTAGAATGACTAGCATAATGAAGCAAAAAATCGGCCAGAATGATAATTTTTTAAAATCTCTAATGCTTTATTAATAATTAGAATTTGTTACTTAAGCATTTTCAGATACAATATATTTAAATTAAGCATTTCCAAGATATGATATATTAAAATTATTACAATTTATATGCATAAAATGTACTAAATGATTTAAAACGTTTAGAAAGCTAATCTCTTTGGAGTTTATTTTAAAACAATGAGCTATTTTCTCTGTTTATTGGCATTTTAATAGTACAAATAGATACTCAATTTTGGTTAATCTTTGGATTATGGTAACTTGGCGAATTTTTGGCGAAATATTGGCGACCAAACCTGCTACAACAACCTGCTAGTTTTTGATTGGACGCCATTTTGTTTTCACGAAGCAAAGGCCTTTTTTCTTTTTTTCCTCAACATTTTTTTCCAACAATCTTCTAGTCGAATTACGCTTATGCTAGAACTTTTATGGAACAAAAGTGCTTAATTATGACGAAAATTAGGTGCGAAATTGGGAGAAAGTGCAGAATCGCAAACTGCTTGCCGCGTTTTTAAGAATTGCACATACACGGTATCCATGTACACGTCGAACTATTTTCACTTAAAAAAACATCCCAGAATTGCATAAAAATGGCATTGCGCAAACTCTTGACTTTATCCATGTACACTGCCTAGCTGACTTTATCCATGTACAAGTCCTAGCTAGTAACCTTTATCGCCTTACCAAAATGTCGCCAAACTACCTGTTACCATATTCCAAAGATTAGCCTCAATTTTTAATTATTCATGACTTAGATATATGATATAAAATTTTGCCATCCTTTCAGAAATCACGTAACCATGGTCACGAGTGAACATCTTAACAGTTTGCTGAAAAATATACTGAATCTTATTCGCCGAACTGTAGGCGAAGAAAATGCACCTTGGATGGTAAATATAGCTGGTAAGTAATTAAATCTAACACTTGTTTTGCAATTTATAGCCAGGACGTGATAGCTGGCTCATTCAAGCCAAACCTAAATTGAAAGAAGGTCATAAAAATCTACTTATTGCTTTTTTTATTTGTAACAAGTATCTGCCATGACCTGCAAACTGAATTGTAAAGGGAGATAAATACTTCTTTTTTTTTTTTTTTATTTATTTAAAACTACATTTTCACTGACTGTTTTCTTTTTTCTTAAAGCTCACGCCGGTCAGATTGTTATCAATTCTTCCGAGGAGCTTCTAGTTGATCCAGTTCTTCCACTGGCTGAAAAAATTGGCACACGAGCTATGGCGGTTTTCCACAAAGAAGAAACTTTGCGGGGGTATCTTAAGTCTGCTACCGAAGACACCTCTCAAGTAGAAGGACAATTACAAGATGTGAGAATATTTTTTTTTCTAATTTTACTACCCTCTTTTTTGTTATCGTTTTGTTGTCAGAGGTTTCTATAATTCCTAGAAGAGTTAGTCCACATTGTGGGTGGGTAACCAGAGTCCTACTGCTTTTAATTACCGCGGAAGATTGTCGAGTCCCCTAATCTCCTTTACATACGTGTGATGACACACGTTACAAGTAAATGAAGGAAGGATCGTTATGACGATGAGAAGAAAATGAGACGACGATGCTTCGTTTGTTCACATTCCCGGAAAAATCCTCCAAATCGGCAAATGAGTTATTACGAGTTCAAGAAATTTAACGTAGGACTGTGTGTAGATCCCTGTTTTAAAATTTTTCATACGAAAAGAGAATTTTAAGTAATATATTTAGTTTTCAGATGTATAATGTTAAAAGTCATATGTGTAAAATATGCATTTAAACAAGAAAAAAGGTAATTAAAGTATATATATAAAAATATCTATAAAGCATAAGCCGTTTAAATACTCTATAGAGCATTATTAAACAATGCGTTGATACTTCGGAAATTTCATGGATTTAGGCTTAGAAGCAAAAAAGCCCCCGGCCCTGGAGAGACGCTCGCGGAACACACTGCCGGCCTCCGCGATAAGCGCGCGTTTTCCCTACCCGGCTCGAAGGGGTTAACTTTGTAGAAGCCTTGTTGAACTGTGCATCAACTTATCGCTGAGTCAATACTGTATAAGTGAAAAGTCCAAAGAAGGGTTAAATTCACTGTTTATTATCTCAAACTAAGAACACAGATGGCCCCTTTCTCGGGCTTACAGAAAAGCCTCCACCCGGCCTCCAACTCAAGATGAGAAAATAAGAAACTAATCTAATGCTAAACTAGATTGATGTTAGCCGAAGCTGTTCAAAATTACGTAATGTAATTGGCCTTTAATTAAATTAACCTGCGAATATCAGCAGACACTTTCAATATGGTTGAGCCTAGTTAGCTTCAATCAACGAAGAAGCTTGGCGGAAAACACGCGCCATTAAGGTCTTCTAAGCTTTTATGCTGAAGTAAGCGAAACCTTCCTTTAAATACTCTTTCTAATTTATTTACATGCAATGCGCGATGCTAAAAGCTTATTCTCGTAGGGAATAATAGGTGGAAAACGAGAATAGACAGTAAAATATGTTTAAAAATTAAAATAACCGTTAAAAACTTAAAATAACCTCTACAAAATAATTACCTATCTGTAAAAACCTATTTATTAAAAAATTTAAACTGAAAGAGCAGCTGTTTAAATATTTATCATATTAAAATTCAATTAATTAATTTGATCATAATCATTTGATTTTGTTCGTCCTTTTCCTTATTATTTCTTCCCAGATTAATTTCTAGGAAACTTGAATAGCGTTTTAAGAAATTTCTTCTTTTTTTCTGAAATTCATATCGTTTTCCAGGAATTCAGTTTGTTGGTTCGAGATGTCTACGCATTTTATCCTCTTCTTATCAAATATGTGGATTTACAGAGGTAAGCACATTAACAAGTGCCTTGCTTATTCTGACTATTTTTATGCAATATTCTGTGTAAGGATGTATTTTGATGAATAAATTTTTAATAAATAATTTCGATGATGTTTTAATATGTAAAGAAATTAATAAAAACTTTCTTGTGCACGTATTATTTCAACGCCAGCAAAACAGATGATCGTGCATGTTAGAATGAAGTATTATAATGTGACGTATTTTGCTCTGCTATAATTGTACGGATAGATTGAAGCATTAAATTTAACTGATAGTTTTAATTGGCTGGACTGAAATTAAAACTCATTACATATTGCATTGCGGAGTAAGTTACAGATGCCAAAAATAAAATGTATTTAAAATAGTAGAAGATATTGTGATATTATTTGGTTCAAATGTGGCATAAAGAACAACACATAATTTACTGCTAGATAAAATGAACAGATAAAATAAATGTTTTTTGACCTGAAACACCCAAACTGACTGAAGCAACATTAAAACAAGAATATGAGTAAAAGGAAAAAGTTACTAACTGTGGCCTAAACAGTCTATAATTGCCCTACATGTTCATGTAAACATCACCAGAGACTTGGCTTACTGTTAATGAGTTTGAAATGTGTGTTGAGTTCTCCAGTTTATGACTTGATAAGCATTTAGGAATATATTCATTTATTTACAAGTTGAAAATATCTATGTACAGGAGGGAAATATATTATGATGATGCAATCTCGAAAGTCAAATCTAAAACAAAATTGTTGATCTACGCTTATCCATACTATGGCAACTATTATGAAGTTTAATCGTTGCATCAACAGAATCTCAGTTTTTTCAGAAAAAATAAAAGGTTATTCTACAGATTTGGTGCAGTTTATTGTAGATATGTACTGCAGTAGTATGTCTGTTTAATGAGTTCCAAAAATTTTCCATTGGATTAGATCCTAAGCGAACTATTCGACGATGGCTCGCTTCGGTGCAACACCTTCACTTTATATGTATTCCTAAATAAGAGAATTTGTATGGACACGAGAATAATATCTGTATTAACAGAAATTCAAATTTATCTCCGTCGACGAAAGGATGAATATATGGTATAATGACCTAAGTCCAATAAAGAACAACAGTGATATTATTTTAGGCCTAGAAAGGGTGCATCAATTTGCTTTTTACCGTTTAATAACGGTACATACCATATCAATATTCTTCACCCAAAGGTTTTTTTTCTTCCCTAGCCTGTGATGCTTGCTAATACATTATAGTTTCTTGCAATATGTAGATGAAAGAATCAAAGTGCAGAACTTAAAACGCCAGTTACCACTTAAAGGTATTTCTTCCACCTTCTTATCGAGCCTCCGTGATGTAGTGGTCTGCACGCTCAGCGCGTAATTGAGAGGTCCGCGGTTCGACTCCCGGCGAAGGAGGTGCTAATTTTTCATTCTGCCTGCTTCCAAAAATACCTTCTACAGTGGCGCCCGAAGTAAGAGGGTGTTGGATGACGTTTCTTCTCACCCAGGATTTGGCGAATAACACATGGCGCCACTTGCTTATTCTTGTCCAGGCTTTCTTATCTTATCTAATCATTATTTCCTATCTTGTTCATTTGCGGTTTTGCAGCTGAAGATGATGGTTCGGTAAAACCATCGAAACTAGTCCTGTGAAAATTTTGTGAATATAACGCTGATTTTTGTTGTTTGACTTCTGAATTAATACTTGTGGTAGTTTTTATCATTTGCCTTAGGTAATGTGTTATAACGTAGATAAAATACTTCATTCATTAATATTACTCTCACGGACCAAATAATAAAACCAACTATCCGGTCAGTCCATAAGTTCGTGCGCATTAAGAGTATGCGTGGAATTCACTATGACGCATTTACTAAAACAATACAATTTTGAACCTGTTGAAACTTGTCATCGTTTGACTAACATATTAATCAGTTCATCACCAACTTTCGTACGCATTTTATCGAACGCATTTTAGTACCCATAGAAGACGAATATAGATAATCAGTACAACGTGCTGTGCTACATTTTTTATTTTCGTGTGGTGAATCTGCCAGGTCTGCAGCGATACAAATTAATCGTGTGCATGGTGAACACACTATTAGTGTAAGGACTACCCAGAAATGGTTTAAAAAATATTAAGTTGGAAAAAGCAGTATTGATGACGAATCCCTTTCAGGACGTTTTGAACTGTTAGAACCAAATCAAACCCAAATTAAACGATTCATTCAGAAGTTTATAGTGAACAACTTTGCCGTCTAAACTCTGAATGGATCAAAAAACGCCCACGATCGGTGAATATCAAGAAAGTGTTGTTTTATCACGATAACGCTAGACCGCATACGTCTCGAACAACGCTGCAAAAAATGAGTGAATTTAATTGGGAGCTTTTGCCACAACCTGCTTACTCCCTAGATATTGCCCCAAGTGATTTTCACTTATTTCGTGCCTTAGAAAATTTTTTACTGGGAAAACAATTAAATTCTAAACAGGATGTACACAATGGACTTTCAAGTTTTTTTTGCATCAAAACCAGAGTCTTTCTAGAACAATAGCATAAAAAGCTGCCTGTAAGATGGCGAGACATTGTAGATAATGGAGGAAAATATATAATTGATTAAAATGTTAGATTGTGTTTTTATATTATTTAAAAATTTACCAAAAATGCGCACGAATTTATGGACTGACCAAATAGAAACATTCTGAAAGATACTAGGAAATCATAACTTAAATTTTAAATTACGTAATTCGTAAATGTAAAATTGTCTGCAAAATAGGCTTTAACTTAATAAATCATTTTACTAGTATTTAATTTATTATAGAAACACTCCTGTTTTGGCCATGCGTCAATTACAATTTTAAGTATCATATATTAAAGCATCAGACTGAAATATGTTAAATTTTATTTACTTGCAGAGCTCATTGGCTTAAGCACAACACAAAAGAAGCCGAAGCGGTGTATAACTATGTGGCTCAGATATTTAATATGTGGTCAAAAAGTCAGGTAATTTGCAGAATTTTTATTTTCAAAGTTTTGATTTCTGAAACGTTGGACTAAATATTTTAAAAGTATATTAATACGCAAATTATTTCATTTTGGTATAGTTTCTTGGGTTAAAATTCGTTTCTTTCTTACAGTACTTCCGGAGAGAGGAGCAGAACTTTATTTCCCAACACGAAATAGATAACATGTCTCTCATCATGCCTGCTGCGGCAGGCAGAGGAAGAGCTAGCGTTCAAAATGTCCAACAAACTGCTACATCGTCTAAAAAGGTAAAATTATTGTTACGTTTTTCCTATTCTTCTGACACCAATTGTTATTTTCTTCCTTCACGTTCGTACGGGGTTCGCATAGATTTGGAGTGAATAACGACGACACTTTATGAAGTATCGAAACACACTTTATTAGTCAATCCAAAACACGTTTTACAGTTGTCTATGAACTACTATAAACACGTTGGAACAATCAGCGGCACAGCCTTCACACTGTCAGGTAATAACGGTGGAGACAAGCTTCCTGTAAAGCACCAGACTCTGCTTTCCAGAGTACAGCTCCCGACTCTGCTTGGTCGTTCTTGGAACTCCACGTACTCTCGAGACTCTCCACGCTACAACTCGCAATGCACTCGACGACACACAGAGCACAGCTCCTGACTCTCGGTTCAGTCGTTTCGGAGCTCAACACGCTCTCTCGACGATTCTCTATGAGACTCTTTCGGTGCACTCGACGACCCACTCGGCACTCTGGCCGGCTTTCAACGCGATGGCTTCCGCAGAGATTGACTCGCTAGACGAGACACACTCACTCGATGAGAGACGCACACTTTCTCTCTCGATGAAGCACACTGACTGACTGCGGACCAGCAGGGTTTATATACTAACCAGGGACTAAACCGGTAAGAACTCGTTCCAGAAGGTTCTCCAACCGTCCATGGTATATAGCCAATTTTGTCGCCAAATAAGCGATTTCTCGCCAAACGAGGCAACCCTGCTCTACTTGCTATTTTATGGCAACCCTAAACCTGCTTTGCGGTAAAGCCATCTCACCGCGCCTTTACATTTTGTAACAGTATATTATTACGGATTTCCTTTAGGATGCAATATGCTGTTGTTTTGTCAACATAATTACGATATAGTAGTTTGTGATTGCATGTTAAATTCATTTGTCAGTTATGCTCGTCAGATTGGAGATGCACGCCATGCTAGTTATCTTTGCGTTAGTAATTAGGAATATTAGTAATTACTAATACATAATACAGTAATTAATGCAGTAATTATAAAAATTACTTATATATGATACAATAATTAATGCACTAATTATAATAATTACTAATATATAAAGCAGTTAAATACTATTTGCTAGCGTAATTAATTGCATATTACTAATTACTAATGCATCATATAATTTTACTAATCACCAAAGCATTATGCAATATTACGAATTACTAATGCATTATTCTGTATTACTATGCTTATTATCACTTTGCCATGAAAAATGCTTGCAGTTGTCGACCTGTTAATTAAAAAATTCGTAATAATTCCATATGATGAGCATGGAATTAAGAATTTAATTTACATACGAGCCCTCTGACGAAAACTTTACGTAGTTTTAGACTAAATAGCCAAATAAAACTATTACAGTACGTTATATTTTAATACATGATTGTTAATAACGTATGGAAAGAGACCAAAGCCGGTTTGGAATTAAAAATAGGCAAAAGGCAGTCATTTGGCCTGAGCTTGTGACTCGAAATTTGCTAATTTTTTTACCTATTTTTGTGTAACTTTAAAAGTAAGTATTAAACCGTAAATCATTCAAATTAAAACGTTACAAACATAATTTTGTAGTTATTGTACACTGCAAAAAAAAGGGGGGGACAATTCTAAATCTCCCGTTCTACTGAGCCAATTGACGAAATTCAAATTTCGTTTATCTTGTCTCGAAAGCGCGACTTAGGATATTTATTAGATTTATATATAACATCATTCTAACATAGGTATTTTGACTCAAAATCGCTCCAATAAGACTTTAATCCGGACTTTTTCTCAAGTGTCATACCAATTGTTTTTCCATATTTCGATACTACGACTCAAATTATGCCTAAATATTACATTTTGTAAAATTTAGCGCGAAATTTACGGAGAAATTCAAAAATTTAGCTTGGCCTATTATTTTTCAGTTTTCGCCAAACATAATTTACTTGGCGAACTTCTTAATTTACAGCAACCTATTTTCCTTTACTTTTTCATTGTAGATGAGTGAGAAAAAAGTCCTCGTTCGTATTTTCATTGTACTTTCAAATAATTTTAACAAAGTACGTAAATCACATTTGGCGCTATCATCGCTCAAAGAGATTTGCCAAATTTGAAATCGCTCCAATATGTAAATTCATATATATCTTAGAATCTTGTATATCTTAGAAAATTTTGAATAAAAACTCAAAATTATTGCAAGTGTGTCTAGAAATACATCTACTTTAAGACGACGTTAAAAACGTTATAGGTTATAATACAAAACGTTTTTCGAAAAATATATAAAAAATATTTAAAAATACAAATTTTAAAAAGAAATCATTAAAAATGTTCGAATTATATTTGGATTTAGCCTAAATTTTGAATTCTGGAAGAAGGGGTCAGGTAAGTTTAATAAGAAAAGAGAGATTAATAAATATATATCAAATTCAATTAACATTGAGGAGCTAAAATTTTGAGAGCTAATTTTTTAAAACTACTCGAGCGATTTTGATAAATTGGCATAATTTGAGTCGTAGAATCCAAATATGGAAAGAAATTGCCATTTCATTTCAGGAAACGTCCGATTTTGTGTCAAAATACCTATATTAAAACAACGCTATTTATAAATCTAATACATATCACTTTCGAGACATGAAAAAACGCACGTTGAATTTCGTCAATTGTCCCAGTTGAACGAGAGATATAGAAATATCCCCCCCTTTTTTTGTGCAATGTACTTCATTTTAAAACTGAAATATTATTATTGTATGTCGTAATACATTATTCTCATTTTGAACTAATGTGTTGATATTGTGGTCCATTGTGCACTTTTTTAATGCTGAAGCTTTATTCTTGTATTAGGCAAACTTCAGCCTGAAATACAGTTTGAGTTTTGTGTAATTCAATATTGTTACTTTTGCGGTTTTTAAAAGTGAATTTAAATCCGCAAATGCAAAACCAATAATATAATTTTACATTGTTCTAATGTCAAATTTTTATTGAAGATGAAAAAGAATACATTGTTCTAATGTCAAATTGTTATTGGAGGTGAAAAAGAATACATTGTTCTAATGTCAAATTGTTATTGGAGGTGAAAAAGAATACATTGTTCTAATGTCAAATTGTTATTGGAGGTGAAAAAGAATACTACATTATTCTAATGTCAAATTGTTATTGCAGGTGAAAAAAAAATACATTGTTCTAATGTCAAATTGTTATTGGAGAGGAAAAAGAATACATTGTTCTAATGTCAAATTGTTATTGGAGGGGAAAAAGAATACATTGTTCTAATGTCAAACTGTTATTGAAGGTGAAAAAGAATACATTGTTCTAATGTCAAATTGTTATTGAAGGTGAAAAAGAATACATTATTCTAATGTCAAATTGTTATTGGAGGTGAAAAAGAATACATTGTTCTGATGTCAAATTGTTATTAGAGGTGAAAAAGAATACATTGTTCTAATGTCACATTGTTATTGGAGGTGAAAAAGAATACATTGTTCTAATGTCAAATTGTTATTGGAGGTGAAAAAGAATACATTGTTTTAATGTCAAATTCTTATTGCAGGTGAAAAAGAAACGTGATCGAGATGTGAAACGTGATAAAGAAAAGGAATTAGCTTCTAGCTTGATGGTTGCTTGTCTGAAACGTTTGCTTCCAATAGGATTAAATCTTTTTGCAGGCCGAGAGCAGGAACTCGTACAACATGCAAAAGATATGTTCCTCAAAGGGGTAAGACCCATGATACATTCATTACCTTTATGCTTAAAAAAATAAGTAAAATAAGTGAATCAAATTCATAATGATTAATCCTGATTCGTGACTCTTTATTGAATATAATCACTTTAACATAACGATAAATATCTCACTTAAATTTATTTACTAGAGAATTAATGAAAGTTTATTAGAATATTAAATATGTAGCCATTTCACATTTAAGTTGAAAACATAGAGGGTGAATTATAGAAGTAATATTCCCATAATGAATGTTTGCATGAAATAAACTGGAATTTATTATGTTGGACAAACGAAATAAGCTGTTTACATTTTACAAGTTATTAAGTTTTTACATTAGAAATATCATTGAGTACGAAATCACATTCGAGTACCCTTTACGTAATCTATGGTTAAATTAATTAGTATGTACAGTGAAACCTTAATTTATCATTTTTGTATGAGATTGTGTGTTTGTGGGGGGGGGAGATGAATGCTAGGAAACTGTTTCACATTTGAAATAAATAGTTTATTTTACATTAAGCATACAGTTCTTCAAACAACTTATGAGGAACGATTACGTTAAGCATGTTACATTATGCATACTTTTCCACAAACAACTTATGAGGAAAACGTTACTCTGAAAAAGTGATATACAAGTAATTAATGCAGGAAAATAGTATTTAAGGAAAAGGTGGATGAAAAAATGAATAGTATTATTTTTATAGAAATGTTTATTCGAGGACAAAAATCACGAAAAGTATATCCAACTAAACAATTATTGCTGGAACAATGGAATGAGGTACTCATAGATTCTTTTTATCAACTTTATTATTATTAGACTTATACGATGTAGAATAATGGAATATATATACGTAAATTAATAAAATAGTATGTTCCGCATACCAATAAATATCTTTTTATTTTCAGAAAGTTCAAGAATATGATATTTTTGACTACATAAAATTACAGCTGACGCTGCCAGACAAGGTAATATATGATGCTTTATTTAGCGTAATTTAGTTCTAATATTACGTTAAAAAATCTTTAATATTATGTTTTTTTTAAATATTATTGATCTCTAAAATTTATAATTTTTTTGCTTAATTCTCAGATTGATCCAAGTGACGTGATGAGTTGGCAACACTACTTGTATAGCAAACTGGGTACAAAGCGAGAAGGCACTCAGAAAACTTCTCCTGATGAATTGGTTGAGAAAATCATAGACATGGCTAAAGTTCTTTATGGTTTACATATGGTAAGGACAATATTTATCATCTGCTTTAATCATAAAAGAGAAGTAACGATTATTACTTCCAAATGTACTCAGAATCCAGATAGCTTAAATTATATACACAGTAAAACTCAAAATATTTCATAGAAAAGAACTGAATCTTTTGGTCTTCAATTGCATTATAAATTACATTATGAATTTAATTTACATTATAAATTTAATTTAAGAAAAATTGTTAAATTATTTATAAATAAATCTATTTAATTCAGTTTTTTTATATTGATAAGTAACTTATTATTTAGGAGATAAGCATTAAAATCTACAATTTTTAGTTATGAAACTTAATGTATTCGAATTCTAAGTAGAATTTTGCAGATTACTGGCAAATTAAAGTGTTTCTTCCTCTGAGGACCATAAAGTAAATTATCATGAAAAACTTTAATATACGAAATTTGAATTTATTATAGATGATTAAAATGCACAAATAAATGCTCTTGTGCTTTGTAAACATGATGGAAAATCCTCTGTCATGTTTTCGTAACTACCAGTCATATTTTAGTCTAAATTTGAGTTCATATATAATATGTGAATAAAACTATTAGTAATATTAGTTTCTTTTCAATAAGTTCCGTGTTATGCCAATAAGAATTAGTAATTAGTAATAGTTATTAATAACGAAGGCAGATCTTACAAAATATAGTTTTGTCATACAACGGATACCAAATAATAAAAAAATGTTTCAGTGAAGATATATTACAGAAAATAAATTAACGATAAATATAAAAATACTTTTTTTACGTATTGTCAATGCACTTATGTGAGAATACATTTAAAAAAAGAAATGCTCTCTATTTCTAATCGTAGTTGTCCTCTGACCAGATTTTAACAGCATCTTTTATGTCTGAAATAGGTGCTTAATGATACACATTAGACTCATATATCAGTATTCTAACGCATAATATTTATAAAACCTGAAAATTTTCATGAATAAATTTTAATTCATAGATTGATTCTGAGCTTAAATTCATTCCTAATATTAGGTTTTGTTAATTTTGCTGTAGAATTTCTGCGAGTTTTTGCGATTAAATTTCATGACGTTTCCAATTACAAACTAAAAGTAATTCCATTTGCTGAATGTCTGATTTCTTCATCGTGTGAAAAAGAAAAGGAAAAATAATATTATATATATTTCAAAAGCAATAAATTATATTTTTAATATACTAGGTATTCTGAAAGGGTAGCTACAGATTTTCTTAAAAATTTGTCCTAAATATACAATTCTATTTAAAGCTTTTAAAATGAAGAAGAGAATTCCATGAAACACTTTCGATACTCTGAATAGCAGAGTTTTATAAAAATAATATCTAATTTTTCTTACGTTCCACTGGGAACAAAAACTTCAATTGGTAAAATATCCATTATGCTTCACTGTATTAAAAGCAAAAAGTCCACATTTATACATAAAATGTTCGCGGAGAATGAAAGAATCAAGAATGGATTTATTAATTTTAGTAATTCTACGCGGTAATTAGTTGACTTAATTCAAAGCCTTTTAGGTATACAAAGGAGATGCTACAAGCAAAAGTTGCGCTTCTCGTTATTAAAGGCTCTGCCTTCCGAATTCTTTATTAAATTTGTAAGTGGTCCCTTGAAAGTGATATCTTTACGAAATGTGCATGTAAAATTATGGAACGTTTTGCAAATAATTAAATAGAATTTTTACTCTAACACGATTTTTTAAAAATGGTATTTAGCGTGAAAGTATCTAAGGTGGACGAGATACTGGAATGGCGTTTCTAAAAATGTTTACTTTTTTACGCCAAATAATTTGATTTTTGTTACCTGTATATCTAATACATATATCATAGTCATTGTCCTGAGACATAAATGCAACTTGAATTTTGCCACCTGACCAGCTAGTAGGTGTACAATTGTTACTTTATTTTAGACAGTTCGTTATGTGATTGCAACATATACATACAATCAAATTTAACAGGCTTCAGTAATATATTTATTTTTTATTTGGAAAATTATTCGATTAAACTTTTAGTACATTATGTGGTCCTTTGTTGTATAGCAAAACTTTAAACTATAACACTAAATTGTAAAACAGAATATATTGCTTAATGTAAGCTGCATACCTGCAGTTAAATATTAAGTTCCTAATTTAGCTGATAAGTGCAATCAATATTTTAAAGCTAATGAATCCTTCTGCGCTGTCAATGCCATGTAATCTGCATAAACCTCGTCTGCAAGTGGATTAATTACATAAACCAGATTATAATTGAAATTAAAAACAGGAAGAACATGCTATAATCGTTTCATTGTAATAAAAAATGTGCATTTTAGTTACGAAATTTGCTTCTGTGCAGATCGACCACCCTCAAGGTCAAATGAAAGGTATGATTCGAAGTGTTGTATCCATGCAAAGAAAACGAGCTGTGATTGCGTGTTTCCGTATGACATCATTACACAGTTTACCCAGGTAAAATAAGTCGCATGGATGTCCCTTTTATCAGCATGACAACTAAATGCTGCAACTCTGAAACTAACTAACTAACCTATTTGAATGCGTGGTCTAACATTTAAATATTCTGTCAATGGAAAAAATAATGCAACAATTTTACAGCATGTCTAGAAATTCCGCACTTTTAGATTTGTGAAATAATGTGGTTATATATAAATGATTGCGTATGCTATAGGTCTTTAATTTTTAATTAGATCAGATAGGTCAAAATACGCAGAGTTTTCTTATGCTTATTGAGATCATAATTATCAATATCATCGCGTACGTACGAGTTCGTAACGTATTGGAAAAATTAATTTTACCAAAAGAAACACTTTACAGTTCTGGAACTTTCCAAAAAATAATCGGACAGTTCTTCTCAGTATCACAGAGACCAATCAGTAGTTACGCATCAAACTACTAATAACATTAAACACAACGCAATGAAAAGTGCATCTAATTGCCGAAGCTCTCCCGGATATCCTAATACTCCGAGTTCAGCAACTCAGAGCCGATGCTGTCACAGGACTTATATAGTTATCCCCCACCCGCCGAGAAATTTCTAGCACCTTTCATTTCTCGAAATTACTGTAAGGCATATACAGTTAAATTACATATAAGGGTCGTTACACATAAAGATCAATTATAGTTATTCAATTACAGTATCAGGTATCTATACAGGAAGCAGACCGAAATGTCGCCATATGGTCGCCAAGTTTGGTGACTTTTGGCGACAAAAATTAGTTACCAAGCCGTCGCCATCTTACCAATTTAGAGAGATAGCCCTTTTATCTCAATGTTATTGTAAATAAACTTGCCCTGTAATCTCATCTTTCCGGTAGAGCTTCGTCACATTCAAGTATTTCATGGCATGCTATAAAAAATACTACAATTTCACATATAATTTCATTAAAATTATTTACATATAAACAAAATTCATAACAATATATTTATCAATGTAAATATTCAGTAAAAGCAATGAATAAAGTCCTTATACGCTCATCCTCCAAAAACAAAGTTTTAAAATTACCTTTTTAAGGTTAGCAGAATTCTCTAGAAGTAAATAAATTCACGTGATTTGAGAATTTTTACAAATACGTAGAAAATTTGAGTTGTAAAAACATTTTATTATTTAAAAAAAATGCGTAGCTCATACTTTTTGACTGTAATAAATGGCCTGCAATTTAATTTCACTTTTATTAAAATTATATATTTCAGGAAACAGAAATTCGAGGTAGAATCAAAGAGGAAAATACAGGTTTAATTTGGGTTTAATTGTAATACTGGAGAAAAATATTTTGTCTTTAAACTTGCTAAATAGCAGACAATTATATTTTTAAACATAAAAGGACAACTAAGTATTTAAGTATGGATTTACTGAAAAATATCAAGATGCATGAAATTGTAACATACTTGTGAGCATCTCTTTAGAGTCTTGTTAAGGTGTGTAGTAATGGTATGGGAAACATTCATAGTTTACAATGTGATATTTGAAATACTATAATGAATGTTCTTAGTATAAATTAAAGATAAAACAATGAGTGCTGGATGCGTGTTTTTTTTTAACTGGGGACTATTTTAGAAGGAATCAAAAGAAAAGAAGATTAATAAATTGTAATGTTTCATTAGAAGAATAATTTCTGTATATAAACACAAAAATAAAATAACAATACGCCAAAAATATGGCGCAAATTCTTATCTTATTTGCGTGTTTAAAATACAACTCCCTATAGTATTGCCAATTTTATTAGAGAAAAGTTTAACATGGTTTTTGCTCACGTAGCTTTTTAATCGAACGTGTGTAATGGTAGCAGTTAAATTCCTCCCGTGTGTGGACTTTATATTGTTGGCATGTGATCAATCCCCCATAGGCTCATAATCCTAGTCCTGCAAGAACAGCCTGGCAGAAGTTGCTGTCGACTTCCAAGAAGCGCATAGCTATTAACTGTCTTCGTAGTGTTCCCCTTTACAACCTACGGAGGTAATTACACACTTTTTTTGTGTCTTGCTTTTCATTTTTACTTGCTTACCGCCTTTTTACACTTCAAGGATTTAGAATGGTATTATATCCTGTAAAGTTTAACTAATAGAAGCACTTTAAAAAATCTAGGGATATAAAAATATATCACTTGTGTTAAGATGTGCATACGTTTAATAGAACAGACGGTACACATGCATTCTGTGTCCTATCAAATGCTTATACATGTTAATATGAAATTGTTTTTTTAAGTTTACATTATGCTACCTAATTTAACATAATCATTCAATTAAAAACAGCTGATAAAAAGTATTGATTGTTAGAAACATATTTAAGGTGCACGTATAAGAGCCAAGAGTAAAATAATGCAGCTATAAATAACTGCATAAATGACTACATCGAATGCGAAACATTTGAATAAGTCATATATGACGTAGGCTCTCACGAGATACAGTTTGAAAAAACTCAGAATGTTTGTCTTTTGTATTACAAGTAATTACATAGAGTTGAAATTTCAACACAAGGAAAGAACGGTATAATTTATCTAAACTTAGTGTGCAAATTTCAGTAAAGCAGTTTTTTAATACTTAAAGACGTAATTTAAATTTCAAAATACCAGCACGATATAAACCACCAATGGCTACGTTAGGGTAATGCTTTCTACTGAGAAATTAGACAAAAGTTTGCTATCGAAGAATGAGTTAAAACAATTTTGCTATTGATAATCTTTCATGCTTAACTTCCATATTACTAATTTTATCTGTTCTTTTCACTGAATTCTTAAATGTTCTTCGTTACATGGCCAATCTAAGATCGAAATATTCTCGTAGCAGTTGCAGAACATGGAGAAGTGCTATCCTGTAGAGAAATGTAGACTGGTCGACATGTTTGGTGTACTTTGTTTAACCCGCGAGCACACGCACCGATCCGACGAACACGAGAACACCGGGTATGTCATACCCGAATTAAAAAATTGTAATTAAAAATTTGCCAGGAAAAAATTAATCGGTTTTTTTAAAAGAAATTAAAATGTAAAACCAAGTTAATACTTCATTTTAGACATAATAGGAAACAATAAGGAGATGAAAAATTATTTACTTACAATTTTTTGAACATTGTTTACAAAATGAGGTCATATGTTCCACACATATACTTTTCCTACAATTTTCACAAATGAATCTAGTCTTTCTATCTTTTTTCTTGGAGACTCTGTACACCTCTTGTAAGTCATTTTAAGTTTTTTGGAGGGTGGTCCATTGTTAACATGTTCATCAGTGGTCAGTGTTCGTCCAGAATCAGGAACCACAGATGCTCGTCGTCGTTCATTTTGAACATTTTCTATTAGCTGCATTGGCTTTGAGAAAAGTACTCATCCCGTTCACGAGTGAAAATTTCTCGTATTGAATCAATATAAATATTTGTATTATCAACTACATGTTTTAACATATCTTCGTCGATAAGCAATGACAAGAACTCTAAGGTGGTGTTGAGACGTCTTTAGAATACTTTTGTATTTCCAGGGAGTTTAGCTTATAATATTTTTGGCGCCAATTCTAACATTAGTCCGGAATTTATTTTTTGTTCCATTTTACTCCATTTTTTCCCAACATAAAACTCATTGCTACATTCCAGAGTTTCATTTTCTGTTTCTGTATCTGAATCACTACTCTCGGTATGGATGAATCATGATTACTATTATATTCTTCGTCATCAACATCTTCCTCTGTTTTTACTAAGTGAATCCTCGAGATTTTTCAATCTTTTCATCTCTTCATCGTAAGGAATAATATATGGCGCCATGCTTACAACTCAAGAAAAACCTTATACTAAAAGCTTGAATGAAAACGAGAGAAGTGCGAAGTGACTCACTGAGAAATGCGAGTACATGCGCGGGTATGACATGCCCGAACAATGCTGGTCCTAAAAAACCGTTGCACTTGCCACCTCAGGAATTTCCCCCATTTAAGTATGTGACCTTGAACTCAGCTACACCAAGTTTCGTCCTTTTATGAAAGAATGGGTGAGAAATATACAAAAAGAAAAATGCACATGGGTATGACATACCCGCCGCGTGTGCTCACGGGTTAAGAGATTTCTTCGAGCTTTCTACATACAACTTCTGATTTATTTCCCAAATTTGAAAGCCTCTTTGAAATCGAAAGCAACCTTAAGCAGTTACAGAATAGCCATCGAATTAAATTTTTTGTCTCATGCTTGATTCTGTAACATGGTCATAATGATAGCAAGACCAAGCAACTGGTGAGCCATCCGAACTGAACATTTGTCCATAAATGAACTACTACCCATTAATCTGGCCAAACAATATGATCACAGAAACGGCCACGCAGCGTATGAACGTATGTCTTTAATTAATGAGAAATGGTTACAAAATAATCTTGATTTTGCTTTGCAGTTGTGCAGAAATTCAAATCCGCTATATGCTGGCGTAATGACTTAAATTTGATCACTTCTGTCATGCCGCCCAACTGGTTTGGTAGTTAGTGACTCTCACTGCCATACCGAAGGTTCCGGGTTCGAATACCGGAGTAGACATACATGTTTGTAATCCGAGAGGAAGGAAAAGTGGGGTGGAAGACATTCAGACCCGTTCCGCTAGGGGTGCTCTCCTTCAAAATTGGGAGGCGGAACTGAGCAAAGTCGTACCTGTATGGTGCGAAAGCTCTTGCCAGCGCCCGGCGCGATCTTGCGTCCTTTCCACGATGAACTTTGTGATCTTGTTTTGATATTAGGAGGTTATTCACAATAACAACAACTTCTTTCATAATATCATATTCATCCTAGCTGGCAAGAATTCCTGTAGGTTGGAGTCTTCAGCAGTGGCTGAGTGGTAAAGTCGCTGAACATTCGTTGTTCGGTCAGTATTCGATTCTTGGCAAAGATGTTGGCTGCCTGGGCGTTTCTGTAACGTAAGTACACTGGTGTGCAAAACTTAAGCAACAGCAGGGTTTTTTGCAATAACTCCACGAGAAATCAACTGAGA